GGCAATTTAAATTGGATTATTCCGATATTCACTACGTACCGACGTACTTATGTTAAATTTATATAGAATTTAGCGACTACAGATCTCGTTAATTAGATCTGATTTAATAAGATTAAATATGCGGTACTAAAGGAATATAATATCAGAAATTCTAAATGTAATTAATGTTTTTACTACGTTTTTTATTGAAATCTTTTGGATGGACCAACAAAGAAATCCGTCTACATCGATCTAAAAACAAGAAGTTTTTTTAGGCAATAACCATTGATTTATTTAAGTCGATGTGAAATACTTGTATTAGGTACATATTTATTGTATTAGTCATAGCATATTGTATTTTAATTGTATTTCTAAGGTAATGTGTGTCGAATGTGGATTAGTCACCCGTTTATCACTTCCTATTGTGGCTACTTATTTGTGACGAGCTTGAAGCCGTATTGGCATGAAACAAAGACATGTCTGAGGTGCAGGTCGACGGCACGACACCATCTGCACTAAGGGCAGTCTGTTTTGTACTGTTATCACGTATGTAGATAGGTAGGTTGGTACTTGCTACTTAATAAATTCTTTACCTAATTTGTTTAAAAAATAAATTAATATGAGACAAAAGTGTGATATTTATCATAATCATCATATTATACGTTAACTGTCCACTGCTGGACGTAGGTCTTCCCTTTTAGGAGTTTTGCCAGTAGTTGCCACGCTTGGTAGGCGTGTTGCAACTGCAGTTAGGCTTTGGTAATGTTTTAACAAGGAAGCTGTTGCCCATTCTTCGGCTAATAAATTCCCTTAGTCGCCTCTAACGATACCCTTAAGAAAGAAAAGCGTGGCCCATTCGATTAAATTTAGGTGAAATACGCCTTAATTTTTTTTGTGATTTAAATTTTTAAACTTTTATTATGTGGTCACAGAAGACGTAACTTGTTTGTTCACCCTTCTGTAGTATAACATGTCAAATATGGAAGTTTCTTTTAATAAGGTTTGTTAAGAACAGGCTAAGGTCGACAACCATGCTGCCTAGTCCTCAGTTTTAGTTTAAATATTGTTATTAATAACACGAAATTATTGTCCAAATATGTAAAATAACATAGGTACATATTATTATGTATTCTTTTTAAAAAGTCACGGAATGGAGGAAAACTATTTCCAGAGATAATTTCCATAGACAAATAGGTTGCTGATTCGATAAATTTTGAAAATTTCAGTAGACTAAAAATGTTTTTTTTTTGTGTACTTTTACTTTTTTATTACTTTGTCAGTGATACCACTACGATAACGAGTTTTATACGACGGCGTTGGCGAGAAGTAAAACCGGATCCAATCGGTCAATTTGATGTACAGAAAATACGCAATGCATGAATTATATTATAGTTTTATATTATGCAGTGGGAAAATATTGGATACAATCATAGTTTTTACTTAGCCATATAATTGATAATAAATTTTAATTCGTAGTTAAAAATTTATGGACTAGTTATAAACTTTAAAAGCGCTTTTCACTTTAAATTCTTTGTTATTTATATCTTATTAATATAATTAAATGGTATCTGGGAAATATTTAAGAAATATTTATATTATATAAGGGGTCTTAAAGACAACAATAGAAATTCAAATAATAATTTTGATAAATTTTACCTATATTTTTTTATACAACTTACAATGGCAAACAAGATGACGGCCCAACTGATGGAAAGTGGTGACCGTCGCCTATACCATGGACATAACAGAGTTTACTGTTTCGCCCATGATACCCCTCATGCGTTGCCATTCCTGAGGACTCAGATTATATATATATATATATATAACATTATCTGCAAGAATGCAAGTGGCCAAGTGTAATATGCGATCAGTGATATGGTATTACAACGTAGTCGCTCGCAAACTAACATCCTCGCTGAACAAAAGATTGTTTCCCTCCAGACAGGATGTGTGCCGGCCGAGGTACGCGTGGTGTGGACAACAATGGCTCGCTTGTGTTTGTTATTCCTTACACGTACGCCCACTGGTCTCAATCATCACTGTTTTTGTCTTGCACTTGGGTATTTTTTTTAATAGATGGATGTTACCACAGGGAGACTTTGTACAAAAGTCGTTTGCTTGGGCACCTCTGTTCCATTCGTGTTTCTACCGTGAAGAAGTTGTGTTTGCATGGCTGTGTTTCGGTTTGAAGGGTGGGATATGGCGTGAATTTACAGGGTACAGAGGAATAATACCTGAGTCCTCAGGAATAGCAACGCATGGGGGGTATCATGGACGAAACAGTATACTCTGTTATGTCCATGCTACTGCTCATGTCTATCGGCGACGGTTACCACTTTCCATCAGGTGAGCCGTCAGCTTGTTTGTCATTTTATGTTGTATAAAAAAAATGTGGAATGGTAGCCCCGCGTGCGCTATCGGTTTACATTGACAGAGTACCAGTGAGTATGAAGTCAGTTTTGACTCTCACCGTGATGAATTCATTAGGATTTTACATTTATGGAGGGATGTGATTTGAACGGACTCCTTTACTAGCTATATGTCAGTCGATCTTCACACGATTTCCCCATGGAAACTTTAGGTTATGGCAGGGAATGTGGATTCATCATATTAGCCTTAACTGTCCACTGCTAGACAATAAGCCTCTCCCTATCGAGGGGTGTTACCCGTAGTTGTCACGATTGGCAAACGGATTGGCAACCTGCTGCTCATCCCTCGCCTTCCTTTAGTCGCCTCTTGCAACATCCACGGGCAAGGAAGGGGTGGCCTATTCCATGTTGGGAGAATGTGGATTATACTCATACGGCCAATCCGATGCTACAACAGGGTTAAAACGAGGTCACGGAATGGTCGATCCAAGTTTGAACGTGCAAAAATAACGGTAGTTTTCTTGTCTATGGCTGTTTACGGCGACGCAACGCGCGTGGAGTGTGTTAGCGGAGTCCGTTAAAAGTTGTAAATGCTATTGTAACTTGTACAAAAATTTACGTAGCATACGAATGCGTTCATGTTTTTAAGTTTGTGTGATAGTCTGAGTTTCTGAAATCGTCCGCTAGAGGCGCGCAGCCCAGTTTTCAATACAAATTACAGTAACGTGAAATCTGTGTTACTCACACTAGGAACTCTGCGCTGACGACTAACAATGCGTAATTTCTGGGTTGCTAACTGTAATTGAAGATCGCCCACATTACTCGCTGCCTGTCTGCCCACGGTTAAATATGTAGATAGAGATACGTATCCGTTCATTTCACGAAAACAAACATAAATCATCAATCAAATTTTTTTTATTAATAAAGCATTTTATTTTTAAACATTTTAATGACTTCCAAAATAGCTAATTGAGCTAAGTGTTGTTTTTATATAGTAATTTGGTATCATTATCATCATCATCTGAACCTGTCTCTATCTACTTTTGAACATAGACCATCAATGCTTACCATCATGTGTGATTCTTTGCTTTCCGCATCCATCCACTTCCAGTTATCGGTCCATCTAGTGGGCACCCCACGCGTCCGCGTCGCCCTGTTCGCGGCCAAGACCTTCCTTCCCCACCTACCACCTGACTCGACAAATATGGCCGGCCCACCGCCACTACAGCTGATTTTGAGAGCTATGTCAACCACTTAGTCGTCGTCGAATTTTCTCGTTCCGGTTATGTCTGTTAGAGAAATTCCAAGCATATATCTCTCTCCGTAATTCGCTGTGCTGTTTACTATTTATTCATTTTGTTTATGTATAGTTTTTTTTTTAATTTCGTGACGGTATCTATCGCACATACAAATAATGTAAAAGTATATTGTATTATGCAACAAATTTCAAAAAGGATGATCGACATTCAACTGTCGATTTTGTCCTAACTTATTTTTTTTCGAAAAACAAAAAGTATGTAATTACACAATTTTAATCCCACACGTTTAAACCATAAAAGGCATCTCATAGTTAGTAAAAGTATATCTTAATAAATATATATTATTTGAAAGTATTTCAAAGAGACAGAAGCCTATTAATTACATGAGACGACGCAATTAATTTTTATCACCCATTTGGTAAAACTGGCGTCTGTAACGAAAGGCCGACTCTACGCCGGATTCCCGCCATAATTTAAATTAATTCACGAAATTATTCAAACTTATTAAATAAACGATTTGAATCGACCGTGCGTATGTATAAGGAGCTTGTTTAGAGATAGGATGGACAATTTAATGTGTTTACGCTCCGTTTAGCAGTTATACATTGTCTCGCAGGAAATTCGTTCATCGTTCGAATGACTCATAATATTTCTTCGGAAATTGTTTATTGGAAAATAAAAGCCCATACGCTTATATACGTGATTCAGCGTATGAGGAATATAAACTAGGTTATTCATTTGAGTGATAAAACATAATAGACTCTATTTAAACATACAAGTACGTGTTTTATCATTATTAATACCTATCATTATTACGTAAATAAATCGTGCATTCTATTTTTGCCTTTGTATGATTTTACTACGTAGGGGGTAGGGTTTGTTAGTAATGCGGACTGTCAGTCCCATTGCTAGCAATATACCCTGTCAAGTCTACTTTCTCGTGGCTCTCCCTGCAAACTATCGTATAGAATCCCAGTTGTATTCCATCACGATTGGCTAACTGACCTGCCTTTTCATTCTCACCTATCGTCTGTCACTGGTGCCCCGCCAGCGTATACCGTTTGCACAGGCGGGGTTACCATTCCATTTTTTTTTATGGGTGACAATGTATGGTAACCCCGCCTGCGCTAACGAGATACGCTGGCGGAGCACCAGTGAAGGGTGATAGATGAGAATGAAAACAGGCCAGTTAGCCCATCATGATGAATTTATCAGGAATTAACCATGATAGTTTCCAGAGAGAACCGCGAGGAGGTCGACCTGGTTGGGTATATTGCTAGTAATGGGATTCTTACTCTCCATTACTAACAATCCCTTTCCATCTTACTACCTATGTACTATTTCAGAATTTGTTCATGTTTCTCTACCATAAAGAATTTATTTTTATTTCCAGATCTAAAATGGCCTGCTCAGTGAGTGACACCCCCTCCCTGAAGGATCTGCCTAAAGTGGCCACAGACCTCAAGAGCCAGCTCGAGGGATTCAACACGAGTTGCTTGCGCGATGTTGACACCAACGAGAAGATCGTGCTTCCGTCTGCTGAAGGTTTGTTTATCAATTTTTAACAATTCATTTCTGGTAGAATATAATTTTGACGATAGATAGGTACTGGCAATATTTCTTTGTCTATGGTAACCAGTGTTCGTTAACAAAGAATACAAAATTTTAAATTTACGAATAGCTAGACAGAGGAAGATCTATAAGCGATCCTTCATATTTAGAAACTTAGTTGCCAGTACGTCAATACCAATTTCATAAATCCTTTTTCGTTTGTCCATAGTTTTATGAACAACTTTCTATATCTTTATGACTTATGGCCTATAGTTTGTTTGTTTTTTTTTAATACTCTTTGTTTTCTGTCGCTGTTTTTTGCGACAACCTTCCTATCTGTATTATTACAGTAACTGTGTATAGAACTGAGGATACTTTTTGTTTGCCTATAGTTTTTTCTATTATTGTTTATTTACTTTTATATCTTATTGTAATAACTACAAAAGAGATTGAGGGTCCCGGACGATCTCGAAACTAGGCCAGCTTTCTCGATCAAATTACACGTAAGTTAAACTTTAAAATATAATGTATACTTATGAAACTTAATAATACAATTACTTTTATTATATATTTTTCTCTGATTAAAAATAAATATCCACCTAATTGTGATAAGTTTAACTCATTTAGAATTCAGTATACAATTTTTTTTTAATGAATGATAATGAAATGGCGACCCCGCTCGCGGTAATGGTGTACACTGGCGGGGCACCAGTGAGGGATCATAGGTGACGATGAAAGGAGGAATTCAACAAGAATTAACCACGATGATTTACCAGAGGAATCCGCGTGAAAGTCGACCTGATAGAGTATTACTAGTAGACGGGCTGTTAGACCTCGTTACTAGCAATTCCTTTCCCCCTAGTATACAATATTAGGTTTCTTCTGTGAGTAAATAGGACTATGGGTATAACAGAGAATTAAATTTAACAGACTTAGCAAAAGAAAAACAACATACAGCACTACTGCAAGATGTAGAGCAATTTCAAACATCCTCACTGCGGCGAACGAACACCGTTGAAAAAATTGTGCTTCCGAATGCATTAGGTATTTTATAGAGATGGTGAAAATAACATTTAGACAAAGCAAATCCCATGAACGACGTGGTCGCTTGCTCATCGTCACATTAATTCGCTGATTTTAACACTTTAACTGGGGAACTAAAAAGTATAGGTGTTCTCGGTTCCGCTAATCGAAATTAATTGAAGTGTTCCAATTTGAAAATCGAAGCTAACTCTTTTTAAAGTTATGTTAATTGTTTAGCTTATTCTAACGAATAACGAGCATGTATGTTTTTTTTTTTAATTTTATTTTTTATTTTGACTGTAGTGTGAATTGGATAGTGTTGTAAATACCTATTATATATATATATATATATATATATATATATATATATATATATATATATATACAGTTTCCATTCTTTAATTTTACTGCTGAAAAATCGATCTTTTTTTTTGTAGAATTTTTTTATCCCTCTGAAAATAGTAACCAAACTGACGGCGTACTAGTTGAAAAAGTGATAACCGTCACCTGCAAGCATAAACAACATGATGGACATAGAATTCATCATAGAATACAATATGACGCCCATGGTGTGCTCTTCCGTGGAAAATCTTCCTAAGGAGCAAAATGTCTTGTATCCGTAATTTCATATAAATCTAATTTAAAATGCTTCTATGTACCTATAAAAAAAGATAGAAAAAAAAACTAATCTTAATTTTTTAAATACATTTTTATGACATGATAATGGGTTAGATATAGCATTGGCTTTAATAAATAAAAATCATGCCGGCGAGAGTAAAATAAAAGAACGGAAATTGTAACTGCAAATGTACATTTGAATTTTAAACTAATGACAATATTTTTGTCTATGGTTTCCAGATGTTGCCACAGAGAAAAACCAAAAGTCCTTGTTCGACGGCATTGAAAAATTCGACGCTAGCAGGTTGAAGCACACAGAAACCCAGGAGAAAAATCCACTGCCAGACAAAGATGGTAAGTGTTAATTATATGTCTTGTTTTATCGAGCATCCATTCAGCACAGCTTGTGCATATATATGTGCGATTTAATAAACTACACCACTTAGTATGTAAAGAAATACATTGTTAAATATCACAAAGCACATTTTATGTTTATAAAATGTTGTTGCACTATGGCAAAACTCTAGTATCATGCTCATTGATCCCGCATCATTATCTTGCATTTCCAAGGTTTTTTTTTCTAATGTATGACAATGGAATGATAACCCGCCTGTGCTAATTTATTTTTTATACAACTTAGAATGGCAAACAAGCTGACGGCCCACCTGATGGAAATTGGTAACCGTCGCCTATAGACATGAGCAGTACCATGGACACAACAGAGTTTACTGTTTCGCCCATGATACCCCACACGCGTTGCCATTCCTGAGGACTCAGGTGTTATTCCTCTGTACCTTGTAAATTCACGTCATATCCCACCCTTCAAACCGAAACACAGCCATGCAAACACAACTGCTTCACGGTTGAAACACGAATGAAACAGAGGTACCCAAGCAATCGACTTTTGTACGAAGTCTCCCTCTGGTAAAATGGCTAATGGTATACACTGGCGGGGCACCAGTGAGGATTAATAGGTGAGAATGAAGCAGGTCAGTAAACCTAGCGTGACGAATTCAACAATAGTTCAATCATGATGGTATCCAGGGGGAACTGCGCGCAATGTACCCTATCAGGTAGATTTCCACGCGGTCCTGTCTGAATTCCACCGTGATCGAGTTATTATTGGTATTTGTTACGATAGGCCATGTGACTTGTCTTCATCCTCACCTATCATTGCTTACTGATGCCCCGCCGGTGTATACCGATACTGTAGGCAGAGTTACCGTTCCATTATTATCCATAAAAAAGGAGACTCCTGCCGTGGTGTTAAATTTTGGAATCTAATATGCTTCTATGTATTGGTACTATAAATTATTGCTACTAGTCTTTTGTCCTATATATGTATTTTAACATAACTGACGTATCCACTTGTTATTTTATCAGTGCATACTTTTTTTTTTTATAAATACAATGTGTAAGGAAAAGGTTTTCGGATAATAAAAACAATTTCGGTATCATCACCTTGCTATTTTTTAATCTGCACAACTTAGATGACAGTTTTTATGAATTTCCAAAAACTAAATATTACATTGTCTCACCATTGTCTCTCATTGTGGTATCGTGCACCTTTCTGAATGCCAGTTTTGAAAACATTTTCCTTACATCTGTTTACGATATTTTACTCGATTAAACCATACAAATGTATTCACGCTTTAGATTTTGATTACTCAACTGTCCTGTGATGCATGTAAAAACGTCTTGCTTTCTATAATTTTAGCAAGCAATCTTACCTTACAATCCAAATATAAATATGTTAATTTGCATTGATTGAAATAAGCTTTTTATTATTATTTATTTGTCTTCGCTGCACGTATTTGCTTCACGCCAGTTGTAGCAGCGGAGAAGGCACACCAGAATCTCCTTGACGGCGTGGAACATTTTGACAAGACACAGATGAAACATGCAACGACCGAAGAAAAGAACCCCTTGCCGCCCATTGAAGGTTTACATTTTAACGCTTTCTTATTAACTTGGCATAATGTAAAGATGTTTCTTTTTTTTCTATAAAAGACGCATGTCACAATTCTTTGCACAGATATGGTAGAATTTCAATACAAAATTGCTTAATTATATTAGATTGATACCTGTTTGTGTTTACAAACATTTTTTTTTTAAGGTAACAGTCGACCATTACTTGTAGAATGCACTTTTGTTTTTAACTAACTTTATTCTACACTAACAAATAACAAATATGAAATAAAGAAAACTAAAAGTCTGCGATTTGGTATCAACTTTACTTGTTATAACGAATTAAAAAATAGAAGGACCGACAACCGCTCCGCGTTATGACCAAGCTAAGAGTGGAGTTCCGGACGTCCCGCTGGCCCATGAACAACTCCGTTCCTATTCAGCATTGTTTACAATACATAAAATAGAAAATCTCGTTTTACAGCCAACAGTATTAAGAACTGGCGATCCGCCTCGACTTCTTATAGAAGAATTGAAAGCTTTTTTTTTTATACAACTTAGAATGGCAAACAAGCTGACGGCCCACCTGATGAAAAGTGGTAACCGTCACCTATAGACATGAGCAGTACCATGGACATAACAGAGTATACTGTTTCGCACATGATACCTCTCATGCGTTGCCATTCCTGAGGACTCGGATGTTAATTAGTATATTAGCTTTAATAGGCTTTTTGATATTTTGAGTTAGATTATTGTAATTTTCGTAAGGGCCTCTAATTTTTAAGCGACTTCAAAAAAGGAAGGGCTTCCATGTTTGACTGTATATTTTTTTTTATATATGTCCACCGAATTCTCCGTCCATTGTGAACAAATTTTAAAAATCTCTTTTTTTTTTTTTTAATAATTTATATCTTTATAGTTACGTGCTGATAATGTAGGTTTCTATAGGTGAAACATTTTAAAGTCGATTGAGTAGTTTTCGAGTTTGTTCATTATAAAGTAACATACAAACTTACAAAAAAAAATTCCTCTCTTTAATATTATTATAGATGTTGGGTACTTATTTAAGGAAATGTAAATATTAATAAGTATCAATAAACAATATACATTTTTTACAACTCAAATAGGAATAAAAGTAATTTAAGTATAATAAAAAATGACTTATTTACAGTGTATGTAGTATGTATAATAAAAATTGTATAGATTATCTCAAAAAAATAAAGGAAAAGCAGTCATTAATTTCAAAGTTTTTTGGTTATATTGACTTTCCGTGTTTTTCAGTTATAAATTATTTCACTGACACTTAAACCTTATTATACACGGAATTGACAACACTATAGAAAACTTTTTTTATTAGCACCTGGGCTTCTAGACAAGTGGCAAGCGAATTCGTTGATGGAATCGACATCGCTAGCGAGTCCATGAGATAGAATGAGATAGCAACGCCGGATGTCTCATTCCAACCCACGGACTCGTTAGCGATGTCGATTCCATCGACGAATTCGCTTGCCACTTGTCTAGAGGTCCTGGCATCTTGTATTTCTGCCAGTGAATGTAACAAAAAAAAATATTGTAGTAAAATTATCAAATATGATTTATGGCGGCAAAATTACAATAAGTCTCTAGAACTAATATACTCTGTGATGTTTTTGCCATTATCATGTCTATCGGAGAATGTTTTTTTTTTTTTTACTATGTTTAGTCTATTCTTTGTATTCTACTCTTAGAATATTACATCATCAGACTGTGAATAATGTTGCGTTTATATTCTATAGCGATCGAAGCTGAGAAGGAGAAGAATAAATTCTTAAACGGCATCGAGAACTTCGACCCGAGCAAGCTGAAGCACACCGAGACTTGCGAGAAGAACCCGCTGCCCACCAAGGACGTCATTGAACAGGAGAAGACGGCTTGAACGTCCGCATCCATTGCCCGCAATTATATCTCGCTAATATCGCCGTATTTTAAACTCGATGTAAGTTAATGACCCCGTTTGCACTGTCCTATCAAAACGTCAATAAATACTCATCAGGGTTTCTTTCAAGTTCTTTTTTTTTTAATTTTCAAAATCTTTAGAAAGGAATGGTTATACCATACGTCTACTATATTTCTTTCTTTTTTTTTTTCCCTTTTCTATATTATTAAGAAGGATTTTATTGTTCCAATACGCACGTGGAATTGACGATTTGTCGGCGCAAGATAAAGATGCGGTTCGTGAAAAAGATATAATAGAAATAAGTTCACTTTTACGGAATGAAACCCTGATTTACACCATCTGGCCTAAGTCATAAGCGAAGAGGACTGCAAACTGGCTCTTATCATTAGTTTATAGGAACCAAATTTCTATGTCACTGTAACGTATATATTTTAATAAGTGTATTTTATGAGCATTTTATAATTTAATTTATATTATATTGAGACGGATAATTAAGTATTAATGATATTCAGTACTGATTTGTGTAGGCTGAGAACACTACAATTTGAAATTTGTTTTGTACTCTTTCGTTTTGTGCTTGTGTTCTCTATTTAGTTCGAGGTATATTAAGTATTTACGAGATCGCCTGTAGGTATGTACGTGATGCCTCTGGTCAATGAATAAATTAGAAGTGTAGTTACCAAAACACAATTTGGTTCTAAATTATTGTACCGTGATTGTAATTTCTCTATTGATATTTTATTATGCTGTAAAGTAATGTCATAATGTCGACAGAGAAACGAATGAAAAAAAAAGAAAAAAATTAAAAATGACAGTAAGTACTCTAGTAATATTACTTGCTCAACTGTGTACGAAATAGATAAGGTTTGGTCTGATTTTTAAAAAAGCAATAGTTTGTTTAGTTTGATAAAATAGTGTATAACAATAATATTTTATATTGTCATATATAAATCAATAATTTTCCAATTTTATAATATGCTATCGATGCCAATACTTGAAACATTTTTACCGGAATTTTGTATGTTTTACAGACGGTGCTTTTTTATAAATATAGATTGAAAAATAAAAATAAAAGTTTTTTATTTAACTATTTATTCCCTATTTAGTCAAATATAACAATCTCCTAATTTATTGGGTGAATAGATGAAACTAGCAACACTGTACAGCTTTTTTTCACAGTTTCTTTTACTACGATTAGGTTTTTTGTTATGGATAACAGAATGGTAACCCCGCCTGCGCCTGGGGGGAAGGAATTGTTAGTAAAGCGGATTATCAGTCCCATTGCTAACAATATACCCTAACAGGTCGAACTCCCCGTGGTCCCCCCTGGAAACCATCATACTGAATTCCAAGTGTATTTATCACGATGGGCTAACTGACCTGCCTCTTCATCCTCACCTATCATCCCTCACTAGTGCCCCGACAGCGTATACCGTTAGCGCAGGCGGGGTTATCATTCCATTATCATTCATTAAAAAAAAAACCGCCTGCGTTAACGGTATACACTGGCGGGGCGCCAGTGAGAGATGATAGGTGAGGATGAAAAGGCAGGTCAGTTAGCCCATCGTGATGAATTCAACAAGACTTAATCACAATGGTTTCTAAAGAGAAACGCGTGGAAATCAACCTAATAGGGTATATTGCTAGCAATGGGGCTGTTGGCCCCTTTTCTTTTGGTGGGTGAAAATGAAATGGTGACTCCACCTGCGCTATTGACATACACTGGCGATCCAAGAGTGAGGGATGATATGTAAGGGTGAAGCAGATCAGTTGGCCCATCGTGACGAATTCAACAATACTTCTTTCAGAATCATGCGCGCGCTTCGACGTGATATGTATATTCTATCTTTCCCTTTTTTTTAATGTTTGATAATGGAATGGTAACCCCGCCTGCGTTAACGGTATACGCTGTCGGGGCACCAAAGAGGGATGATAGGGGGGAAAGGGATTGTTAGCAATAGAGTTTGACAACCCCATTACTAGCAATATGCCCTATTAGGTCGACCTCCGCGTGGTACCCCCTGGAAACCATCGTGAACAATTCCTGTTGAATTCGTGACGGTGCGCTAACTGACCTGCTTCATCCTCACCTATAATCCTTCACTGGTGCCCCACCGGTGTATACCGATAGCGCGGGTGGGGTAATCATTCCATTATCACACATTAAAAAAATATGTTTGATTTAGGGTTTGATTCAAACATACTGCACATATATGTAATAGCTTCGTTATTATGTCTGTGATAATATGGTGTTTAAGAGTAATTCTCTAGGAATAAAACAATCGCTATAAACGAAAAATATGCGATTTTTGTCAAACTAAATTATATTTTACTTTACATATGATAGTGCCGCCTCACCAGAGCAATTTTAGAACTAAAATTACTCAGAAATTAATTTTGCATTTTACCACTACATCACAATTTGCCAATTGCTATTCGTTGCAGAAACATTCATTTACCATAAAGCAAGTAATCACTACGTTATACCATTTACCTTAGCCACACATAATGTTAACCCTTGCTACTACTTATTTTCTTACTCTAATATATTTTACGATGAAAATGTATGAGATTTTCTTCTGAAAACAAGAAATTGGGAAAAATTTATATAATAATAAATATTCAGTGCAAAATGTTTTACAAATGCAAGCAACAAATATTTTTATTAAAATTCTTAGTAAACCCTGAGGACAATAACTATTATATGTTTTGGCAACGCCGATAACGCTTTTAACGTTCCGATCTGAAACCATAAAGTTATAAAAGACAAAGCAAGCATGTTTTTTTTATTAATAGTTTATAAGCATTAGCAACATTTAGTGTTACCAGATAAGGGGACTTTTGCCTTTTAAGCTATTTCAAAGGGTGTCGAGCGACCGAAAATTATAATCAGCGAACAGTCATTATTTAAACAATCCTGAAAAAAATTTACGCGATTTTAGGCTCTAAATAACATTTTTAGTCAAATTATTATAATTTTGGCAATTTTTATGTAGTTTTAATGTAAAATCTTAGCACCGTAGCAGAAAAAAATAGCAAGTTGTAAAATATATTTACCAAAGTATCTGTACATTTAGTAGTACACAATTTATCTTTATTGTTTTCTTCTGACTTTATTTTATTTTAATATGACTATTAAAATTTTTGTTTATTGTAAGTTTTAATAAACTTATTAAAATTATATCTAGCACTGATACATGATGAATCGTTCTTGTGCCATGGTTACAAATTTGTTAAATTCGAAGTATTAACCTTACATAACTAAGAACATTTATTTTAATATAAACTTTTCACTTACATTTTCCCAAAACAAGTAGCGAGCCATAGGTAATGTATCTAACCATAAAAGATTTTCACAAAAAATATTAAATTTGTTATTTTAATGGATGCTAATAAAGTGATAATCCCACCTGCGCTATTAATATACGCCAGCAGGGCTCTAGTGGAACTAAAAGATGATATGCGGGTATATAAGGTAGTTGGTCCATCGTAACGAATTCATCAAGAAATAATGGTTTCTAGCGGATTGTGTGGAGAGGTAAATACTTCTCTCCTTCCACTTTATTATTAAAAATATCAGTCTGATTGTTGCAATCAGAGCAGTTAGTGAAAAAATAACATAATAACTGGGAGCAAATTGAGCAATGCATCTGCGTTCCAGTAGTTTAATGCGTCTTTGAATGTCAAAGCCGCAACTTTTAAACTGTTTTTTTTTTCCAACAAACGAAAAGTTCTTTATATATAAGATATATTTATATGAATTGGAAAGTACTTACAATTAGACAACTATTTATAATTAATACCATTCTGAAACAACATAAACGAGTAATTTATGATCTTAATATTACATAAACAAAGAGGCGACATGATTTGATACGTAGTACTCAATATTTTTAAACGGCATTTAGTCATATTGCCCTTGTTATCTTGGTCGTCATCTGTACAATGCTAGTAATCGTATTTTGAATATATATTCGCTCACTAGTATCGAATATAAACAAATTCGAATATATCGAAAAATTACTGACTGGCTATTTGCACTGGACTATGAGGAGATGGAGAACCTCATCACTTCAAATAATTAAATATATTACCATAACCATACGTTTATTTCGTGCGTTACGCATGCACCCACTAATTCCATACACACACACACACACACACACACACATGCACAGTCACTGTGGAGACGTTGTACAAAAGTCGATTGCTTGGGTACCTCTGTCCTATTCGTGTTTCAACCGTGAAGCAGTTGCGTTTGCATGGCTGTATTTCGGTTTGAAGGGTGGGATATGGTGTGAATATACTGGATACAGAGAAATAACATCTGAGTCCTCAGGAATGGTAACGCATGGGGGGTATCATGGGCGAAACAGTATACTCAGTTATGTCCATGGTACTCCTCACGTCTATAGGCGACGGTTACCACTTTCCATCAGGTGGGCCGTCAGCTTGTTTGTCATTCTAAATTGTATAAAAAAAAAAATTGGGAGTACTTTAGATGTCTTTAGCATACCATTTTTCAAAGAAAATAATTGAAAATGTTTTTATTTTTTATTTGGACATTCAAAATTTTAAAATAAACCTAGCTAGTCCAACTGAGATACCATTTGAAAGGACTTCAATTGTATATTTTAAAACTATCTTTTAATTATTTTGACACTAAGTAGTTTTTGACTTATGACCACAAAAATAAATAAAAGGTAATTACCATCTTCCATCTTCATTTTGGAAGTTTATGAAGTAGAAGCTCTGAAATATGTAATTATTTTTAACCACAAAGTTTAAAAAGTTATGTATATCATTATGTGAATAAGAGATTACGAATTACAATATTAAAAATAATAACCTAGTGTCTATTTCGTGTAACAAATACAATAAAAAATATTTTATTATATATCTATGGACGGATCTTTCGCCGTGTGAGTTCTACTTGAATTTGACCGATTCTATTATTATTTAAAGGGAAATTATGGCGTGTAAGAGCAGTATATATTATCCAAACTTAGATTTTTAGTGAGTTCTGGTTCATTTTATCTGGCAACACTGGCAACATTTTTTTTTTTGCGAAAATGCTATTTTGTAAACTTTAATTTCCCTTCCCGCCGGCTCTTGACGGTTTGCTTTTGGCACGTGCAATTTTCATTAATTTTTAGTGAAATAGAGCTTTCCATTTCTGTATACAGTTCATCACTGATGCTGACTGTTTGGATATAATATTTAGGTGAGTGTTTTATTGTTATTTTTATGTCACAGCTCCGATTTATTGTTTGCACGTGTTGTATACTGTAGACAGCAAAACAACCATTTGCATTCTCCAAGTCTTATAGCTACGATATGGTCTTGTGGACATTTATATTGCGTGTTGTTTTTGTGTATAATGAAGATCACGATCGCAGGTAATCGATTTTCGTGTAATGTGTACATTTATGAAGTAGCGTCATTTGTTTTTGTTTACCTGCAGATATTTTAGCTGTTGTGTGTACAATGTCACCGTCTCCGATCCGCTGTCGCGGACCTTGGAAAATACATAAGCGTTGTTCGGAAACGGATAGATGGCTTGACGAAATGGGTTTCTATAGAAAACACACAGCTAGGGATTCCAGCTGCCTTTTCAGGGTCGTCTCCGAAAATATTTATAATATACAGAAGTATTTTCACAAAGTGAGGGTGGAGTGTGTTCGTTTTATGGCCTCTAGGAGACAACTATTCGAAGGGGTAGGAATCATTTTTTCTTGATCACTAGAATTTGTTTAATTCCTCTCTGTGATATGACTATAACTTAAATATTTTATTTTGTAGTCATTGAATTGTCCATTTGAAAACTATCTCAAAGAGATGTCTAATCCATCAGAGTGGGGTGGACTTGTTGAAATTTCGGCAATGAGTCACTTGTATAGGTAAGGATACATTTATTAATGTTCCAATCATTACTTTTTATATTTTACTTTAAAAAATGTTGGTATAAAACTTGGAATTCTATTCCAGACGTGATTTTGTTATTTTCGAAGCTAACAAAGGTCCACAAACCAATATATCAAACGGTTATGGAAACCCAATATACTTGTTTTATTGCCTTGAAACAAAACATTTTGATGCAGTATATACTAAAGAATTTATAAATGCATCATCATTTTGTCAGTGTAAGTTAATTTTCTGTTAATTAACAAATTCAATTAAATAATACACTTATAATTATACACAATTAAAGAAATGTCATAATAAATTTCTATCTTTAGTTAATTATAACTAATGTTAATATTTCTTACTACCTTTTGTATAATTCCATAAATATAGTAATATTTTTTTGTTTTATTTTTGTGGGTATTTACAAAAAATGAATTTTTAATGTTATCATATCCAATTATAGCTTTGGTCTATGAAGTTCTTTATGATGGAGTATACCAGCTCAAAGAATTGCCATATGCTGTTGATAAAATGCTGCATGACAAGGTACCAACAAATCACATAGAGTATTTCATGTCAGAGAATGTAGAACGCCGTAAGAGACAGAAGGAGAGAGCTAAGATTTTCGTAGAAGCTCCAAACGATGACGACAAGGACAGAAATAATAATGCGGTCACTCTTAAATGCAAGCACCACACTGAGGATGTAGAAAGGGCTAGTCTTCTTAAGGAGTCTCTCAGTATATTCGTGTTCAATCGTAGTTTGATACAACTTGAAAATATCTGTATGAATTGCTTGAATGTGAACAGTGCCAAAGACTTGATTGATAATGGTATAACACCGTTTCCTTACAAAGTGGCCAAAGCCTTAGACCCTGACATATACAGAAATATCGAATTTGATGTGTGGAATGAACTCAGACGAGGTAGTCTACAGTTGGATTTATTTATATTCTTGTTATACCTTACATTTATTACAGTGGGTAATGTATGTGGTTTTGCAGAGATGCGTTTCGGAGCTAGATATTCCGATGGTACAACTTTGCAAGTAGGAGTAAAATGCCTGTGTAGATTGCAACCCGAACAAACGGTAGCATATCATTGCCATATCCAGGAGATGCGCCCGGATGGGGGGCCTTGTCTGGTCTTTATTGAGGAGTTGGGGGAGAAGCGTGTGGTGAATTATGACCAGCTGGAGCCTCTGCCCCTGGATGAGATTAGACCCTGGGCGCCTCCATATAGGTACTCTCGTGCCAACTCTCAGTTCCTGACGCTGAGTCAAATGTTGCAGCAAATAGGTGTGGTGTTTATTTATTATTTCTGAGTGCAAGAGTTCAGCGCATTGTTTACATTGCTTATATAGGGGATTGTATTATTTTTTCGTAACTTTTTTGTATTTAATTATCAGAGTTATTTTAAACTTGACAAATATCAGTGTTAATAATTGTTTTTTTTTTTCATTTGACTTCCAAGAGGTTTTTAATTCATTTATATTTTTTTTATGTTCAGTTGTAAACAAATTTGGTAAATTCTTTTTTTTTTATCTGAATAGATACCCTTAAAGATTGGTCCAAAGAAATTTTATTAAAATCTGTTCAATAGTTTATGATTTTAATTTAGAGTTGTAACAATGGAAGTAATTTTGTGAAAAACAGTCTTACTATATTCCAGTACTTCGTCAATTCCATGTTGCGAGAATACCGTGATGATAAAAAAAAATGCATTTAACACTCGCATATTCAAAATTTTGAGTTTGTAAAATCGTTATTTCTTTGGTGTGTTTTGTATTCGATGGATTATTTTAATAGCACAATTTCTTTCTAATTTTTTTTTTTATAGATTTTTTTACTTAATATTATTTTTTTATGTCCCTGAAATAATTAAGTGTGTAAGCATTTTCACACACGGTAAAATAAAACAAACATAAAATAATAGGAAGCAAATAATCTATTATTAATACGCTTCTAAGAAACTGCTACCTGCCAACATCTGGGGTTGCCATCTGTCTGAAATTTAATTTTAAACCTCCGCATTGTTTACAAATTTCAAATACACTATCCGTACCATTATACCGTATTTATATTATTATTTGAAACCGACAAAAAAAAAATCAGCAATAAAAGTCAGGTATGTAGTTACTATTTACCTTCAAAGGCCCGATAGTGTATTTAAAATACGTGGCCAAAATTTTACATGTTTTTCTTTGTTTTGTTTACGATCCAATACTTTCTATTATATTTGGGCTTTATGCCAACAAAGCCAAGGTCTCTCTTTCTTCTTGTCGTAATTACTTATTTTTACAGATAACAATCCTTTTTACAATTGTTTATAATCTTTTTTTTGTTGTAACAATGCCTTGTTTAGAAATTTTGAGTGGATCGGTAACCGTGTAACGGACTGCGGTGTTATATGATAGCGTGTCAACCCTAATTATTATTACTTTTACAAACAAAACACGCCACAAACAGGGCTACCACCAACCGACTCGTTTACAACGCATGCGTTTAACTCTTGCACATGTTCACGACGATAAAATTACATATATATTTAATTTCAATAAAATTCAGGCAGCGTTACTCGAAAGCAAGGGCTGAAAGTGAGAAATAAATCGAAAAATGCTAACGACGAGTCAAAGGTCCCCGAGAGAACTATAAAGCAGGCTCCTAAACTGTCATGGAAGGAGGAAAACGGGGCGGATGGGCACCAAGTACCTCAATACCTACCCCAAACCGATATTGAATTCTCTACATACCAACATTTGGATTATGTTAACTTTGAACCAATGCCTGTTAGTTAGTGTTTAGTCTAGTAGTTGTAGGTTACCGGCTTTCATTTATAAGCATTTTTACTTAACGTACTAAATACGTGAACCATTTGATCAGGTAGTTAGTTTAATTTCACGTTTTGTTGTTTTAACACGTTTGTTGTTTCAACGCTTATCTTTAATAATAACTTCAAAAAATATTGATACTGTTTAAACGATAACTTAAAAGATAAACGTATTTGGTGTTAGTGGATCATGCGTGCGGTTTAAACACAATTACGTTAGAGACATAATATACACTCAAATTAATTTTTGGAAAAAAAAACGCAACTTTGGAATTTTTTTTGTAGACTTTTCTCAACAAATGACAAGTTTTTTTTATACAACTTAAAATGGCAAACAAGCTGACGGCTGATGACACCTGATGGAAAGTGGTAACCGTCACCTATTAGACATGAGCAGTACCATGGACATAACAGAGTATACTGTTTCGCCCATGATACCCCCCATGCGTTGACATTCCTGAGGACTCAGGTGTTATTCCTCTGTACCCTGTAAATTCACTGCCATATCTCTTCAAACCGAAACACAGCCATGCAAACACAACTGCTTCACGGTAGAAACAGGAATGGGAACTTTCTGAAATTACATTAGGATCGTGATAAAGTGACGAATGGAAATAGCTTTTGTATAAGACCACTTAAATGGTTATTTTTTATTTTAATTTAAAAATATCTCTAAGCTAGTATTCATCCATATCTGTTCAGTAATTCGATATGGTGACAAGCGATATCGACCGCTTGACATTATCTGTCTACCCTCATTTAGATATTTAATACGGTAGACAAAGAGAACTTAGTACCAAAGACCTACCTTTACATACACTTCACTTCACTTAAGGTACCACCTTCCACTTTCCACTAAATTGTTTCATGCATACACGCGAATTCTAGAGACTTGTTTAGCTTGGAGACGCTGGTTTTTTTTTAATTTAAACTGCAAAATTGTATATTAATCATTACGTAATCGTCATAAGTAGAATTGACCACAAATCAATTTATGATATAATTATTTTTTTTATATTACTCAAATTCTTTTCTCTTACATTTTTCACGACTCTGGAACGCCTGATACCATTAAAAGACTACCGACTAAACCGTCTTTAAAAAAAGCGTTCACGCTCATTTTTTTTTACTTTATCCTAACAGTAAGTGCTTTATATTATTTATCAATTTCGTGTATAATATAGTATATGTTGTATAATTAAGTATATATTTATTCGTTTATATATGTAATTTTAGTATGTAAGTATATCAATAATTACTAGTACCGCATTCGAGTGTTCTGACACTTCCCTATGGTTGACTGGGAGAGAATGCTTTTAGCATTAAGTCCGCCATGTACACGTATATGTACTAATGTATAAGTAAATTATATTAAGTACGACTTAATGAGCATATTTCATAACTTATTAATGAAAAGTATTTTTACTTAGGCAATAATTAATTAGGCAATTAATTATAAGTGGAAAATTTTAATTCATTTAGCAAAAATGGCGACATTTCACGGAGAATGCGAAGTTGATTCTTGCTCGGTGGTCGCGGATAGGCAATCAGTAATGTAGGCATTGCGCACTTGTGCATAAATCGAGCACTAACTATTTAGCGTTCCCGGAATTAATGCGTTGGAGGTGTCATATTTTTAACCGTCTTCAAAAAAGAAAAGTCTCAATTCGTCGGATTTTTTAGTTAGATTATGTATATTCATCGATTACTCGAATACGCCTGGGCCGATTCGATTATCCAGGTTTTGTTTTTTATAGGATACATAATCTAAAATCTATTTATTTGTATTTTTATGTTAATATAGTGAAAAAATAGGCTATTAATAGTATAAATTATATATGTTTATATATTATATATGTATATGTATGTATGTATGTTTGTATATGATAATATTTATATAATAGTGCCCCACCTACCCTTTGTCTTTAATTTCTTCTCATTAATATTTACTGTAGTTGTTATTTCTCTTTTTACTTGGTACAATAAAGTGTAAAATAAATAAATATTAATAACTTTTTTTTTATACAACTTGGAATGGAGATCAAGCTGACGTCCCACCTGATGGAAAGTGGTAACCGTCGCCTATAGACATGAGCAGTACCGTGGACATAACAGAATATAATATAATGGACATAATAACTTAATAAATAAATATTAAAGTAAATTTAATATTTATACTTGTTCATTCATAAATTTTTTACCTCGTCCACCGAATTCAAAATTTTAATGACGGTATTTCGTTGTATTGTAAAATTTTTATGGTACGTAATTTACCGTTTCAAGTTTCCGATGTTTTATTGTTCATCGGAACCGTTTGAAAGTAAAAGATTAGTGAAAAGTACATGCTTTGTTCCGCCAACTATTAACACAAGGTGCTTATGAATGGAAGGGGTATTCAAGTTTACCATATCGTAGCTATAGTGTTTATTTTAGTTTCGTGTTACCTCTCGCACAGTGTAGACGTGTTTCGCCACTCGTAGATAAAGTTGTGTAGTGTTTGAGATTTATTTTGAAGTGTATGTGTATTATCCAGCTTATTTTCTTGTAAATTGTAAGAGAGTGGTATTTTAGTATTAGTGTAGTACTAACTGTGTAGGTACATACTGACAGGCATAATTTTTTATTTCGTTTTTTCTTTTTTTTAATTGTAAAGAAAAGACGTGTGTTATTTTTAAATTTTTTTAATTAAATTAAAAAAAGGGGAATTTCTCAATTTTAGTTTATTTTCTTTTTGCCAATATTGAGTAGTTTTTTTTTTTTTTTTTATGGAATCTTTTGATGGTGATATTTTCTATTTGTGATATTTGTTACGGAATAATTTAAAAATTTTACACCCGGAATACTTTTATGTTCGTGTCATTGATTGAGATTGAGTTTTGTATTGAATAAAAAAAAAAGAATATAGAAAACAGTTCACAGATAACAAAAAAAAAAATACATAAATTGAGAACACCTTTACTTGAAGTACTTGTATAAAATGTTTTGTTTATGGGGTGACATTATGAACCTGTCAGTGATGTACTGCTAGTGCTTGTGTGTTGGTAGCCGCTAAGCGGAGTGTGTGGTCGGCAGGTTGTACTGCAAGCGCTGCCCCTGATGGCGGACTGCCGGCCGGCGGCCGCCGTGGCCCACGAGCTCGCACACGCGGCGTCCAACGGTGCGCCTTCTGACGCCCACCACCCCCAGCCTGCTCAGGTAACTGCTAACCAGCTGCTGTATTACTGATGGGGACTAGCGGCCCCGTTGCTAGTAATATCGACTAGTAAGGTCGACTTTCACACCCTGAAGGCCGTTGTGGTCACCGACAACTGACCTAGCTTCATCTCATTAGTGCCTCATCAGCGTACACCGGTATTACAGACAGGGTCATTGTATTATTTCAATTAAATATATTTAAATAACCTAGCTGACCCGGCGAACTTCGTTCCGCCTAGCAGTCGATTCTTTAATTTTTTAGATTTTTTTTTTATTATGATACCTACTTAATTTCATTTTATTTTTACTTATTCCAAATTAAGTTGTATTTTTATTGACAATAGCTGTGGCATGCGCGTGAGCTGCGCGCGGTACTGGACATTACTTGGACATTGCAACATTACTTTATTTTTCTAAAATAAAGTAATGTTGCAATTACCAGAGGGAGACTTTGTACAAAAGTCGATTGCTTGGGTACCTCTGTCCCATTCGTGTTTCAACCGTGAAGCAGTTGTGTTTGCATGGCTGTGTTTCGGTTTGAAGGGTGGGATATGGCGTGAATTTACTGGGTACAGAGGAATAACACCTGAGTCCTCAGGAATGGCAACGCATGGGGGGTATCATGGGCGAAACAGTATACTCTGTTATGTCCATGGTACTGCTCATGTCTATAGGCGACGGATACCACTTTCCATCAGGTGGGCCGTCAGCTTGTTTGCCATTCTAAGTTCTATAAAAAAAAAAAAAAAAAAAAAAAAAAAAAAAAAAAAAAAAAAAAAAAAAAAAAAAAAAAAGATAATTTTTATAAAATTAACGTAGCCTAAGTTACTCCCTATTACATCAGCTACCTGCGAATAAAAGTCCCGTCAAAATCGGTCCAGCCATTTCAGAGATTAGCCGGAACAAACAGACAGACAGAAAAATTGTAAAAAATGTTATTTTGGTGTATGTACCGTATATGGTATATCGTCATAGTCGTAGAATACTGACGGATATATATAGTTAATCTTTGTCTACGACTATGACGATATATTCATAATAAACGGTTATTTCAATATTACAAACAGACACTCCAATTTTATTTATATGTATAGATAAAAGTATCCACCATTAATCTTTTTTAAAATTTTTTTTTTTACAACTTAGAATGGCAAACAAGCTGACGGCCCACCTGATGGAAAGTGGTAACCGTCGCCTATAGATATTATTTTGCAACTCAACAAACTTCCTATTTCTGAAAACGTACTTTGTTTTTTTTTTCAATTCAGACAAATATGTTTTTTACCCAACTCTCAAAGTAGCCGTAGAGTTTTTTTTTTTGTGTGTATGCATGTTTGTGCGAATGGTGTGTTCGCAGCTTTACGGCAAGAACATTTTTTTTTCGCGCCATTTTTTAATAATGCAAGTGTCCGAAAAAATTCCTAATTAAAATTTCCAAAATGTGATGATTTTTTTTTTTAATAACAATCGAACTGTTTTTAATTATTATTATTTGTAGTTTGTACTATTTTCATACATAATATAATGTATGAAAATAGTATTTATGTATTTACATAGCGTATAAATATATTTATGTAGGTATGTACATAGAGATGTTATTGAGTATTGTGCAGGCTATTAATGTTATTCATATAATATAAATATAAATTAATTTATTTTAATTTACTTTAAAAGGGAAACATACAATACCTAAAACATAAATAGTAAACACAGCCAAAATATATATCAGTGAAGTTATATATATATATATATATATATATATATATATATATATATATATATATATATATATATATATATATATATTTTTTTTTATGGAACATAGAATGGCAAACAAGCTGACGGCCCACCTGATGGAAAGTGGTAACCGTCGCCTATAGACATGAGCAGTACCATGGACATAACAGAGTATACTGTTTCGCCCATGATACCCCCCATGCGTTGCCATTCCTGAGGACTCAGGTGTTATTCCTCTGTACCCAGTAAATTCACGCCATATCCCACCCTTCAAACCGAAACACAGCCATGCAAACACAACTGCTTCACGGTTGAAATACGAATGGGACAGAGGTACCCAAGCAATCGACTTTTGTACAAAGTCTCCCTCTGGTAAATATGGTAAATATATATATATATATATATGCAGTATTTTCACTTACCAGAGGGAGACTGTACAAAAGTCGATTACTTGGGTACCTCTGTCTCATTCGTGTTTCTACCGTGAAGCAGTTGTGTTTGCATGGCTGTGTTTCGGTTTGAAGGGTGGGATATGGCGTGAATTTTTTTTTTTTTTTTTTTTTTTTTTTTTATACTACTTAGAATGGCAAACAAGCTGACGGCCCACCTGATGGAAAGTAGTAACCGTCGCCTATAGACATGAGCAGTACCATGGACATAATAGAGTATACTGTTTCGCCCATGATACCCCCCATGCGTTGCCATTCCTGAGGACTCAGGTGTTATTCCTCTGTACCCAGTAAATTTACAGAATTTACAGGGTACAGAGGAATAACACCTGAGTACACCTGTACTCTGTTATGTCTATGGTACTGCCCATGTCTGTAGGTGACGGTTACCACTTTCCATCAGGTGGGCCGTCAGCTTGTCTAAGTCGTATAAAAAAAAAACGCCAAGCTTTATACTACAGTGTTATTAAAATGTGTTGGACGGATACACAAAGTGTAGTGAAAAGTTACACAAACTTATGTTGAAGAAGCTGGTTTGGAGTAAAATATTAAATACATATTAATTTATATAATTTGTTTCAGCCTACGAGCGGCGAGATGGGTAGTCACGGGGTCAATTCCCCGGCGGCGCGCGCATCCACGCCCGCCACCACCTCCGCTTCGTATGCAGGTAACACTCATTTATATATTCACTAGCTAGTTATTTCATAAGGCTTTCCTCGATTTAGGATAAAAATGTACCCATATCGACGGTCAGTGCCATTGTCAACCACAGTTAGGCTTTGGTGATGTTTTAGAGAGGATGCTGCAGCTCATCACTCGACCTAAAAAATCCTTGACTCACTGTACAGCTGTAACATTTTCTCCATGAGAGTTGGAGTTTTTATTAATTAACCACCAACATGTTAATCCAGAGCATAGTATATATATAGTATATATATATATATATATATATATATAGCATAGTATGGACTGATATGGATTTCAGAAGTAGAAAAACCGAAAATGGGCCTAGATATAATTGTTACGTTGTCACATTTCCTCAAGAATGACAACGCATAGGGGTATCATGGGCGAAACAGTATATTCTGTTATGTCCACGGTACTGCTCATGTCCATAGGCGACGGTTACTACTTTCCATCAGGTGGGCCGTCAGCTTGTTTGCCATTCTAAGTTGTATAAAAAAAAAAACTTTTCAAGACAAAGTTATGAACAATCTGAATATTTTTCGACATGACTTTATATTACACGTGTAATCGATTCATGTCTATAGGCGACGGTTACCACTTTCCATCAGGTGGGCCGTCAGCTTGTTTGCCATTCTAAGTTGTATAAAAAAAAAAATCCGATTCGAGTCGATTAAATAAAATGATATTTTTTGTCCGTGATCAAAAATCAATTTCCCATCGAGTGGGCTGCAAACGAGCAATTTTTTTCTTTAATGTATGATAATTAAATGGTAACTCTGCCCGCGCTATCGGTATACACTGGCAGGGTACCAGTGAAAGATGATTGGTGAGGATGAAACAGCCAGGTCAGTTAGTCCATTGTGACAACTCCTCTAGAATTAACCGCTATGATTTCCAGGGGGAACCGCGTGGAGGTCGACCCGTTGGGGTATATCTGCTGGCAATGAAGCAGTTGAACCCTATTAGTAACAATCTCTTTGCCTCCGCAAACGAGGTTTTTGCTATTGTTTCGTAAATTGTTGTAAGTGGGTGCCGTGGCGGCAGCAGGCGCGGGTGTGGCGAACGTGGCGAGCGTGGCGAGCGTGGCGGGCGTGTCGGGCGTGGCGGGCGCGAACAACGGCGCGGCGTACGGCGCGGCGTGCGGCCCGTACGCGTGCGGCGTGAAGTCGCTGGTGTGGTGCGCGCCGCAGTCGCCGCCGCCGCACGCGCCGCCGCACGCGCCGCCCGCGCCGCTGCTGGCGCCGCCGCCGCCGCCGGTGCCGCCGGTGCCGCACGCGCCGCCGCCGCCGCCGCCGCCGCCCGGCGTCGCGCTGCACGTGCACAAGAGCATGCTCGCCAACGGCGCTGATCTGCCCATGAATGGTTCGTATCTCTGCAGCGCGGCTGCTCAAACGTTGTGGTATTTTTAATGTAATAACTACCGGTTCAACTTACGTGTAATTAGACCGAGGAAGCTAGACTAGTTTCACAATCAATTCGTGTTCCTTAGTCGTGAGTGACAAATATAGTGTGTGATTATGGGACTTTTTAACAATAGTGTTTTTTTTTGCTGGGTGAAAATGGTATGGTAAGCCCGTCTGCGCTATCGGCATACACTGGCGGGGCACTAGTGAGAGGTGATAGGTGAGGATGAAATAGCAGACCAGTTAGCCCATCGTGACGAATTCAACGATAAATTAGTCACGATAGTTTCCAGGGGGAACCGCGTGGAAATCGGCCCGATAGGGTATATTGATAGCAATGGGGACTAACCTCCCCATTACTAACAATCCCTTCCCCCCAACAATAGTTGAGGTAGATCACCAACAGTACTCAGAGTAGCTGTGCCGCTATACGATGGTCACAGTAGACATTCTGTTGGTGAAAAAATAAAATGGATACCATATTGTTGATAACATATTTGTGTTTTTTTTACATCTCTCTTTTTTGCCTCAATATTTTAAATTAATAAATAGTGAAATTGTTAATATTTAATATTAATTCTATTACAATTCAATTTTTTTTTTGCCGAGCAAAGTCTAATATAAGTCTAAGTTACCTTCAGAAATAAAGGATCTTCCGATAGAGAGGGTAGAGGGTGGGATATGGCGTGAATTTACAGGGTACACAGGAATAACACCTGAGTCCTCAGGAATGGCATCGCGTGGGGGGTATCATGGGCGAAACAGTATACTCTGTTATGTCCATGCTACTGCTCATGTCTATAGGCGACGGTTACCACTTACCATCAGGTGGGCCGTCAGCTTGTTTGCCATTCTAAGTTGTATAAAAAAAAGAGAGATTTAGATTAAACTTATTTCACTTTCTTTTGGAAAGGTGCTATTACACAGTTATAGAATATTTAAATGACAAAACAATGTAATAAAAGATGTAATGTATTAAAAATTACTATAAATTTGAAAAATGTTTGGTCTGAATAATTATAATATAATGTAAACCATTTTAACATTTGCATACTTCTGCGGGGGGGGGGGGGGGGTGCATGTTATGTGCCTGTATATGTATGTAACGTCTTATTGTACCATGCAGCAAGCGAACAAATATGATTTGATTTGATAAATGTGTAATTTTAACATCAGATGTTCCAACTCTGCGGTACTACTACAACCTGGGCGTGGACTACATGTGGTCGATATACGGACCTCCGCCGCCGCCGCACATGATGCGACATTACTCCCCACGGGATATGACGCAGGTACGCCAACTGTCACCGAACGTATAGACACTAGTCTGGTATGATGATGTTGGCATCACTGAAGTTAGATTCAGAACCAAAGATTATGGTTGGGCTCCCTGCCGAGGTTTTCCTAAGAGACTACAGCGTGGGGTTCTTCAAAAGGGGGGTAAAGAGGTTTCTTCAGAGTCGGCAACGCGCGCGTAATACCTCTGGTATTGCAGGCGTTCATAGGCTACGGTAATCGCCTACCATTAGGTGGGCCGTATGCTTGTTTGCCACCTCAGTGGTATAAAAAAACAAAGATTTTGGTATAGAATAGATGGAATGCATAACTCACATAGTGACTTTGTACAAAAGTCGATTGCTTGGGTATCTCTGTCCCATTCGTGTTTCAACCGTGAATCAGTTGTGTTTGCATGGCTGTGTTTCGGTTTGAAGGGTGGTATATGGCGTGAATTTACAGGGTACAGAGGAATAACACCTGAGTCCTCAGGAATGGCAATGCATAGGGAGTATCATGGGCGAAACAGTATACTCTGTTATGTCCATGGTATTGCTCATGTCTATAGGCGACGGTTATCACTTTCCATCAGGTGGGCCGTCAGCTTGTTTGCCATTCTAAGTTGTATAAAAAAAACTATAACACGAATATTGGAAAATATAATCAGAATAACAATAAAAAATGTAATGAGAAATAACAAAGTAATGTTACCGTGTCCAGGATATGCAGCAGATGTCTCTACACGATCGCGCCAACCACAACGGCAACGACCACAACCACAAGAACAAATCTAACAGCAATGACAAGCAACAGCTGAACAATCAGACGAAGGGCAATGGACAACGACCACTGCTGGGGCCCAGGTGAGCACCATCCAATATTACTGTAGTCCAAAATGTAAATTTACGTTTAGAAATCCTCGGAATGGTGAGGTCTGTGAAGATCCCAGGAAGCTTCTGTGCTTCTGGGCGGAACTGGATTAGCTGTACTAGCCACGACTCCTGCGCACAATGACCCAAACGAGAGGCTAAGCGCGGAAAAGAGGGTTCAATTTACATTACGTTACATTACAATGGAAATGAATGGATAATTGATCTAATTTTTACCACCATAGAACCCGCCATAAACTAAAATTTCATCCCAACCATCTGGACCAGTGGCGGTCCTCCACCGTGCGTTTTTCAAGGCACTTTCTTCCACGCACAACCACTCTTTGGAATCAACTTCCAGCAGCAGTATTTCCGAATCGATACGACAACATAACATTCAAGAAAAGAGTATATTCCTTTTTAAAAGGCCGGCAGTACACCTGCAATGCCGTTAGTGTTGTGGGTGATCATGGGCGGCGGTAGTCACTTACCATCAGGTGAGCCGCATGCTCGTTTGCCCCCTGTGTTGTAAAAAAACGAAAAAAGGCAGTCTGCTGAAATATAAATAGAAGTCTATTGATTGACTGAATATTTTTTAGATGTGTCTCTAATGTCTATATGAACAGAGAGTATTTTTGTGAAAATTTGAACAAAAATTTACTACCTATTAATTAAGTTCCATTGAAATTATTTTCAAAGCAATGGAATATATATATATATATATATATATCTAATATATAAAATTCTCGTGTCACGGTGTTTGTTACCAAACTCCTCCGAAACGGCTTTACCGAATTTTATGAAATTTTGTGCGCATATTGGGTAGGTCTGAGAATCATCGGCCAACATCTATTTTTCATACCCATAAGGGTGACGCACTCCAAAATATTTTTTTTTTTAATTTTTTTTATATACACACACACTCATGAATGCTCCATATTTATATACATACAACTGACTAGAATAAATAAAATATAAAGAATGTTGCTTATAGACAGGTTGCTTATGTAGAGCGTTCACTGTACTATATTTTTACATTTATTATATTTGTATGTACTATATTCTAAACACTTACATTTAATGGTACACTAGGTGTAATGAAGGGAGGTTGAAGATATTGCTGGGGAACGAGGTGGTTGGAAGATGAATTGGTTGCACCGACAAGAGGAAACTCTTATATGAAAAGAGAGACTGAATGGTTGAGTGATGCACAATAGTATCCCTTTTAAAACATCACCAATGTCTAATGCGGTTGCAAACCTGTTTGCCAAACCTGGCAACTACTGGCATAACGCACCTTATGGTGGAAAACTATGTTCAGCATTATTATTAACGAAATTATTTGTATTATTTTTATATTACGATTTTCTAGGCTAGAAGGTACGCTAATTTTTTTAATGTATTCCCCTTGTACATAGATTTAAACGTGGTGGAAATAATCAAGACGGCGGCCAAACGTCCAATCACAATCAAAACAAGGGGCATAACAACAATATGGGGAACAAAGGGCCCAATAATCGGTACGTATATATACTGTGGTTATTTTTTATTTAGTTTTTGTCTAATTATTTTATATATTATAGGATTTGGAGGGGGGGATAAGGATGTGTGTTTAAAATGGGGAAGAGGAGTGGATCTGGTGAAATGTCATTTATATTGTGCGCCTTTTTAAAAGGGCCAAGCTTCCAGGAAAATAGTTTTAAACACACCAAAGGGGGATAGGTGAGGTTGATGTTAGGTCGGCTAGCTCATCGTGTAAGCAGGAAGATGGCCAGCAATCGGACTTGCTATTAATAATTGCAATTTTTAAGTATATTTTTTAAATTATACAGTACTATCATACGTACTTATACAACAATTAGTCCATTGCCCTAAGGTTGTCTTGAAAAGATTGCTCTCAGCAATAAGACCGCCTCACTGTACTTATACAATTGTATCGTTGCGTTTGTAAATTGTCTTGCTTATTTCCTTTATTGTATAATGCAAATAAAGTATACTCATTCATTCATTCATTCATGAACGTTGTAAATAAAATTTTGTTAATGCTATTTGTTAATATTTTGTAATTGTAATAAATTATAAGTCTATTTAATGGTAAATATTGCTGAACAATTGTAATTAATTTTACTGGCCATCACCAATATTTAGTATTTTTTTTTACGCAACATAGAATGGCAAACAAGCTGACAGCCCACCTGATGGAAAGTGGTAACCGTCGCCTATAGACATGAGCAGTACCGTGTACATAACAGAGTATACTGTTTCGCTCATGACACCCCCATGCGTTGCCATTCCTGAGGACTCTGGTGTTATTTCTCTGTACCCTGTAAATTGACGCCACATCCCACCCTTCAAATCGACACACAGCTATGCAAACACAACTGCTTCACGGTAGAAACACGAATAGGACAGAGGTACCCAAGCAATCGACTGTTACTGACTATTTATTTATTCATTAGTACAAATATGTGTACATGGCGGATTTAATGCTAAAAGCATTCTCTCCCAGTCAACCATAGGGAAGTGTCAGAATACTCGAATGCGGTATTACTAATTATTGATATACATACATACTAAAATTACATATATAAACGAATAAATATATATGAATAACAAATATACTATTGTTTCATTTCTGTCATGTTGTAATGACAATTCAGGCGTTCATTGGTCCGCAGCCGCAACTCGCACGTGGAGTCCCGCGTGGCGGCGGGCGGCGGCGGCGGCGGCGGCGGCGGCGCGGGCTACGTGGAGGCGGGCGGCGGCGCGGCGCTGGCGGACGGCGGCGCGCCCGACGGCGCCGTCGGCGCGTCCGTGGTGCCGCTGCCGTACATCCCGTACCCGCCGCCGCTCTACCCCGTACCCTACTACCCGGTGGAATCCGATCCGAGTATGTACACTTTACAACATAATAAAACTATTATTATTTTCAAATGATACCCGACCACACTAATTACGTGGTCTCCGACATAGGACACCCTTAACAGGACTGGTGAGGAGTAAACTCGTCATTGCACTACCGTGTGGGTACGTCCTCCTACCATGATGGGTGACACCGTTTGGATTACAAAGTGTTCATGAGCAAAAATTACTTTGTATTTAGGCTTCTATCATAATTTTAGATTTATTCTAAAGATTGCAACTATGACAGAATTACCAGTCAGCAAAGTGTTAAGTTATGAAGAATCAGTATTGAATGTCTGAGAGCATAGTCTCAGAGAAAGAGAGAGTATAGAACACCACACCAAAGTCAGATTAGAAAAATGGATGATAATGAAATGGTAACCAGGATAGATGATAGATAAGGATGGAAACCAAGCTGGTCAATTAGCTCATCATGAGGAATTCCACAACAGTTACCCACGATTATTTCTAGGGGGAATCACGTGCAGGTCGACCTGAGGATATTGCAAGCGTTGTGGCTGGGGGAAAAGGGATTGTTAGTAATGGATACTGAGAATCCCATTGCTAGCAATGTACATAACCAGGTCGACATCCTCGCGGTTTCCCCTGGAAACTATCATGGTTAATTCCAGATGAATTCATCATGATGGGCTAACTGGCTTGTTTTCATTCTCATCTATCATCCTTCACTGGTACCCCGCCAGCGTATTCCGTTAGTGCGGCCGAGGTTACCATTCCATTTTCATCAAAAAAAAAAGCGTTGGGGCTGTTAGACCCCATTACAAACAACTCCTTCCCCCCATCTCATACTGTCAGTAGATTCTCTACAAATTGCTACATTCAACTAAGCAAATCGTACTCCCGCAGCTATGATGAGCATGATGGGTGGCATGAGCTACGTAAGCTACGACGACGGCATGGAGTACGGCGCGCCGCTGCAGTACTACCCGCCGCCGCCGCACTTCGCGCCTCACCACCACCAGCCGCACCATCCGCACCCGCACCCTCACCAGCACCAGCACCAGCATCACCAGGACCACAAGTAGGACGCTGCCACCCACACCAGCCAGTAGTCTGCGTCCAACTCGCACGTGTCCTGCCAGTACTGAATAACACTACTTGGAGACACAGCGATGAAATCTAACAATACGATAACTAAAGAGTGACCTCCTCCCCCCTCAACCTGAACCCCCCAAAAAAAGGGTTTTTCATGTAAATTTACTTATAAACCTATTCTAATTATTGAAAAGTTCAAGATTATGAGTTGATTTTGAAATTGTTGAATTTTTCAGTAATTGACACAGGTTTATATCAGATCTTGCGAGTTATAAATAAGGGGAACGATCTGCGGAATGTAGTGGCTTAACTTCCGCGATTTAAAGGTTACTTTAAAATTTGTAAAACCAATTAGCTAGTTAAATTTGGTCGCTGTGTATTTAGCCTAATAAATAGGCGAAGATCGTACTTGGGAAGTGTTCACACCAAACATATGCGTAATCTTAACATAATACTCGAGTTTTTTTGAGAGAAATTAAAACAGCTTGTAGTCAGTGGCTTACGTGTAACAATCAAGTAGCGTTGGTTCCAAATAAATGATACAATATGCAAAGTTTGTACACAGTGGAACGCTGGCTCTATCGTTCACCGTATGTTCGGTTTGAGCACTCCCTTATGCTTCTTTTGTACTAGCACGGGACACTGTAAGGATCAAGAAGCTGTACTAAATAGGGATTGGAATGCCAATAAAATTCTTCACTAAATAACCCTATCTCATTACAATTAAACACTAAAAATATCCTGTCAAGTGTGAGTGAGATGGACGATAGCTAGATATTTTTGACAGTTCTCTCTATTAAATACCTATAATTGAAGTGTAAGAGAGATGGGAGACGCTAAAAGAAGTACATTATTATTATAATTGGTTCCAGTTTCAATGTCTATTTAGTTTAGTTTCTTGTTTGGGTTCGGATGGCTTACTCGCCGAGTTTAGATAAATTTGCATCAGAGCGTGAATATTTGAGTACATTATTTGAATATATATACTATCTATGAATAAGTTTTAATTATTGCTATTAAAATTTGGATGAAAACTTTCAGGTAACAGTCAAGTCAACAGACTTTCAGAAAATACTATAAATATATCGTATAAAATATATGTTTGATCCTTCGTATAAAATTCTTCCATGACTTTTCCCAATAAATGTACGCATATATTCATCGCTCCATTATTGTAAACTCAAAAATATACCTTAAAATTAAAACGTAAATTTGAAAATTCAGGAATTATATGCAAAAAAAAAATTATAGGTTAAAACACTACGATACTTACCGTATTAGTATGAACAAGTAGTAACTATATAGTATCATTTATTTCAAACATTTCATTTAATCTTTTAATATTTTTCTACGGTCTGGTCCTGAATAGAGTTCTAAAATTAATCTTATTTATATTTGAAAAATAATTCAATTTTTATTTATCAAAAAGTTGTTTAATTTATTGATATAAACATACCTTGCTAATTCTGAATTGGCGAATCTGTCTCACAAAGTGAGTTTTACATAGGAAATGTTTAAAAACATAAAGTAACTTAATTGTAATATAAATAACTCTTTTTCATATTTTTGTTCGTATTTGCCGTTGTTAAAATTAAATATAATATTTATTTTTATTTTATATTTATATATATATATATATATATATATATATATATATATATATATATATATATATATATATATATATATATATATATATATATATATATATATTGTTAGAATTGGCACAGCAAATGTTCAGTTTTTTTTTGTTCCCCTGTTTATCACTGTTTTACTGTTGTACATATTAATAAATTTATTTTACATATTTGCTGAGCCTAGATGTTATTTGTAAGCTTTAAATTTGTATATTCTATTCAGGACCGCGCCGTTACTTGCTGAATTTAAGAAATATTTGTACTAATAGTGTTACAAAAAAAAAAAACATTCTCGATTGTAGATTAAAAATATTTTTTTTTAGATAAATCACAGTCATATCTTGTGCTCGTATGTCGCATATCTCTCGTTCGTGATTATATTATATCATACAAATGGATCTTTTCCATTACAGATTAGATAGATTCGTATATCTATTAGGACAGTTGTAGTTTTTCTTATCACTTATATAACATTAATACTAAAGGGCATTATTGTATTGCACAAGAAATAGTAGGAAAATTTTATGTTAACCATATATTTAACTAATCGGTAAGTGTCGTGTGTAGAATTGGTTGAGAATGTTCAGGTCTGATCGCCTTAGCTGAAAGGAAAAATTTAAAACTTTAGTCCAAATCGTGAGTTGTGTACTAGATAAAACAGATTCGGTACTTAAAAACAACTATTTCGTCTAAGAAACATCAAAAGGGCCTAATCTATTTGAAAATAATAGAAAAACATGGTATATTAATGTAAAAAATATAAATTACTCCAAAACAACTGGACTATCGTACAATGAGTATGAATATACTAGACAAAACACCGGAATTGGTTGATTAAACGATGTTAAGACACATACTAAGTATTATTATATATAATTATAACGGTATAAGGTTTAGTTTCAGAAAGAAAAAAAACAATAAATATAGCAACGGAAAAACATTAAGAGTTCTGTTAGACGTACCGTTCTCAACCGATACAACGTGTAACAACGATGTTGCATCGAAAATTGTATACGATTGTCACATGATTACATTATTGTTTTTGTTATCAGGGCCTTTTGTCACTCGGCCTGTGCTGTGTACAGCGTCGATAGAATGTCAATTATATTAGCAATAATTTATTATATACGGATTTAAAAGGAAAACAAAGCAGATATTAGAAATTTTATATGTGTATGTAAATTCTATGATATATTTTGTCAGTGTTGTGTATTTTTAATATTTGGCATAGAATAATGTCAATAATTAGACGGACGGACGGAATCTCTCAATAATTTTGTGTTTAGAATTGCAAGTGTTCGAAATTTTGTTTTAGTTATCTCTACATTATATATATATATATATATATATATATATATATATATATATATATATATATATATATATATATATATATATATATATAATTTTTGTTTTACACTTGAGTGCGTCTAATTATTGCATCGTTTAGAAGTAAGGCAGCGTTTGTCCTGTACACAGCATGGCCGCGTGACAATTTGTATAACAATGGTTCGAGGCCCACATTATTAAATTTTTTAGTTGTAATATGTACTTAAAAATGTGACGCCAGTATGATCGTGGCGCAGTATTGTAAATGCGCCACTAAACAGAGTCGCGGCGCTCGCTCAGCACACGGTGCGACCGATATCGACTGACGAATTGTGCCCCTATGGTGATGCAACACGTTTCTTTCCAAAATTTTAATTCTCAAGTGTTCATTGGTGCTGCAAAATTGTCGAGGTTGACAGGGTTACGAGATATTTTTGTATGCATCGGCATTATACATAAATACGTTTTGTAGATGTTAGGCGCACTGTATATCATTCCTTAATGTATGTTAGGTGGAACTGTTCATTTTAAGCCAATAATATAGGTTGTATGTCTCAAATTTAGATAGTCGTTCGATATGTTCTCAACTGGGCTGTTCGCTGCACCCACCGCTATGTGTGACTACAGACCGGTTTAAATTTAAATGTAAAATTACTCTGGCTGTTAAGACAAGTGGCGAATAGATCTATTGTATACTTACAACAGGAAGATAGAGACGCTCGACATTGCTGTTTCGTTTTATCTAATGCGTAAGGTGGCGTAAACATTTCAGGGCTTCTAGACACGTGGCGAGCGAATTCGTCAATGGAATCGACATCGCTAGCGAGTCCGTGAGACAGAATGAGATAACAACGTCGGATGTCTAATTCCAACTCATGGACTCGCTAGCGATGTCGATTCCATCGACGAATTCGCTTGCCACTCGTCTAGAGGGTCTGATCTCTTTGCTACTTGTTTCTAGAATCCATATAATGTAGTTTTGTGTTTGCATATGCTACGTTTAAGTACATGTAATATATTCGACATATTAAATACTATTCGGTAAACTTAATCAAAATTTGTGTAGCAATACTATTTCATAGACTTTTTGTTAGTAAATACATAAAACCCAATTCAGTTACGATGTTAAATATGCTAATAGTTGACGCAGTTAGCGGTCGGTGCTACTAGCAGCCACCATCTAGGCTTACCTTAGTTTAGTTAGTGTTAAGTGTGTACAATTAACTCCCGTAAGCTCGCCACGAGTACTATAAAATAATGAGATCTCAAACGTAACTATAAAATATTCCCGCGTGCTAGAATCTCCTGAGACATTGAGCTGTCGTCGTAAGTGTATTAAGGGTCCCGCATTGATCTCAAAAATAATAATTCATTCTACATTGGTGCTTGGGTAGTCGTTTAATATATATGTATTTTTGTATAAATTATATGAAACACACTGAATTCACTCGTTCTCTCATACGTTCACAAAAGTGGTGTTTTCATCGCTACTGGTATGTTATTCGAACACGTCCGGTCACATTTGTACGTAAATAGTAAACCTAGTCTATGCATTTATTATGTTAGGTTCGTCATTAGCTGGTTGGTACACAAGATGGCGAATGTTGTAGTCGAACTATGCTAAATTACTGTTGTCGTAAGTTCACGTCGCGATTAGTTACGAGTATACCACAGTAACTAGTGTAGAGCGGGAGACAATAATGTGTACAATATCTGATTGATATACAGCGTTACTACTTACTTACTATACAGGTTAACATTTGGTATGTCTTTAAAATTATTTGGCTGTGATTCGATGTAATCTCTGAAGAGCTCGGAAGCAAGTGTGGACAGAAGTAAGTTGTAATACATACATACATATATTAGTGTTTAGGCTCGATACTAGTTTATTGATAAGAAATCTTATATCCAAATTCTCTGGTGTACTTATTATACATTTTTCATCTTCAATCGTTGCGATTGATTGCTAACTTGTGAACTGTCGATCCGCCCATGATTTTGTATCCAACTTTTGATATACCTGCATATATATATATATATATATATATATGACATATAATTATATATACTAACGTAATAACTACGTAACGAAATCTTAATTGTTTGTACAGAGCGTTGTTAAAAAAAAAAATTAAAAAATAAAAACAAAAAAAAAATAAGTGTACTCTTTTCTACTACGTGTGATGTTTAATATAAAGTCATTTTTGATGTTCCGCAGTATTAGTTTTAAATTACTAGGCGTAGAATTTATGTTAGCCGTTAATTAATGTTTACATAACCATAGATTATAGTGTTATTTTTTTTAAGAACTACCGTCAGTTACTTTATATCTCGTCAGGGAGTCGCCTAGTGCGATGTAATAAACGTAATGTGCCAATTGTATTCGACGCAGGAAATTGGCAGTGACTGTGAGACCAATAAATATTAATTGTATAACTGCCAAAGAACAAAATTGTTGTCATGTCATATCATTTAACAATAATCTACAATAATTGTGTTGTGAATATACTGTATGGTTAGATGTAATGTATAACTATATATATATATTGTGGTTGTACAGAGCTCAAAGTTGACGTAACGACGCTGTTCGCCTTTGAGATGTTATTTGTATTTTTTTCCAAATTCCATCGAATAAAGTAAACTGATTTTTCAAATGGTGTTTCATTTTTTAATAAATAAACTAATAATAATTAGTTGTGTTTGTTATTATTGTTGTCGAGTAAAAGGCTTTGTTAGGTAGAAAAACCTATAAAACTAGTACCTGTCTTCTATTGTGCTCACCCTTTTACACTACAGACCTAGTTTAGTCAGCAAAAACTCTACTAATAATATCTAATTATATTGTAATGCATTTTCTAGATACAGCGTGACAAAGCAATAGCATACTTCTTTAAAAAATACATTATTTAAAATAATCTAACTGTATTGTTGTCTATACATATTAATATTATTATTAAGACACTGTCTGACTCGACCCACTGAAACTGCGCAGAGATGTTGCATCTCTGTGCATCTTCTACCGAATTTATCATGGGGAGTGTTCTGAGGAATTGTTCGGATTGATACCTGCTGCTGATTTTCACCACCGTACAACCCGCCACAAACTGAAGTTTCATCTCAATCATCTGAACGAGTGGCGGCCTTCCACCGTGCGTTTTTCAAGGGACTTTCTTCCACGCACAATCATTCTTTGGAATCGACTTCCAGCAGCAGTATTTCCGAACCGATACGACAACATAACCTTCAAGAAAGGAGTATATTCTTTTTTAAAAGCCCGGCAGCACACCTGCAATGCCGTTGGTGTTGTGGGCGATCATGGGCGGCGGTAGTCACTTACCATCAGGTGAGCTGCATGCTCGTTTGCCCCGTGTTGTAAAAAAAACGGACTTCTTCAGACAGAAATCTAACACAGCGACCTCTGTGATCTTTTGTGCTCACCCTTTTTAAAATTTGCTGCTAATTGCTATCAGTGATAGGATTTTTTTTATCTCCTTTGGATATAAAGTGTGTTTTCCAAAAGAGATATTTATGTATGAGTGGGCTACAGCCACAAATTGTATGCTGCGATGTCTCTTTCTAATTCCGACAAAATCTGCAAACACTTTGGAGATAAACCTAGTAGTCCAGTGAGAGCTTTTATTAATACAATACATACACTAGAGGGAGACTTTGTACAAAAGTCGATTGCTTCATTCCTCTGTCCCATTCGTGTTTCTACCGTGAAGCAGTTGTGTTTGCATGGCTGTGTTTCGGTTTGAAGGGTGGTATATGGCGTGAATTTACTGGGTACAGAGGAATAACACCTGAGTCCTCAGGAATGGCAACGCATGGGGGGTATCATGGGCGAAACAGTATACTCTGTTATGTCCATGGTACTGCTCATGTCTATAGGCGACGGTTACCACTTTCCATTAGGTGGGCCGTCAGCTTGTTTGCCATTCTAAGTTGTATACAAAAAAAGAATAATACACAAATGTTTTTACTCCAAAGAAGTTATTAGTTGTAACCCCGCCTGTAGCTTGTAGGCTGTATTATGAACGAATATGTGTTAAACTACTAGAGCGTAGTCTAGGTTGACTGGTAGAGAAAGCTGCTAGCATTAAGTCCGCATTTCGCACCTTAATTTGGTCAATAAAGTTATGAAAACAAAATAAAAAAAAATAGTTTAACTGAGCATCAAATTTCATTCGAATTTCAGACAAACATTTCGAAAATTTAAATTTGTTCAAAAATTAGTACATTTTGTTTTTAAACAAAATTTTATGTACGTGTTGCTGATTTTCTTGACTATGACTTTTGTTAATAGATTATAATGGAATGGTAACCCCGAGTGATGATAGGCGAGAATGAGAGACTGTACAAAAGTCGATTGCTTGAGTACCTCTGTCCCATTCGTGTTTCTACCGTGAAGCAGTTGTGTTTGCATGGCTGTGTTTCGGTTTGAAGGGTGGGATATTTTTATAAATTAAACCATTAGACATAAGATACGTAATCTTTAATAATACAATGACAATGCACGTCATAAAAACATACATTTAGAAAACAGTAGCAAAGAGTTTATAACATTCGTCCACCCCTAACAAGACTAGGACATCTCTGCGATAAGACGTCGGGGTGGTTTGACAACTCGCCTACTACGTCTTTCGTCAATTGCGGATGTACCACTACTACGTGTTTACCCTTCGACTGTAGGTGGTAAACTACTCCTTTCAAGAACGTTAGGTTTAAATGCCATCTTAGTTGAGTACTTCGGCGTTTTGTCGTTGCACCTCATGGGTATTATTTCAAATTGAGCTTGAACAACTGGCTGTGTTGAAGCTAAGGGTAAATTTCTTTCTTTTGAACATGTTGGTATATTTTGTTGCATGCCTTGGCTATCTTGAGTATTATTAGGTGGAGATAAATGTTCTTCAATGATTTGCTTCCTTATCTGATCAGCATGGAACTTTTTCATTCCAACAGGGGTATTAATTAAGTAAGAATAACGGTGTGTGCGTCGGGTTACTGTGGCAGGTTTCCAATACTTATCATCTCTAGAACGTACATAGACATTTTCTCCCGGATTATAAAACATTTCCTTGTCGTGTTCTATGTTAGCTTGAAATTGTCTGTAGCGAAGGGATCTTCTAGGATTAGGTTTAATGTTGTCTAAAAGACAACGTAGTTGCCGCCCTAATAGAATTTCTGCTGGTGATTTACCGGTATCAGTTCTAGGCGTAATTCTATAGGTGAATAGAAAGTTTTCCAAACGTTTTTTTGAACTTAACTCATCACATGTACTAGCTGACATTCTGGTTTTTAAAGTTCGAACTAGCCTTTCTGCTAAACTATTCGTCCTAGGATGATAAGGCGATGACTTAACGTGTCTAATACCGTTGCATTTGCAGTATTCCTGAAATTGTTGAGATGTAAATTGAGGGCCATTGTCCGAGACTATAATTTGTGGGAGACTAAAAGAAGTGAAACTTGTATCTAGTTCATTGCATAGCTTAGTTGTAGTAATCGTAGACATTGGTTTAATTTCAATCCATTTAGATAGTGCGTCACAGAGCACTAACCAAAATTTGCCTTCAAAAGGACCCGCAAAATCAACGTGAACCCTCTCCCATGGATCATCAGGGATAGACCACGAGTAAACCGGTAACTCTGTTATGTTAGGGCGGTTTTCTTGACAATTGCTGCATCTTTTAACCCACATGTCAATATCCTCATCGATTGAAGGCCACCAAACATAATGACGAGCCAGAGCTCTCATGGCAGATATTCCTGGATGCCCTTTGTGAAGAAATTTCATTACAGAGTTCCTCAATGAATAGGGCACAACAATACGACCATGCCACATCAGAATTTTGTCTTCTAATGGTAACTCACAACGTTTTCGTAAATATGGTCTCAATTCTTCTGACAAATTATCTAGGCGCCAACCAGTTTTTAAAAATTCATTGACTTTTTTAACAATAGGATCTTTCTTAACTTCGTTTCTCAGAATGTCAGATATAGGTAGGTCATGTAGCTTACCCATTTGGTGACGTGTGTCTATTTTATGAATCAAAACTTCTGATAATGAGGGTTTTTTGTGAGGGTTGGGCATTCGTGAGAGATAGTCGGCCATGACGTTAAGTTTGCCTTTTGTAAATACAACATCGTAGTTATAGCTGCCAATCAGAAGGGCCCAACGTACTAGACGGTTGTTACATAACTTAGGCAGATTCCGTCGAGTCCCTAAAAATGCATTAAAGGTTTGTGATCAGTCACCAAGGTAAATTTTCCACCACGTATATATTGGTCAAATTTCTTAATTCCGAAGAAAATGGCAAGCGCCTCACGATCGATAACGGAATATTTAGCCTCTGCTGGTTTTAATTTCCGCGAAGCAAAAGAAATTGGCTGCACAATATCATTATTTTTATGGTAGAGGACAGCACCAAATCCTTTTTCAGATGCATCACAAACTAAAAAAGTGGTTGACTTTCGTTAAAAGCAATTAGGGGTTTAGAACGCAAAATTATTTTTTTTGCTTTATTAAATATTTTGTCTTCTGTTTCCGACCATTGCCATTTGCGGCGATTTCCCGTTAAGGTATGTAGATCTGCGCATAAACTATGTAAATGTGGAATAAAACGTTCATAAAAATTAACAAAACCAAGAAATGTCCTGAGCTCTTGGGCGTTGCTAGGTGGGGCTGCTTTCTGAATGGCTTCCAGTTTTGATTTTGTTGGATGAACGCCATCTTTATTAATAGTGTGCCCAAGATATTCAATTTCTTCTTGAAAGAAAGAACATTCCTTTAAATATACCTTAAGACCAGCTTTTTCCAGTTTTTCAAGTACTATGGATAGAGTTATAAGATGATCTAAGTCATTTTTACCAGTTATGGCAATATCATCAAAATATACTGCGACATTTGGAATATCTTCAAGTAGTTTGTCTAGAAAATGTTGGAAAATAGATGGGGCTGTGGAGATTCCAAAAGGCATTCTATTATATTGAAAATAACCTTTATGTGTAGTAATAGTAAGATATTTTTTTGAGTCAGTAGCAATTGGAAACTGTAAGTAGGCATCTTTCAAATCTATTTTGGTAAATTTCTCTCCCTCTGCTAATTTTTGACGTAATTGATCAAACAAAGGAACTGGATGTGCATGCGTAATGAGAACAGGGTTTAAAGTGCTGCGATAGTCTCCACAAATACTCACTTGGCCATTAGTCTTTATCACATTGACAGTAGGCGTTGCCCATTCGACAGGAGTTATATTAGGATCTACTTCAGTTACTATACCAGTATCCACGAGCCGCTTCAATTCTATTTCGATATTCTTTTTCAAAGAGAACTTGACAGGTCTAGGAGGAAGGTGTTTAGGTTGTGTACCAGGTTTAATATGAATATTCACTTCATAGTTCTTGACTTTACCCAATTGATCATCAAAAAGAGATTTGTATGTATTTAAAACTTGCTTAAGCGTTGTAGGTTGTTGTAAAGTACGAATAGTGTAGACTGGTTGGCAATAAGGTGGCAAACAAGCATACGGCCCACCTGATGGTAAGTGGTTACCGTAGCCTATGAACGCCTATGTCTGTTTAAAATAAAATATATATTGGATTTCATTTAAAAATGGTCGAAAGCTACAAGGTTATTTTACTTATACATTTTTAATTCTTTGTATTTTGGGGGGCGAGTCATGGTATCGTAAATAAATCTATACCTGGTACACAAAGCCGCCACCAGACCGGATAGTTGCATTTTGGTAGAAAAAAAAAAACAATGGAATTTTAGTGAATTTATTTCATCCTATTTCATTTATTACTGAGAATGTACAAAAAAAAAACAAAACAAAATGGCCGACTCAAATAAAATCGGCAAATTGTAAGTATGAAGGAATAATAAAACTAAAAAAAGGTACAAATGACTTAACGCCGGCTCATTTCTGTTCCGAAAAAGAAGACCGGTATGCTATGTATATTTAAATGCTGAAACAATAATATTTTTTACTACAGTTCAAAAATATGGGCTATAAATACTTGTGTTAGGGAATTTCTCTCTTCCAGAGTTTTTACACATCTATGCATGTTTAAACAATGTGCATTTTAATTATGTAATTTTTATTTTCATATTTATTATAATAATTTTAGGGGGAGGGATTGTTAGTAATGGGTAATAGTCCCATTGCTAACTATATAGGTGAGGTCGACCTCTACGTGGTCGCTCTGGAAACCATTGTACTGAATTCCATGTGTATTTTTTTTTTTATGGGTGATAATGAAATAGTAACCCCACCCGCGCTATCGGTATACACCGGCAGGGCACCAGTGAAGGATGATAGATGAGGATGACACAGGTCAGTTAGCCCATCGTGACGAATTCAACGAGAATTGTTCACGATGGTTTCCAGGGGGAACCACGCGGAGGTTGACCTGATAGGGCATATTGCTAGCAATGGGGCTGTCAAACTCCATTGCTAACAATCCCTTCCCCCCTTCCAGGTGTATTCATCATGATGGGCTAATTGACCTACCTTTTCATTCTCACTTATCATCCCTTACTGGTGCCCTGTCAGCGTATATCGGTAGCAGAGACGGGGCCATTATTCCATTATCAACCATAAAAAATTATAATAATTTTATTGTAAATTAAAAAAGGTATTAGATTCTATAATTCTATTTTTACATTATAGTTATTTTTAGCTTCACAGTTGCAACGGTCACTCACAACAACCTATGTTGAGGTTTTATTTAAGTTATTTTTAAAAATAGAATTTATTCATTTTTCTTGTTATGTCAATTGAGTATTTTGTTTTTTAGAGAAACGTCATTACTTTTTAAAACATCTATTATTGTACTAGGGAACAATATTATATATCTTTATTCAGTATCTTATATTTTTATTGTTTTATCCAACGATCCCTTCACAGCCTATTTACATAATTATATGGAAAATTACAACTTCACACATTGCTATTTATCTTTACATTAGACCATCTTCTATCGCGTATAGCTTGTCTTCAATTATAAACAACATGATTATGTAATAATTGATTCCCATGTAAAAATTTTAATCATTTAAGAAACGACGGAGGTTTTTGATTTGTCTACCCGTGTATCTTTTCAATTAGCAAACCGTTTTAGTTAATTCTTTTGTATTCCATGAAATTTGTATCCATATAAAAAAATATAATAATCAACGACGCCATTTTCTTTTGGCGGTACACATTACTTTTAATATTTTTTTTTTTTAATTAGATAAAGCACAGTAGGCCATTGTAAAATGCCAGTATCGACCATATAAGAGACTGACTGTGTATTACAAACAGGGAACTCTTTATGTTCTTAGCGGGTTTTATAATAACGAATTTATTGAAAAAAAAACTACTATATTGCTGAGGTCATGGGGTGATGCTGCTGCTAACCTACTGAACGATATCCTATCAACACGGCAATTGTTTGGTTTGGTAGGTACGGCCGAGTGTGCGATTAGATATGCATATATAAACTGTGTTCTCAATGGTTTTGTACACAGTATTTGTAGCCCATAATCGTCGGATAACAGACGTGTGACGGTGCCTACGCTCGTAGTGTACATTCGACGGCAGACTTTGTAAACACGGTGAGTTGTTTGTTCCAACGTTTTATTTGTCCGAATACATTTTGAGGTTATAAATATGTTGTCAAAATTTTACATTGTTTATTATGTACAATATATGTTTAGTGCTGTCAAAACGTTGTAAGACCATTTGCCAGGTACCCGTTTAAACAATAAGAGATCTTGTCGCTATTGTTTTATTTTACGTTCGCAAAATTCTATAGTATTTTTGTTTGTAAATTTCCATTCTTTTATTGTATTGTAAAATCTTTATTGTACATAATTTATAAAGATTTAATATACAATGGCGGACTTATCTTTATTTTGCGGAAATGCACGAATAAGTACAAAAGCGATAACTGTTTACATTGAGCACTGAGGCATAAAACTACCTGAGGCTGGGTTTTTTTTTTGATGGATGAAAATGGAATGTTAACCCCGCCTGCGCTAACGGGATACGCTGGCGGAGCACCAGTGTAGGGTGGTCGATGAGAATGAAAACAGGCCAGTTAGCCCATCATGATGAATTCATCTGAAATTAATCATGATAGTTTCCAGGGGGAACCGTGAGGAGGTCGACCTGGTTGGGTATATTGCTAGCAATGGGATTCTCAGTCTCCATTACTAACAATCCCTTTCCCCCCAATCCTGAGGCTGGGTTATATACATATAAAACTAAATATATTGTATACTAGCTTTCGCTTGCGACTTCGTCCGCGTGGCCCGAACATATTTAATGATCGTGGAAAAAAGTAGCCTCCATCCCATAATAGTACGGATTGTGATCACCCATCCTAGTTGGAACTACGGCCGGGGTTGCTTAACTTGTGTAAGCGCTACGACCTCTAAGCAATCACCCACTTCTCATTGTATTAAATACTTACATTAATGACAATTGCGTACCTGATACTTTCATAAAGTTTCAGCCAATTCAAATGATCGATTGTTTTATAGCATTTCATTTGTGATTATTTAGATTGATATATTATAACTTTTTTTTTTTATGAACCGATTGAAATAAAACAAACACTAAATGACACGGTACTGCTCGTGTCTATAGGCGACGGTTACCACTTTCCATCAGGTGGGCCGTCAGCTTGTTTGCCATTCTAAGTTGTATAAAAAAAAAAAAATTAAGCATTTTAAAAACAATTCAAACCAAGCGATGTTTCCTCCCACGAACACTCAGGTTATGGAATGAGCTCCCTGCCGAAGTTTTCCCAAGAGACAGCATGGGGTTCTTCAAAAGGGGGGTAAAGAGGTTTCTTTAGGGTCGGCAACGCACGCGTAATGCCTCTGGTATTGCAGGTGTTCATAGGCTCAGGTAACCACTTACCATCAGGTGGGCCGTATGCTTGTTTGCCACCTCAGTGGTATTAAAAAAAAACCTATTTGAATTGTTACACTGTTTTGTCAATTCCATTCAAATTGGAAACTTAATGTGAACTTTCTAAAATAGGTTTATGAGAGACTTGATTTTTTTTTAATGAATAATGGCGAAAGGTCATATTTTATGTTTGTTATTCATACGGCCAAAGTCATGGGAATCTAGAGTTAGTAGCTAGATACATAAATTATACATAGATTAAAGAATTTATTTATTTATTATTATTATAAATTGTTTCCTTCAGAAAAAAAAAAATAATCCAATATCTAAGTGAAAAAGCGCGCGAAATTAAAAAATTGTTTAGTTACAAATATAACCATAGATAGGTCATTAAAAAAAATCTACTACAATAATGTGTAGACAATGTCACCTATTGACTTATGTCAGTCATAGAAAATATGATTGAATGAATGAGTATACTTCATTTGCATTATACAATATAGGAAATAAGCAAGAATAAATGTAATAAATGTAACGATACAATTGTATAAGTACAGTGAGGCGTGAGTAAAGTATCTATCTATGATATAATCATAAAAGATAACTGATTACCTTATTCTTAACTCGTCTACGATCTTAATTATTTAATAAGATAATATCTAAGCGCGTAGTAAAAAAAAGTAAAAAAAAATAAACCTATTTGAATTGTTACACTGTTTTGTCAATTCCATTCAAATTGGAAACTTAATGTGAACTTTCTAAAATAGGTTTATGAAAGACTTGTTTTTTTTATGAATAATATATTCATATGTTGCAGCCAAAACTGTTAACCAGTCAAAAGTACTATTTTTTTTCAATGGTTGATAATGGAATAGTAACTCCGCCTGCGCTATCGGTATTCACTGGCGGAGCACCAGTGAGAGATGATAGGTGACAATGAAAGCAGGTCGGTTAGCCCATCGTGACGAATTCCACTAGATATAACCACGATGGTTTCCAGGGGAACCGCCTGGAGGTCGACCTGACTGGGTGACATTGCTAGCAATAGGTCAGTTAGATCCCATTACCAACAATCCCTTTCCCCCCTCAAAAGTACTATTGACTAGCATAATCTGTTAAAACTACTTTTTATAATGTACCTATAAAAAAAACTTTAATTTTATTGAATAACATATTTTACCCGCGACGTCACCTAAATTAGCTAAACTTAATATAAAAAAAAACATAAATGTTTTGTTTATTAAATAAATAGATAAGCATAAAAAGTTTCTACATTTTTTTATACAACTTAGAATGGGAAACAAGCAGACGGCTCATCTGATGGAAAGTGGTAACCGTCGCCTATAGACGTGAGCAGTACCGTGGAAATAACAGAGTATACTGTTTCGCACATGATACCCCCCATGCGTTGCCATTCCTGAGGACTCGGGTGTTATTCCTTTGTACCCTGTAAATTCACGCCATATCCCAACCTTCAAACCGAAACACAGCCATGCAAACACAACTGCTTCACGGTAGAAACACGAATGGGATAGAGGTACTCAAGCAATCGGCTTTTGTACAAAGTCTCACTCTAATGTCCCTTTTTAAGGTTCCGTACCGAGATAATACAAAGGAACTTTTATGGTACAACTTTGTCCGTCCGCCCTGTTACATAATGTAATCGGCTATACCAGTGTTTCTCAACCTTTTTTGTGTCATGGCCCACTTGAACATTTCTAAAATATTTATGCCCCCATACATAATTTTTTCCGGCAAAGGTTACTTGACGACTCTAATCGCCCAGTTAATGTTTTGGTGACATGTTTTGGAGCATTTTTTAAATTTACTTTCTTTGTTAAATTTGGCACCGATATCCACTCGTAGCATTACATTTAAATGGTTCGGAGCAAGAGGATTAAAATTGCTTCTAGTTCATTTTTTAATTGATTCCCTATTTCCCTTCCCTATTTCCACTCGACTTCTTTCTCATCTATCATCCTGCCAGATATGAACGAAGGTGTGGTTAATATACTATTTTGTCTATGGTTGACATTTTCAAATAAAAAGGCGGGAAAAATAACTATCGTCCATAGACATGAACAGTATCATGACAGATGTAAATCTTAGATGTAATTAGGCAGCAAGATCTCCAACCTTAGCCTGTTCCACAACGGAACAAACGTACCAAAAAAAATCTTAGATGTAAGCATAGGCTAGGCGCAGTCATCATTTCTTATTTTTATGGCACAGTGGAATATTATATAAGCTCATAAGTACAGATCTTGTTATCCACAGTTGTTAGGTGTCGCGTTATCATTACATTGAGATAATGACTCTTTCATAATATTTATTTTGTGTATTGTAAAAATAATGTAATGTTATTGTTTATGTGAATAAGTGTGATCAAGACCGACTTTATCTATATGTCACTGTCATAATTTCCCGCTAAAATGTTTATTTTTTTAATGTAAATTTTTTTTTAAGTCAACGATAGTGGCAAGCAGGGGTTTCAAACATATGGCGCGCCTGGTGGTTAAGAGGTCACCGAAGGTCAATGAGGCGCCAATACCGGGGTGTATTGTTAGTAATGCGGTTTGCCGCTCTCATTGCTAGTAATATACTCTGTCCGGTCGACCTCCACGTGGTACACCCCGGAAACAATCGTGCTGAATTCTAGGCGTATTCATCACTATGGGCTAACTAATCTGCCTTTTTATTCTCACCTATCATCCGTCACTGGTGTCCCGCCCAGCTACCATTCCATTATCATACGTAAAAAAAAGATATCGTCTCAGACCCACATCAACGCAGTTCTCCCTGGAAACTATTGTGGTTAATTCTCAACGAATCTCATCACGATAAGCTTGTTTCCATCCTCATCATAGTCTTCTCAGCGTATAGCTTTTTTTTATCTCGAGGTGCCGGATATGTCGGAGACATGGGTTCGCTTTCGCACTCACCACATCTTCGACAGCAGCGACCCGCCCCCTGATGGTAAGGGCAGGTCTCCTCTCTCAAGATAGGGTGGCTGGCGTGCTCACCCTACCACTCGGGGGACGTGCCAAATATAGCGTATAGCCATTATAGTATAGTAGATAGATAAACTTTTTATTTGAGCCATTTATGACACACGTAAATTTACAAATGAGTTTATAATGACTGGTAGTCCGCATTACTATCAATCCCCCCCCCCCCCCCGACATATATTATTTAAAAAAACAAAGGGGATAGTCAAAAGAGAAAGGATTATTAGTAACTGAGAGATTGGTCCTCATTGCTAGCAACACACCCTACTATGTCTCTTGAGCAGATGTCAGTGAAAGTGGAGAAGATCGTGGACCCGGTGACGCTGGGCGAGGGTCCTCACTGGGACGAGCGGCAGCAGGCGCTGTACTTCGTCAGCATCCACGACCGCACCATCCACAAGTACGTCCCCACCACCAAGGAGCACACCAAGACAACGCTCGGTACGTTTGTTGCATAGTATCAATTCATATTTACTTTTTTTTTGTACATTTTTATTAAGGATTACAATCACGAGTAACATGTAAAATATCACATGTGATATTACAAAATTATATATCACATCTGCTACCACTGCTACTTCATTTCGTATAATCTGCTATAAGCAACAGTATGTGAAAAATCACAGTCACAGCGTTCAAATATAATCATGATTCATCGCCAACATGTTTCGTTAATCTATGCATCTACATATATAAATAAAATTGGAGTGTCTGATTGTAATATTGAAATAACCGTTTTTTACTACATGCATATCAATATTATATACGGTTACATACACCAAAATAACATTTTTTACAATTTTTGTCTGTCTGTTTGTCTGTTTGTTCCGGCTAATCTCTGAAATGGCTGGACCGATTTTGACGGGACTTTTATTGGCCGGTAGCTGATGTAATAAGGAGTAATTTAGACTACGTTTATTTTAGAAAAAAATCTTTTATTTTAGAATAATAAAGTATTGTTGCAAAGTCCAAGTACTGCCCAGTACTCGCGCGCAGCTTACAATCTAATTAAGTAGGTATCATAAAAAAAAAATTAAAGACTGTTAGACGGAACGAAGTTCCCCGGATCAGCTAGTAATGAAATAAAATCGCAAGCCGCCGAGCATAAATTTGTTTAAAAATAGTGAGAAGTGAGTCTATGCACAGTTTAGAATTGTCAGACGCCCACCTCATAGGTGAGCTTTTAACAGAGACATGTCTGAGAATACGTTTGTGCGTTATGCAAGGGACCAGCTCACCTCTGGAAAATAATCGTTACAACGACTGAGCATTCTTGATGACCGTCACGGCTACAAAGAGCGAGTGAATAGTAACTGATTATAAAAATCATTAAAAAAAAAATCATACACAACTCTGAATAGCAAATAGTAGCAGATATGGATATGGCGTGAATTTACTGGGTACAGAGGAATAACAACTGAGTCCTCAGGAATGGCAACGCATGGGGGGTATCGTGGGCGAAACAGTATACTCTGTTATGTCCATGGTACTGCTCATGTCTATAGGCGACGGCTACCACTTTCTATCAGGTGGGTCGTCAGCTTTTTGGCATTCTAAGTTGTATAAAAAAAATTATATTATGTGATTACGAATAAAAATCACCGCCTGTGATTTATGATGATGGAATCACTGTAACAATGAAAATTCGTAGAAATTCATCAGATTGTAGAGTCTTGATAATTATTTATTTATTTTAACATCGTTTTATAAATTTCGTTCTATTGTTTGCGTTACAGATGGTACAGTGGGATTCATAGTTCCGGTGGAGGGCACCACAGACCAATTCGTGGTGGGGGTGGGTCGCAAGTTCCAGGTGGTGCAGTGGGACGGCAGGGAGAACAGCCGCGCGAAGGTCGTCCGGGAATTGGGGGAGGTGGACCAGCACACAAACCCACCCACTAGGCTCAACGATGGAAAAGCCGATCCGAGAGGCAGATTGTACGCAGGTCGGGCAAAAGTTGCAATTTTAGGACTATATGGCGGCCGAAATGATGATGCAATTAGCACGGCGTAAAAGGTGCGAGTTCAAATAACGCCCACTTTGAAAATTTGTAACGTAATGCTCGAGGGATGAGCATCAGTGGCCTTCTTAAAAGTTAACTAAAAGCCTAACTGCGGTTGTCAACCTGCTTGGTGCCTGTCCAGTGTAGCATCTGCTGGTGAAACTCCAAGATTGATTAGGAAAATATACTACAAAAAAAATTTATCAGGCATATCTTCAGGTGAAGTTAGTTAACATGAATTTGGTGATATAAATAAAAATTGTATTGTAGGCACGATGGGCCACGAGAAGCCTCTGGGGGTCTTTGTGCCAGAGCAGGGCTCGTTCTTCCGCCTGGACGGCAGCAAGATCACAACTGTGAGCGACAAGATCGGAATCTCCAACGGTCTGACCTGGGACCTGAAGGAGAAGGCCATGTACTACATTGACTCGCCGGAGCTGAACATCAGGAGATACGACTACAACGTGGAAACAGGAGAAATATGTAAGAGGCTAATTTATTAATTTCACGCCAATTCCCTTTCGAGGTAGGCAGAGAGAACCGAGTGTCAATGACCCTCTTTACTTACTTACTTTAAACTCTTTACTTTTAAACAGAGGGAGACTTGGAAAAAAGTCATTTGCTTGGGCATCTCTATCCCATTCGTGTTTCAACCGTGAAGCAGTTGTGTTTACATAGCTGTGTTTCAGTTTGAAGGGTAGGATATGGCAGGTAATTTGCAGGGTACAGAGAAATAACACCTGAGTCTTCAGGAATAGCAATGCATGGGGGCTATCATGGGCGAAACAGTATACTCTGTTATGTCCATGGTACTGCTCATGTCTATAGGCGACGGTTATCACTTTCCATCAGGTGGGCCGTCAGCTTGTTTGCTATTCTAAGTTGTATAAAAAAACAAATCGTTTGATTCCTACACTTAGATAACTCGTCTCATGGATGCACACTGTTTCCAAAAACTCTTGATTCCTCCTTCAGAATTCAAAACATAAATATTAATGTAAAGAAATATCTCCAAGTATTGACAAACTTTTTTTTTACATACTTACATACATTATTTTGATTTATCTAGTGAGGTTCAGCCAGCATTTGCAATAAATGTGTTTATTTACGACATCACATTAGAAACCTCTAAATTTATCAGTGTTTTATACATATAAACCTTCCTCTTGAATCACTCTATTAAAAAAAAACCGCTTCAAAATCTATTGTGTAGTTTTAAAGATTTAAGCATACATAAGGACGGACAGACAGCGACAGCGACTTTGTTTTATACTATGTAGTGATATATGTATAAAAAAAAATCTTATATTCTTTGTTTCTCTCTGGTAATTATTAAGATTCTTTCCTGTGTTATTCTATTTAATTAGTTAAATAATGATAAATAATTGAATCTATTATAAAATTAATATTAAAATGTAGGTAACTGGAGTCTGTCTAGTAACATGTTATAATATTATGTATACACATATGTAGTTATGTACTAATAAGGCAAGCTAGTATTACTAAATATATAACGATGTATTAATAATGTAATTAGATAGGTGAATTAATTGTCTTGCGTTTAACTTAACATATATTATTAGCTCATTTACCTTAAATATATGTATATAAAGCATATCATACTTTAAAGTGATATATAGGTACATATTATATACTATAGGTACCTAGTTATCTGTACTACAGATGCCCAGTAGCTTAACATCATATTAGCTCTTAATCGTTCGCTGCTGAACATTTTTTTTTATACAACTTAGAATGGCAAACAAGCTGACGGCCCACCTGATGGAAAGTGGTAACCGTCGCCTATAGACATGAGCAGTACCACGGACATAACAGAGTATACTGTTTCGCCCATGATACCTCCCATGCGTTGCCATTCCTGAGGGCTCAGGTGTTATTCCTCTGTACCCTGTAAATTCACGTCATATCCCACCCTTCAAACCGAAACACAGCCATGCAAACACAAATGCTTCACGGTAGAAACACAAAAGCCTTAGAATATAAGCCTTCCTCTTGGGGGGTTTATATTCAATATGCCACGACAGGTCGACCTCCACACGGCTCCCGCTGGAAACTGTCGTGTTTAATTGTAGCATTCGTCAGGATGGGTCAACTGACCCGATTTCATTTTCACTTATCATCCCTCGCTGATGCCCCGCCAGCGTATTCTGATAGCGCAGGGTTACCATTCCATTATTATCAATTAAAAAAAAAAACATATTCAAGCTACATAAATAGAAATAACAATCTAATTAATTTTACAATCTAATTAATTTTACAATCTATTTAATTTTACAGCAAACTTGAGGCGTATATTTGACTTTAAGAAAAATGGAATAGAAGGTACCCCGGACGGCATGACCATAGACACGAACGGTAATCTATGGGTCGCGGTGTTCAACGGATCGAGTATCCTGCAAATAGATCCGAGGGCTGGTAAATTGTTGCAGCAAATACCAATACCGGCGAAGCAGGTCACCTCTGTGACGTTCGGCGGACCCAATTATGACATACTGTTCGTCACATCGGCTAAACTTAAAATTGATAATGTTGAACAGAAGCCCCCGTGTGGAGCAACGTTTATAGTGACAGGTCATGGGGCCAAAGGGTACCCCAACAACAACTTCCGGCTGTAGTGTTCCATATCATTATACCAAATAACACTTATAACTAATAATGCATTTAAATATCTAAGTATTTGCTTCTCCCACCATATTATATTTACTTTTATATCTTTTCTATTATATTCACAAAATTATTCTATATTATATTATTATTTTATATATTTTCATTTTATTTTTAACGTAATAACGACCGTATTAACTTATCATAAGTTTCGGGACTATGCGGTACCCTTAGCCTGACTAAGGGTTCCGGGGGGTCCCAAAACAAACTTTTTCGATTAAAATACAAATGTTAATTCGCTTGTTTATTACCTTAAAATATAATGTTTACTCACAACATTTCTAACAATTAAATACCACACATGTTTATGTATACATAATTAAATAACAATTAATTAAACATAATTATTCCCGCCACTATCACTAAGAGCTGTAATATGTATCTATCTATCGACATAACATTTTTTGTTGGACGCCTCATGAAAATAACTTCATAAATTAATTTTATTTAAAATTTTAAAATACACTGCCTCTAATATAGTATTTTTATTCACCAACCATATAAAAAACATGATTTTGTTTGTATAAATGCATTTATGAGTACTTATTAGGTATACCGTATTGCATTTATTGTCGTCAGTCAACTATATTACCTATTTATATTTATTTATCTATTTTAATATAAATCCAAACTTTAAACTTTTAATACTCGATCACGTATGGCAATTTTTTATTAGTATTCTAACTTGTGATTTAAATTAATAATTTAATTAATTAATTTAAATTTGTCAAATGAATTTTACCAAATAAATATTTATAGATAAGGAAGGACAAACATTATTTTTAGACATATCTACAATAATAATTTTATTAAAAACATAATGTACCCGATGATATTTATAAATATGTACGTATATATTAATAAATATATTTACAAATAAATATTTTATATGTAAAACTATTTGTATTGGAAACATATCAATTTTATAACCTATAGGTACGTATTGATAATTGTTAGTTGAAAATATGTACACGACTTATTTACCTAATCGTGTGTGTTTTTAATCAATTTGGATATTGTATTAGAACTACAATTAAGTATGTACGTATTAAGATTTGAATAAAACAGTGAATAAATTTTAATAAAACATTTGATTAAAAAAGTGGTTTTATTTACCTGTACTTTATAATAACAATGGGGTACCATTCTCCTATCTATTAGATACCTATCCTATCTATTAGATTCCTATCCTATCTATTAGATACCTATCCTATCTATTAGATACCTATCCTATCTATTAGATACCTATCCTATCTATTAGATACCTATCCTAAATATTTTAATTTGACAATTTCTCGAAAGCACTATTATATGGAAAATCTTAAATTTATATTTTTTTATTAAAACTTCTGTTTATATTGGTCTTTAGAATTATGTAGTCATTGTATTGTGAAATTAAACAAAAATTGTATATAATTTAACACTCAAGTTTGGAGCTATCAATGTTAAGTTAGCACTAATTGTAGAGCAGCAATCTTTATAAATCCTTTCCCCCACGACAAATTCACTATAATTTTTAATATGTATTAGTAATATTAAAAACGTGTAAGTTTGTTTATTATTTGAAATGTCTTTTTTTTTATGCAACTTAGAATGGCAAACAAGCTGACGGCCCACCTGATGGAAAGTGGTAACCGTCGCCTATAGACATGAACAGTACCATGGACATAACAGAGTATACTGTTTCGCCCATGATACCTCCCATGCGTTGCCATTCCTGAGCAATCGACTTTTGTACAAAGTCTCCCTCTGGAAATAAGTCTAAGAATATATGTATGTAGGGAGGGAGGGGGGACTTTGTACAAAAGTCGATTGCTTGGGTACCTCTGTCTCATTCGTGTTTCTACCGTGAAGCAATTGTGTTTTTTCATGGCTGTGTTTCGGTTTGAAGGGTGGGATATGGCGTGAATTTACTGGGTACAGAAAAATAACACCTGAGTCCTTCTAATCTATCTTGGTTACGTGGGCGAAGTCACGGGTAAAAACTAATAACCCATAAAATGGGGGGCAGGGATTGTTAGTAATGGGGCCAATTACAAGCAACCCTGTCAGGTCGACCTCCACGTGGTCCCCCCTAGAAACCATCGTGGCTAATTCTAGTTGAATTCGTCAGTATGGGCTAACTGACCAGCTTTCATCCTCACCTATCATCTCTCACTGGCGCCCCGCCAATGTATACCGATAGCACAGGCGGGGTTACCATACCATTACCACCCATTAAAAAAAAACATAAATTGGGCCAATAAAACGGTGGATGTCTGAATTACAAGTAAGCATGACAATTCCATTTACATTATCAGATAATACGCATGGTCAACTGATGGCTATTAGTAATTATTGACTGTAACATCAAGACGCCTGCCAGCTGATAAGAGTTTTTATATAAAACACTTTTTTTTCACTCTAAAAGTGTTTAAAATCGAGTAAAAATTAATTGATAACAACATTGCAAGTGGTCGCATATAAGGGAATTTCACGTGTTTGTTATAATATTACTAATTTATATCCAAGAAGGGTAAGTATGAACAAACAAAATGTTATTTTAATTCATTACTAATAATAAAAATAGTCTTTAATTCGGATAATTATCTTTTTACTTTTTCATTAGTAATTAGTATTAAAAAGATTTTTATCCGACCTTAATAAAAAAAAAAATGTTTTTTTGTATGATAATTTAAGATCGTGTTCCAAAAAGAAAAAATCGACTTAAATTGTCAAATCAAAACAAAATCAGTTATTGCGATTTAAAAACAAAACTAATGATACGATTTTGGTAAAATTTTTATGGTACCAATCTGTAAGTATATTATTCTAAAAAGATTTTCCAAATCGGTTTAGAACTGTAAGAGTTAAGTGGTAACAAACAGAAAAAATAAAAGTAAATTGAAAATTGTCAAATAGAGCTCTTCTATTTGTCTATATATATATATATATATATATATATATATATATATATATATATATATATATGTGTGTGTGTGTGTGTGTGTGTGTGTATATATAATTATTTATAATTTATGTAAATATTTATTTAAATTTCTGTCTTGCACTATTACTGCCCACTCACTACTTCCTATGCCACTGTGTTAGGATGACTGGAAGAGATCTCTTTTATTTATTTATTCATTTATTCATTTATTTATTGCTATTACATGTTGTAACAAAATTGGTCTTAATTTACTAAAAGTAGCAAACATGAACCCTGAAAGGGCACAGCAATCACATTAATAAATCTTATATAAACTACATAATTAAATTTTTACATTATATATATGTATCGTCGATTAGTATAAAAAATAAAAAAAAACAAAAAATCATCATTAAATTAAAACAAACAGGCACAAACACAACTAACTTTTTTCCTTGAAAAATTCCTGTAGCGCATAATAACTCTTTGCGATTAAATATTTTTTTAGAGATAAGTTCGCCTTTGCTAACATTGTTATTAACTTATTGTTGTTACTATATGGTTTAGTGCAATAAAGAATATATATATATATATATATATATATATATATATATATATATATATATATATATATAAAACTTAGGAAATCCCTCAGGGGGTTAAAAATCCTGTTGAAGTCGAATCATAATAAAATTTGCTTTGCGTAATTCGTCGAATGTCCGTCAATGCATCGCCCTCAGCTTGAAACACCCATTAAACTCGTCGGAATTTTACTAATCTTCCTATAATTCCTATAAAAACATATTAAAATTCGTATAGAGTGGCTTTTTTAACCCTTCCTTAATTAAATTTGCAGATGTCAGTGAAAATTCAGAAGATCACCGAGCCACTGCTGTTGGGCGAGGGTCCGCACTGGGACGAGCGGCAGCAGGCGCTGTTCTTTGTCAGCATATCCGAGAAAACCCTGAATAAATACGTTCTCGCCACCGGTAGACACACCAGGACAAAACTTGGTATGTGTATTTTTGCACTAAGCCTCTTGGTCCACTTTTGGCCGTTGTACGTATGAGTCGTGATTAATACAACCAGCCCAGCTCCGACGAGAAGCTCAGAAATTTTCTGGTATCTTCACAAACCTCACGAAGTGACTTTAGCGTTCCGAGGATTTATAAATGTTAATAGACCACAGCTATATTATAGGATTACGTGAGCAGCCGTTTCTTCGGCCACCCTGTAAGCAGCAATTTTTTTATTGGGTGACAATGGAATGATATTCCCGCCCGCGCTATCGGTATACGATGTTTCAATCCTATATGCTAGCAATGGGCTGATAGAATCCTTAGTAACAATCCATTTCTCTCCAACAGGCAAGCAAGTATTGAAGTATCGAGTGAGAAAATACTAAAAAGCGATGGAAACGACGCCAACGTTAAAACAATTAGTAATAAGCTTCCGCAGAATTTACGTGCCGACTTAGTATTCCACTCATTGTTCCCAACTAAATTTAAATACATTCCAAATTACATAAAAAAGTATATTTCTTTGTATCTCATCATCATATCAGCCCCTAACTGTCCACTTATGGACATAAGACTTGCTCTTAGAGCGGTTTTGCCAGTAGTGGCCACGCTTGGTAGGCGGATTGGCAACCGCAGTTAGGCTTTGGAGATGTTTTAATAGGGGCGCTGCTACCCATCCTTCGTCCTCGTTAGTCGCCTCTTGCAATGCCCACGGGAAAGGAAGGGATGGCCTATTTTATGCCGAAACCACGCGGATTTCTTTGTATCTATTTACCTCTATTCACGTTAGATGTTATGGGGTTCAGCCGTGAAGCAGATGTGTTCGCATGGCTGATTTTCAGTTTGAAGGGTGGGATATGGCGTGAATTTACTGGGTACAGAGGAATAACACCTGAGTTCTCAAGAATGGCAACGCATGGGGGGTATCATGGGCTAAACAGTACACTCTGTTATGTCCATGGTACTGCTCATATCTATAGGCGACGGTTACCACTTTCCATCAGGCGGACCGTCAGCTTGTTTGGCATTTTAAATTGTATAAAAAAAAAAAAAGACAGAAAGAATTATAATTCAGAGAAATTTAGAGAAATAACAATATTTCTTCCTATTTTTTTTTTTTTATTATTGTGTTGATTTTATTCTAATAACATGAACAGCAACTAATTAATTTCTTTATTATTTCAAATACAGAAGGCCATGTCGCATTTATAATCCCGGTAGAGGGCGCTGTCGACCAGTACGTGGTGGGTTTCGAAAATAAATTCGTGATAATGCAGTGGGACGGGGAGGATGGTACTCCCGTCCGGCTGGTGAGGGAACTGGCTGACCTGAACCAATACACAGACGCACCCACACAGGTGAACGATGGGAAGGCTGACCCCAGGGGCAGATTATTCGCTGGTAAGGAATTTAATGTCAGTAACTATGGATACATGCATATGGCTTAGGGTTATACCCAAAAAGCGTTTGGATATTTTGTCAGAATTAGAAAGAAACGCCGCAGCACTGAATGTGTGGCTGTAGCCCACTCATACACGATATATCTCCTTTGGAAAACACACTCTATAACCTGATGAGATAAAAACGTCGCTAGAAAAAAACATCTTAAAATTCCTACCAATGATAGGAATTAGCAGCAAACTTTAAACATGGGTAAGCACAAAAGATCATGCAAAAGTTGCAATGTCACAGGTCATTTCTGCCCGAAAAAGGCTGTCTTTCAATAATAACTAGCGATTTGGCCCGACTTCGCACGTGTAGTATTAGTAGTAACTTTTCAAAATAATATAATAGCCTATGAATCCAACATATAACAATTTGAAACGCGTTACGAATTATATTGAAATAAATGGACGTAATGTAAAAAAAAAGACAATAACTTTTTTATTGAGCATACAAATTATCACATGAATTTTTGTTTAAAAAAATTCTCGGAAATTCTATTTTCATCGGTGCCCCCAGCCAATGCAGACCCCTAGTTGTTACTCTGATATGACTACGTACGTTACCCTACGTAGTTATTACTCTGATATGACTACTAGATAATCTAGGGGGGAAAGGGATTGTCGTGGTTAGTTCTAGTTAAATTCGTCAGAATGGGCTAACTGACCTGCTGATGACTGATGAGGATGAACTCATCAGTCATCGATCAGTGGTGCCCCGCTAGTATATACCAATAGCGCAGGTGGGGTTTCCATACCATTATCACTCATTAAAAAAAAATAGATAATCCGACCTTGGTTGGTTTTAAACAGGTACGTTATTGCCAAGCAATGATCTAAAAAATTTCGAGCCGAAAGGCTCCCTCTACCGACTGGACGGCACTACCGTCACCAAGCTTTGCGATGGGATTAAAGTGTCAAATGGCCTGGCATGGGATTTAAAGGAGAAGGCCATGTACTATATAGACTCTTTGGAGAACAATATAAGGAGATACGACTACAATGTTGAAACTGGAGAAATATGTAAGAGGATATTTAATTATTTTAGTAAATATTAAAATAGTAGAGGAGGCCGGCCGGCCTTAAGGAGGGAGAGGAAAGGGTATTCCGATGAACAAAAAGGTCGCATTAAATTCGATGTCATTAGAGTGAGTAGCGCTCCGAACAGGATTTCGATGACCTTTTTCTTTTTTCGAAGTCAAACGGGGTCACCGGGTGCCATAGCGTTGTCATATGACCAGAGACAATGGGTGGTAACCTCTTTTCTTTGTCGTCAGAGGGCGTCCGTCAAATAATTGTCCGAGAATGTCAAGTACACTAAGGATGGTACTATTTGAATGCTCCTGTTGTGCTATCTCATGCTATATTAAAATGTAGTATGTTACTTTTAAGCAATTTTCAAAAATGTGTTCTCAATTCTTTTGTATTTTTGGTGATTATTATTTTGAACCGATTTTGATAATTGTTTTTGCATTCACTGGATAATGACGCTTATTCGTTTATTTAATAAAAAGAAGATGCATGAGCCATTATGAATTTTATCACGATTGGACTGACAATTTTTTAAAAAAAATCTAGAGGTTTAAAATAAAAAAAAATATATATATAATTATTCTATCCAAAGATGTATGGAATCGAGGTCGGAACCACTATATTTTTTATGTAACTTAGGATGGCAAACAAACTGACGGCCCAACTGATGGACACTGCTATTTTGCCATACAATCATTAGTAAAAACTAAAGTAATATGAACGTAAATTGAAAACAGTTAATTTAATTTCAGCAAACCTAAAATACGTCTTCGACTTCAACAAGCACAATATAGAAGGCTTCCCTGACGGAACAACCATAGACACGGACGGGAATCTATGGGTCGCCGTGTTCAACGGATCCTGTGTAATTAAAGTCGATCCAAGAACTGGTCAGTTATTAGAAAAGGTGGCAATTCCGGCTCCGCAGGTCACGTCAGCCACTTTCGGAGGTCCCAACTATGATATCTTGTTTGTTACAACCGGTAGCATCAATATGGGATCAGAGCAAGCACCGCCAGCGGGATCTACTTTTATGGTCACCGGTCTTGGGGTCAAAGGGCACCCCAACATTAATGTTAAATTGTAGATTGGTAACTATTGAATTGACTAACAGCTGTAGTGAACACTTAGCTTAATCCAATACGTAACATGTTTCAATGTATTTACCTATACGGTTTCATAATGTTAAGTGGTTAATTTGGAATCATTTATTAATAAAATAAAAATTATATATAAACCACTTTTCTTTATTGATGTACATATAACAATGCAAAAACATGATGGCAGTTCGATCAAAGACAAGAAAAATAAAAAAAAGTATTGACAAGTAAAAACAATGGCGCGAGAGCCTCGTAAACTGTCACTTCCGTCTTTTTAGTGTTATCAGGTGGCATAGATTATGAAGCGTAAACATTGATTATCTATGTTATTTATATTAAAAAATAAAACTATTTAAAATTGTGTACAGCAACAGTACTCAGCCTCCCATACTAAATTGGTAGATGAACACGGTTTTACTATGGGAGGATACATTTTTTGGTGTATTTACTAATAGAAACAAAATTTCATAATCACATCGACTTCACCTTGTATATTATGTATATATAATAATAAATATAAATAAATAATAGTAAAAATAATAATAAAATGTTGTAATATTTTAAAAATGTATTTCGTTTATTTAATACTATTTAGGCATGTGTGCGTTGGTTTGCCCTTGCCGATTGGGTTCCAAGTATATTTTACTGAATTTGCAGTAATAACGAATTTGTTGTTGTTTTGGATATAACTTTTAATATCGCAACTAAACTATATAAGTTTACAATATTTTGAATATACATATATATGAAAACGAAGAGGTGACGGTATATAATGCAATTCAATTGTAAACGAATGACGTGAATGTGGCTGCTGATTAGTGGGTCGTCGCAATTTGCTTCACACTTCACGATCCTTTCAGCAACCATAGATTATGTAGTAACAAATACTGATATTTTTCATTATTATACAACACACGCACGCACGTATGAACGCCCGCTTGTCTGTTCGCATGCACGTTATAGATTATGTCAAACATAAGTTTTGACAAAACGGTGTTTCAGCTGATTTTGCAATCCGAACGGGGTGATTGATAAAAAAAATGACTTCAAAATGACTGCTTATTATAAAGTTTACTTGAATATTTTTTTTTTTTTATATTAAAAGAACGTGATGTATTTATTGTGTGCAATTCACAAGTTCCACCATAGCCACCTTCCGTCCATCACCAGAGCAGCTGGACGGTAACATAATATTGTATTATCACCGAACTTACATTAGTATGCTAAATTTCAGTTGTAAACTATAGTACATTACTGCAGTGGCCAGCAACTGAGGCATTAATGGACGAACGTGCAAATGTGGGCCAAGGTGGAGCCGAGGCACACATACGTGAGTCCATCCTAGTTGTGGCCAAGGCTTCTATAGTACTTTTCTCAAATATTGCGCGGAAATCAAAAACACTATTTCAGTTTTTAAGGTCAATGGCGAATAACGAACAATAATAATTTTTCACGCGCCATAATGTTCCTTTGTTTTTTTTTTTTTCAATAAATAGCTTTCTATTTGCAAGCCAGTTCGAAATTTAAATAAAACCTTGTATTAGTTACCTCCTTGGTAGCCATGTTTCGAAGGAAAAGGTCATTCCATTTTTAAATTACAGGACAGATATGAGTTTACATAGTAATTTATCTGGCCGCAAAACACGACAGATATGGATTTTCATACAACTTTTGCCGGCCGCTGCCCGCATGTATCTGGCCAGTACGGCCATTTTGATTTATCTCTAAGAAGACTGTCAAAATAATGGTCATATTTTAAAAAGTAGTTGAAAATAGATTGCATTTTTTGAACTAAAAGATTTACAACATCAAGCCAGCTTCCGTCGCACTGGCGTTGAGACTACTCAATGATACTATGAGCCAGTATCCACAACTTTTATGGAACAGACGAATTTGCCTTCAACTTGCTGGAGTTTCGTCAGATAGCCATGGAATGTCTTTTTTTTTATACAACTTAGAATGGCAAAAAAGCTGACGGCCCACCTGATGGAAAGTGGTAACCGTCGCCTATAGACATGAGCAGTACCATGGACACAATAGAGTATATGTTTACCCCCCATGCGTTGCCATTCTTGAGGACACAGGTGTTATTCCTCTGTACCCTGTAAATTCACGCCATATCCCACCTTTCAAGCCGAATCACAGCCATGCAAACACAGCTGCTTCACAGTTGAAACACGAATGGGACAGAGGTGGATGATAATGGAATGGTAACTCCGCCTGCGCTATCGGTATACACTGGCGGGGCACCAGTGAGGGATACTAGGTGACGATGAAAACAGGTCAGTTATCTACTCGTATAGCCTGTCGTGACGATTTCCACTAGAATTAACCACGATTGTTTGCAGTAGGTACCGCGTGGAGGTCGACCTGATAGCTACCTAAGTTGTATAAAAAAAATCCTGGCTATATCTTTCACACAGTCCATCCATGTCCTTTTTGATCTTCTTCTGTTCCTATAGCCATTCTTTCCTACTTAATACCTTTCTTGAAATATGCTTCTCATCCCTGCGCATTACATGTCCATACATACATAAATAAATAAAAGCACGTAAAAATAGGGTAACAAAATTGTATTTAGTTCATTTTAACACTGAGGTTCGGGTATCCCTTGACACCAAGGTTGGTGAGGACGAAGGTGGAGCCAGCGGGCGGCGTCTGCTCCACTCCGCGGTTGACGCACGCGCTGGTCACATACAAATCCTCGAGGGCGGGACCGCCGAAGGTCACTGACGTAACTTGCAGGGCCGGGATACGGATCTTCTCCAGCAGAGATCCGGTGCGAGGATCAATTTTGAGCACCTGCAATTTAAAATAATGCTCATATCGGATTTAGGATTTTAAGGAATAATCAATGAAATAATATATTATTTTAGTTTTTTTTTTTTTATACAACTTAGAATGGCAAACAAGCTGACGGCCCACCTGATGGAAAGTGGTAACCGTCGCCTATAGACATGAGCAGTATTCAATTTCTATTCAATTACTATTTAATTTCTATTCTATTCTATTTCTATTCTACTTCTATTCTATTTCTATTTTATTTGATTGAATATTTCGATTAGGTACTAATTTCATTTAGAGAGTGTTTCTGTGATAATTGAAACAAAACTTGATTGTCTTAAATTCTATTGAGACACCTACTTGTAAAACACATGAGGTCGTGAGCAAAAACTATCCACTATATAGAAACGGTACATACGCGGTGGCCATCGAAGTTGGCAACCCAGAGATTCCCGTCCGTGTCTATGGTCATGCCGTCGGGGATGCCCTCTAGACGGTGATCCTTGTATTTGAATATTATCTTTGGATTTGCTGCTAACAAACAACGAATATTAATAATTATTATTTTGACTTAAAAACTAATCTACTAGACCGATTTTGATAAAATTTCTATGGCACCAATAGGTAAGTATATCCTTTTAAAAAAAACATCCAAATTGGTTTATAACTGACGGAGTTATGAGGTAACAAACATAAAAAAAATATACAATCGAATTGAGTACTTTTTTTTTTAATCGGTTGAAAATTGACATTGTTACAAGATCAATAGAAAACAATTACTTTTTATAAATTTTGTCTGTCTGTCTGTTTGTTCTAGTATCATGCAAATAGTAATACACAAAATAGCATAGTATGGTATTTCACAGTTCTATTCCAGGAAGTAAATTTAATTTACGCATCTTTGAACTTTCACTTTGCCATCCATTCGGAATGCAATTTCAACTGATAGGAACGGGCAAGTGACTCAAGTGTTTATTTTTCCAACAGTGACATTTTACTGAACTTATTCCTTCCTTTCCCGTGGATGTCGTAAAAGGGGACTAAAGGAACTAAACGGTCTAGGCAAGAGCTTCCCTCTTCAACTTTTTTTATATAATACATCTTTGAATAGCAAACAAGCTGACGGCCCACCTGATGGAAAGTGGTAACCGTCGCCTATAGACATGAGCAGTGCCATGGACATAACAGAATGTACTGTTTCGCCCATGATACCCCCCATGCGTTGCCATTCCTGAGGACTCAGGTGTTATTCCTCTGTACCCAGTAAATTCACGCTATATCCCACCTTTCAAACCGAAACACAGCCACGCAAGCACAACTGCTTTACGATTGAAACACGAATGGGACAGAGGTACCCAAGCAATCGACATCAGTAATATGGATAATCAGTACTATGGACATAACAGAGTACACTGTTTCGCCCATGATACCCCCCATGCGTTGCCATTCCTGAGGACTCAGGTGTTATTCCTCTGTACCCTGTAAAGCTTAAATGCGATTGCCAAATCGCCTGCCAAGCGTGGCAACTGCTGGCAAGGCCTACGTTCAACGGTGAACAATTAACGGCTGATATATTGAATGACGATGGTGAAAGAACTTGCAACTAGTTAAGTGACTTTTAAAAACACTCACAGATGTCGCCCGTGTGCACGTTGTAGTCGTACCTCCTGATAGCGTACTCGAACGAGTCCGCGAAGTAGAAGGCGGCGCGGCCCACGTCCCAGCACATGCCGTTCGATATGTCGATATTGTCCTCCAACTTGTGGACCTGGAAATATGACACAATGGAGTAGATTCCAAGACATTATACTTCATTTTTTTTAAATTATTCCAAAACTTTTTTTTCATTTACCAAAGAGATACTGTACAAAAGTCGATTGCTTGGGTCCCATTCGTGTTTCAACCGTAAAGCAGCTGTGTTTGCATGGCTGTGTTTCGGTTTGAAGGGTGGGATACGGCGTGAATTTACAGGGTACAGAGGAATAACACTTGAGTCCTCAGGAATGGCAACGCATGGGGGGTATCATGGGCGAAACAGTATACTCTGTTATGTCCATGGCACTGCGTCTATAGGCGACGGTTACCACTTTCCATCAGGTGCGCCGTCAGCTTGCAGCGTCACCAAGGGCATATTGCTAGCAATGGGGCTGTCAAACTCCATTGCTAACAATCCCTTTCCCTCCAACTGACGGAGTTATGAGGCAATAGACATAAAAATATATAAAAAAACAATACAAGCGTATTGAGAATTTTTACTCTCACCCTACCCTCCTCACCTTTCCATCAGGATCTATCCGGTATAAACTGCCTCTCTTCAGGTGGAACTTCCCAGGTTCATATTCGGCTCCCATTGTACCTGAAATTATCATTAATCATAACATCTGACTGGTGGCGGCGTGACGGGCCGGGTCGTTGAGTTCCCTAAAATATAGTTGAGCGCAATGATGATGGCTCACCCGTCATACTCGTGAACGGATGCTTTTGGGAACTGGTATGCTCATGTTTGTCCGTTTACTTTCCATTCCATTTTTAAATAAAAATAATACATAAAACATAAGCCTTCCCTATAAGGGAAGATTAGCTAGTAGTCGCCACGCTTGGTAAGCGGATTGGCAACCGCAGTTAGGCTTTTAGAGATGTTTTAAGAGGGACGCTGCTGCCCATCAATCGCCGTCCCTTAGTCGACTCCTAAGACACCCACGGGAAAGGAAGGGGCGGCCTATTCCACACCGGGACCACACGGCCAACATATATTCTCTTCTATTCTATTCTCGTACTATTGCTATTCGATTTACGAAGCTATATTATAGTTATTTATATATGTATTGTATGTGATTTATATGTGTATATTTTTTGTATATATATTATTCTATATGTTTGTATGTTTATTATAAATTGTTATCTCTTAAAATATTTAATTAATTTACTATTTTTTTTTTCAAATCTGTGCACCGCCATTTGCACATCTCTCAGCATCATCTCTCTACCAGTCAATCGTTACGATAAACATCTGTTTATCGTAACGATTGACTGGTAGAGAATGCCATCAGGCATTAAGTCCGCCCTGTACACATATTGTAATGTGTGCAAAAGTAAATAAATAAATAAATAAATAAATATTATTGCACAATATTGTGCAATGAGATTGCTATATAAATAATCTATCATTATCTTTAAACAATATTAGATTATCATATATATATTCTAACAATACAGGTATAATTAACTCTCTTTATCTACTGTAATACATACATTTTATCAGCGATAAAACAAAACTGGGGCTAATGTGAAATAAATCTGATATTTGAATAGTGGTTTTTTTGTATACGACTTAGAATGGCAAACAAGCTGACGGCCCACCTGATGGAAAGTGCTAACGGTCGCCTATAGACGTGAGCAGTACCATGGACATAACAGAGTATACTGTTTCGCCCATGATACCCCCCATGCGTTGCCATTCCTGAGGACTCAGATGTTATTTCTCTGTACCCTGTAAATTTACGCCATGTTCCACCCTTAAAACCGAAACACAGCCATGCAAACACAACTGCTTCACGGTTGAAACACGAATGGGACAGAGGTACCCAAGCAAGGGAGACATTGTACAAAAGTCGTTTGCATAGGAACCAGGCAATTGATATAAATCTATGGCTCTAATGAACGCTCACCAGCGAACAGTCTCCCTCGAGGATCCGCCTTCGCATCATTGAACCGGTTGTCTGGATACTCCTGGTCCACTTCCACTATTGTCCTCAGCAAGCTGGCACCGCCGTCCTCGCCGGCCCACCTCACTTCCACCACCTTCCGCTCCAGCCCTACCACGAAGTGACACCGCTTGCCTTCGATGGGAATTATAAATGTTGTCCGGCCATCTTGAATTTACGAAAAATACATTTTAATACGTAGTAATATATATATATATATATATATATATATATATATATATATATATATATATATATATATATATATATATATATATATATATATATATATATATATATATATATATATATATATATATATATATATATATATATATATATATATATATATATATATATACTAGCTGACCCCGTAAACGTTGTTTTACCACTTATTGCGGAATATAAAAATCGCAATTAAAATACAGGGGTTGATCGTAAAACGATGAAAATTTAAAGTTGTGTGTATTTTTCAATGCTTAATCATGTTTAAATAAAAATAAAAAAATTGTCAAAAAAAATAAAAAAAAATTTTTAGGTCGGTCATCGGTCACCCTTATCATTGAGGGGTATAAAAAATAGCTGTTGGCCGATTCTCAGACCTATCGAATATGCATACAAAATTTTATGATAATCGGTAAAGCCGTTTCGGAGGAGTTTGGTAGCGAACACCGCGACACGAGAATTTTATATATTAGATAGACATATATATTAACTATTATAATTATGAAATTTAATTTAATTTAACTGGCTGAAAACCAGCGCTGTGCAGCTGTTCACATTGCGCTGGGACACTCACAGCATCCGCTGAGCCGGTTCCTTTTGCCGAGTATAGGACACTTTTTGTATATGTCATTTATATTTTATATTGTAAGTTTACTGGCAATAAATGTTTTTATTTTATTCTATTCTAATATAAATAAAATAATATTAAAGTCGCTTATAATGTACAACTAACCAAGTTTGGACGTGGTGTGTTTCCCGCTGGCTGGCACATATTTATTTATGGTGTAATCATTGGTGCTTATGAAGTACAGCGCTTGTTCCTCGGCGTCCCAGTGGGGACCCTCGCCCAACGTCACTGGCTCGACCACCTGCCTCAGCGTCGGTCCCATCTGAAGTCCAACATATTACTGATTATAATATTATTATAACCTTCAAGAAAAGGGGGGAAAGGGATTGTTAGTAACGGAGACTGAGAATCCCATTGCTAGCAATATACCCAAACCTAGTCGACGTCCTCGCGGTTCTCCCTGGAAACTATGATGGTTAATTCCTGATGAATTCATCATGATGGGCTAACTGGCCTGTTTTCATTCTCATCGATCACCCTTCACTGGTGCTCCGCCAGCGTATCCCGTTAGCGCAGGCGGGGTTACCATACCATTTTTACCCATAAAAAAAAAACCTTCAAGAGCGTATTCCCTTTTAAAAGGCCGACAGCACAACCTGCAATGTATCTGGTGTTGTGGGTAGTCACTTACCATCAGGAGAGCTGCATGCTCGTTTATAAAAAAAATACTGTTATTACAGATTGTTGTCTATTTTTATTAGCATTAACAATTATAACGGTAGATAATCGAATGAGATTTTTAAGGAACTCTTTGTGACGCGGAGTGTCTATTCACCCCGTATATATTTAACTGTCAATGTAGTGTACTCACAGGGTAGTTGAATAATAAAATAAATATCATAAAAAAAAATGAAGGTACAATAAGATCAGACGGTGACCGCAGATAGCGCATTTGGAGAGGTGGAATAAAGACAGTTATGACGCGGTTTAAGCCGACCTAATCGAGAGTGAGGAAAATACAAGATGTAAACAGTAACATAATAAGGAAAACAAATAACAAAAATAACATAATTATGTACCTATTTGTATATGTTATTAGTATTTAAAAAAAAAAATTGTAAAATTAAAAGTAAAACTGGCTCATTAATTTAATTTATATTTGTAAATCACCGTGTCTTGACAATCTCTTATGGACTGTCGCGATACAGGTTCGCCTAGTGCGGTGTACAATGTACTCGCTGTTGTAAATTTCTTGTATTTAATAAATAAATAGAATAAAAAAAAAATGTTAACTAAATGATTTAGTGACACGGGAGATATTTAAGAAAAAAATATATTAATAATAATAATTCTTTATTTGCTTAAACACGGTAAAATCAAAGATGTTACGTTAGTGAAAGATCATTCGTGCTTAGCTTACAACGTGATAGCAAAATTCATATTTTTACCAGATGGAGACTTTGTACAAAAGTCGATTGCTTGGGTACCTCTGTCCCATTCGTGTTTCTACCGTGAAGCAGTTGTGTTTGCATGGCTGTGTTTCGGTTTGAAGGGTGGGATATGGCGTGAATTTACAGGGTACAGAGGAATAACACCTGAGTCCTCAGGAATGGCAACGCATGGGGGGGGGGGTGTATCATGGGCGAAACAGTATACTCTGTTATGTCCATGGTACTGCTCATGTCTATAGGCGACGGTTACCGCTTTCCATCAGGTGGGCCGTCAGCTTGTTTGCCATTCTAAGTTGTATAAAAAAAAAAATTCATTTAGCATTAAAAAATTAACATTTTGTTTTTTGTTTAAAAACTCTTTTACATCATAAAAACTATTTACATTCAGCCAAGTACACATTTTCTTTTGAAATAAATTCATATTTGTAAACCACATATGTGTGTGTGTTTTTTTAATGGATGATAATGGAATGGTAACTCCGCCTGCGCTATCGGTATTCACTGGCGGGGCACCAGTGAGGGATGATAGGTAACGATGAAAATAGGCCAGTTAGCCCATCATGACTAATTCATCAGGAATTAACCATGATAGTTTCCAGGGAGAACCGCGAGGCGGTCGACCTGGTTGGGTATATTGCTAGCAATGGGATTCTCAGTCTCCGTTACTAACAATCCCTTTCCCCCAGCAATAGGTCAGTTAGACCCCATGACAAATAATCCCTTTCCCCACCATATATATGTGTTTGTAAATAAAATTCAAAATACTCACTGTTAGAAATGAATTCTGAAAACGTTTTGAGCGAATGCAGTGTACGCTCTGAACATTCAACTCTGTTTACAACTGAATTACAATTTACACATCTAATCTAAAGTCATTTGAGAGACGATTATACTAATGTGCCAGATAAATTGTGTACACAATGCTTAAACATTAATTTTAAAAGAGATTTTAAACAGTTAAGTGTAAACATTTCAATACGTTATACAAATAAATACCTTTTTTCCCGTCACGTTTTCAAAAGAAGGAAAACTAAAAAAAAAAACACTCCTAGTTGACGTATTAACCCTTCTTCGCGTAATGGTGGAAATTTCCATCATAACATTGAATGTTCAAAAATTATATAAAAGAACAAGTTCACTTTAAGTTGATCGTGTCTGGACACCTTTTTAATGTCCATTGCAGAACAAAAAACATAGCTGTTAAATTTATTTCTTTAACCATTTTTCCTTTAATTTTGAACATGAATTATATCACCTTGATTTATTTCATCAATAAAAAAATCATGCAAAGAAGGGTTAAGACAAATCATATGCCCGTTTTCAATCATAGCCGTGTAGGTCCTGGCCATCTCTACCTTTCGCGTGACTGTTGTAAGAGGCGACTAAGGGGGCTTATGGTGGAGAGATGGGCAGCAGCGTCCCTCTTAAAACATCACCAAAAGCCAAACTGCGGTTGCCAATACGTTTGCTAAGTGTGGCAACTAGTGCTAGCAATATACCCCTATTAGGTCGACCTCCACGCTGTTCCCCCTGGAAACCACCGTGTGAATTCCAGCTGTATTCATCACGATGGGCTTTCTTTGGGTCCACTGATCTGCTTCATCATTATGTATCATACCTCACTGGTGCCCCGCCAGTGTGTACCGATAGCGCAGACGGGATAACCATTCCATTAGGGGAGAAAGGGATTATTAGTAATGGGATTACTAACAGTTCCATTGCTGGCAATGTACCCTATTAGGTCGGCCTTCACGCGGTTCCCCCAGCAAACCATTATGGTTAATTCTCACGAAATTCGTCATGATGGGCTAACTGACCTGCTTTCACCCTCACGTATCACCTTTCATTGGTGCCCCGCCAGTGTATACCGATAGCGCTATCGGTATACACTGGCGGGGCACCAGGCGGGGTTGCCGTTTCATTTTCACCCATTAACCATTCCATAATCATCCATAAAAAAACTAATTTAGCACATAGCATACTTTATGCACTGATTCCGACTCGACCCATGGAAACTGTGCAGAGATGTTGCATCTCTGTGCATCTTCTATCGAATTTATCATGGGGAGTGTTCTGAGGAATTGTTCGGATTGATACCTGCTGCTGATTTTCACCATTGTACTACCCGCCATAAATTAAAATTTCATCCCAACCATCTGGACGAGTGGCGATCCTCCACCGTGCGTTTTTCAAGGCACTCTTTGGAATCAACTTCCGGCAGCAGTATTTCCGAACCGATACGACAACATAACCTTCAAGAAAAGAGCATATTCCTTTTTAAAAAGCCGGCAGCACACCTGCAATGCCTTTAGTGTTGTGGGCGATCATGGGCGGCGGTAGTCACTTACCATCAGGTGAGCCGCATGCTCGTTTGCCCCCTGTGTTGTAAAAAAAAAAGTAATAAATAAATCCACTCACAAAATGTTGTCAAGCTCTTCATACACGTGCCACAAAACATCCCGCAGCGTCGACTGCTACTATTGGTCACGTTTGGGGATCCTGATCACTTCCATGCCTTTGCCGAACACGCAAACAGTAATTTCGGCGCTAAAAAAATACAAAAACTGTTAATTTGGCAGGTAAATTACAACTGATGCATTTGATAGTTAGAATACACAATTATTTACATAACATATATATATATATATATATATATATATATATATATATATATATATATATATATATATATATATATATATATATATATATATATATATACGTATGTATTTCATTATACCTTGTTGTGTCGTATATGTTACCACAGTTGTGTTTGCATGGCTGTGTTTCGGTTTGAAGGGTGGGATATGGCGTGAATTTACAGGGTACAGAGGAATAACACCTGAGTCCTCAGGAATGGCAACGCATGGGCGAAACAGTATACTCTGTTACGTCCATGGTACTGCTCATGTCTATAGGCGACGGTTACCACTTTACATCAGGTGGGCCGTCAGTTTGTTTGCCATTCTCAGTCGTATAAAAAAAAACACTACTGAAAAAATTTTTTTTTTAACAAAAATACAAACATTGTTATATAAAAACAGACTTATTGTGGATGAATTTGTAACTAAGATTTATTTCAATTGATCGTCTACCTATAAAAAAAATGGTTTTCCCCTGACAACAAAACAAAACCTCTGCCGGGGGCTCCTCGGGGGCTGACCCCCGAACACCCTTCAAATTAGGACAAATCCGGGGAATTCCAGACGGATGGCAGCCCTAGTGATATCCTAACTTAGTGTATAGGATAATCTATGTATTAATATACGCGGACGGAACCGCAGAATACAGCTAGTGAAGGTATAATATGTAAAACAATGGAGACCTACCTTGAGTTATCAAGAATATCCATGCCCTGTATATCAGAGATGTCACTTAGTGTTTGAGCTACAAACACACATGTGATACCTTTAATGCCTACACACCATCTACACAACGTTATTCTTTGATCTATAGACGTTGACAATAAGAAATCATCGATGAACCGCAGTCCAGTGATTTGCGAACAATGAAACTTATCCCACGACCAACTATCAATTATTTCAAAGTCTACTTTGTTAAATTCTAATAACTTCAAATGTATTGCATTATCATCCCCTCCAGTCGCTATTAATATTTGGTTATCCGTTACAATTACTGAATCGAAACTATTTATGCCCGACTTGTTAGTTATTGTTGTAAAAATTGGCTTCAAATCCAATGTTTCTATGTTGGCGTTAGAAATACTCCAAAATGTCACCTCCCCTCTAGTCGTACAAGTTGCGATCAAGTTTTTATCGCCAAACTTAAGATGTTTCGTTTTTAAAATACAAGTTTTAAAACATTTCTGTACTGCAACAGTTTTAAAAGCAGCAGTTTCCAAATCGAAACTGAAAGTTCTAAGGCTGGCATCGGAACAGCCGGCAACAATGATTAAATTATTTTCATTAAATCCTACAATATCCACGTCCATTATTCTCGTTTCTGGATCGAAATCTATCGAGCAATCACGCCACGTTTGTTTCCCTTTACGTTCCCTTTCTGTTCCTTTTATCATGTAATCAACACACTCTTGCGTTTTAAGCACAATTTCATTGTTTTCTTTGGTAAATTCGATCAATTTTATACACATCTGTGCTCTACCTCCAGCGGATACCAAAAGAATTTTATTAGCTTCCAAACAATGAATTTTCAAAGTTCTCACACTCGATAACTGTTTAAAAATAAGTTCCTCGCCAAATTTGTTCTCTCTGTCAATTGACGATATCCTCAATGTGGTATCTTCGCCACCAGATATATAGAATGTAATAGAATTATCTAAATTCGTCTTATGCACACATAAACAATCAATTTCTTTAGAATGCGATCCAATTATAACATTTCTAGAAACAACTTTACTCATTTGAAATTTATTAATATGTATATCTCCTTTCTTAAGGTACACAAGCATTATAAATTCATCATAGTCATTGTCCACTTTGTCTATGTAACGCACCACATCCCAGGACCTGTGCCCTCCCCCACATGCTACGTTTAGTTGTTTTATTTTACTTTTAATATCGTACACAACAAATGTTCTTTCTTGAAAACCACAAACCACATTCTCATTATTGTCTATAAATTTTTCAACCCATTGAAATTCTAAATCTTTTGAACTCATATATTTAGCTAAACTTTTATGTGCATTGTTTAGACTGAAATATTTTATCGTACCATCTCTTCCTGTGGTCATAAACTCATTGCTTTTAATAGTAATAGATGTAGGCCCATATCTACCATGGACTTTACTAAAAGTCTTAATTGGAGCTTTATTGTTCTTGTCGTACACATGTACATTTCCACATCTGTCGCCTACAACCAAAATCCCATGTTTAGTATCAACATCAGCTGCCGTTAACCATCTTTCTTTGCAAGCAGGCAATATAAATTGTTCACACAATTCAGTATTTTTTTCTCTCGAAGCCAAAACACTTATTTGGCCATTCTCAGAACACATAATCAGATGCCTGTTGCCTGCCCATTGCATTGACAGTATTTTCCCAATTTGCAGTTTCGTTTTTATGACATTACACAGCAGTGCATCACCTTTGCAATTTTCTATAAAAACATCTAAATTTCCACACATATCGGCAACTGCTACCATTTGTTTGCAAGAGGAGATATCTATTAATTTATAAGTAGATTCATGTTCCAATCTTCCAACAGTCTTTACTTTTCTTTTTAAATCGTAATGGATTACTTCATTATATTCACTTAAAATAACAATATTTCTTCTAGCAGTAAAAAGAATGTTCTTAGGTGACCTTACTTCTAAATTAAGAGCTTCATTTTGACCATATTCAGTAGCTATGGCTAGTGGATGAATGACTAAACCACAATCACCACCACCAGTGACTAAATAATCATTATTAGCATCTACAGACCATATACCAGCATTCTGGTGTGTTACCGACTTCCTTAATAAAGTCCCTTGAAAATCCCAGAAGCATATTGCCGAGTCTTCACCAACAGACACCACCCAGTCTTTTGTAATACAATTTCTCATAACTCTGGCAGAATGTCCGTATAATTCATGAATGCATGTTATGCTCGCCTTCTGCCATAATTCTATGGTGTAGTATCCGTTTGATGAGTTTGAATCTTCACTATTTACACTCCACAGACGGACAGACCTGTCATCAGATGTTGTAACTATTAGGCCTCTATGTTGGTCACATGATATTGAAAATATAACACCCTGAAAGAATTGTTAATGACATATTATATATAAGAATATAAAATGTATTAAGAAATAAAATATATTTATTTTAAATAATCTGAAAATCTAATATAGAAAATGGATATGAGTTGATATTTTTAATAAATATTGTTTGAATTAAACTCTCAAATGTTAATAGTTATATTCAATTTTTTTTTATACAACTTAGAATGTCAAACAAACTGACAGTCCACCTAATGGAAAGTGATAACCGTCGCCTATAGACACGAGCAGTATCATGGACATAACAGAGTATACTATTTCGCCCATGATACCCCCCATGCATTGCAATTCCTGAGGACTCAGGTGTTATTCCTCTGTACCCAGTAAATTCACGCCATATCCCACCCTTCAAACCGAAACACAGCCATGCAAACACAACTGCTTCACGGTTGAAACACGAATGGGACAGAGGTGCCCAAGCAATCGACTTTTGTACAAAGTCTCCCTCTGTACAAAGTCTTTTTATGTCAAATTTAATAAGAAAATTTTTTACCGCATAATTACATTTTTGTTTCGCCAGAGGTTGACTGGGAGAGAACACTACTCCTATATAGTATTAAGTCCGCATTTTGTACCAGATATTTCTTTGTAAAGTGGTGAATAAAAAAATGAATAAATAAACACTAAACCTACCTTGTGTCCTGATAAATGATGTAGAGGTGTCTCAACTTGACACGCATGCACTATAACTTCTGAGAACACAGTGCCAGCAAGTACCAGCACACCATCCTGCAGTGGTAACAGCAAACCACTGTATAATATAGAGTTGTCTCTGCTCACATACTGTTTACTTAGACTTTGCATTGCAGTGTTCCAAATCTAAAAATTTTAAAGAAGTTGGTTAAACAGCAATCATATTTGACCCAAATAAGGTTGAAATAGAACCTTATGACTTTCTAATATTCTCACAGTCAAGCAAGATCACGTTTAAAAGGGGGTGGGGAAAGGAATTGTTAGTAATGGAGCCTAGAAACCCTATTGCTAGCAATGTAGGTTACATACAAGGCCAGGTTAACCTTCATATAGTTGCTTCTGAAAACCATCATGATAGATTTTTGAAGGCATCACAACGGGTCGACTGTTCTGCTTTCATCAACACACCTCTCATCCCTTGCTGGTGTTCAGCCTTTGCTAATAATATAATATATACTGGCAGAGCACCATTCTATTTTCACCCATAAAAAAAAAAACAAAAGGCAAAGCTATTATCCTAGGCCTAGGAAAGTAAATTTGTATTTTCCCTCTTGGTGTCTTAATAGTATAATCAATAAAATTATAATAAATTTATTCGTAAACAACATAACTGTTTATAATTACTCCTCTCTATGCAAAGGTTGCCTGGAAGAGATCGCTCTTAACATTAAGGTCGCCCATTGTTTTCCCATTGCGATTATTTTTTGTAATTATTTATATTTATAATAAGTTTACTATTGTAATCTTTTAGAGGAAACAATAAAGAGTATCTATCTATGTATCTAACTGTAGTTTCTTAACTATTATTATAGTTTTCAGGTACAATCAATAATCTAGATATTAGACATAAACTGTATTTATATATGTAACATGAAGATGGTATATATATATATATATATATATATATATATATATATATATATATATATATATATATATATATATATATATATATATATATATATATATCCCAGTCATATAAATTTACTATTTATCAAGCTATTATTGAAGAGGATATAATATAATTAGATAGTGGCATACACCAAAACCAAGGAGTCTTGTTGTGCTTTTTGTTTTTTTTAAATACGTTTTTGATATTAATACTCTGTGTAAATAGATGGAGATTGTAGTATATTATATTCACATACTGGCCACTAACAATATTGTAACTACTGGCCGGTAATAATTTGTTCCATTTATTCTTTCAATGAATAAACCAGTGTCTAACCAATTTTCTTACGTATCACTACAGAGAAGAGAGAAATAAGTACCTGGACAACATTATGAGCAGTTAGCAATGCTATAGATTGATCTTTAACCCATAGAGCAGAATGTAGCCAATCATTAGACACCACAGGGTTAAACAATCGCGTCAACTCCTCACCCTCAGACAACACAGTAAACTGTTTTCCGCCAAATACTATTATTTTATTTGAAAATTCACAAGGCACAATACCATAGATTTTTTGTCCATTTAAACAAATAATTTTTTGTAACAACCTTTTGTTAATATTGTCAAATACATGCATAGAACAGCCGATACCTGAAATTTTAAAATGTGTATAATTCATTCACAATTAAATAGAAAATGTGCTAATAAAAATTGCAATGTAAGGTTAAGTCCTTACCGGCGAAGATCGAGTTTTTATGCAATTTAACCGCAGTAACATCTGTACGAGTTATCAAAGACATTTTAAGTATTTGTAGTGAGAAATAATTAAATCAAATAATATTTACGAATAATTAAAAAAAAAACATATGATGAAAAGAAAATAAAAGGTTAATGACAATAGAGTTTGACATTGATTTGTCAAATTGACATTCATTGACAGTGTCACAGATTACACGTAATAGTTGGTTTCTGACTAACAGCATTCACAGATTATTTAATGAATGATAATAAAATGGTTACCCCACCTGCGCTAACGGTATATACTGGCGGGGCGCCAGTGAGGGATGATAAGTGAGGATTAAAAGGCAGGTCAGTTAGTCCATCCAGGAGTTCAGTACGATGGGTTCCAAGGAGGACCACGTGGCGTTCGACCTTATGGGGCATATTGCTAGCAATGGGACCGATAGTCCGCATTACTAACAATCCTTCTCTCCCCCCCGCCCCCTCTCTCGAAACAATCATAAATTAGGTATTTGTGATGTATAATGAATGTATAGACTAAACGAATAGTATTGGTAGTCAGGTAGACTTTCACGTGATACTTCCCTAAAAACCATTGTGCTGAATTCCAGGTGTATTCATTACGATGGGCTAACTGACCTGCCTTTTCATTCTCATCTATTATCCCTCACTGGTGCCCCGCCAACATATATCGTTAGGGTAGGCGGAACTATCATTTCATTAGCATCCATTTAAAAAAATAGTATAGTATTATGTTATCTGTGATTATACACTAAATTAGTGATGGGTATTAGGTATATTATTTTTTATACAACTTAGAATGGCAAACAAGCTGATGGTCCACTTGATGGAAAATGGTAACCGTCATTTATAGCCATGAGCAGTACCATAGACATAACAAAATATATTGTGTCGCCCATGATACCTCATTATATACTACTACATATATACTATCATTTACTGAAAACATATTAAATAGATCCGATCTATTATACTACGGTAGACTACGGTATAAAATGATGTTATCCGTGTAAAAAAAAACGCAGAATTTTCACTTGTACTAATTTAATTATCTGTTAAAAATAGAAAATTCACAATAATTAGTGTATACTAACTATTATTTTACTTATATATATATATATATATATATATATATATATATATATATATATATATATATATATATATATACAATTATAATAAAAAAATATATAAATTTATGAATTAATTTTATTACATATAATCAGGTAGATTCTTTTTTTATAATTATTCACGCAGATCACAATATTGTACTAAAATATTATTTAAGAATTATTCGCTTTGGTATCGATTCAGCGGATAATGCTCTTGATATTTTTTCAAATGATCTTCCATTTGTTGAATTTGTTTTCTGAAAAAAAAAGAAAAAAAAATTATAGTGTTGTGACAAATAAAAAAATCGATAATTTAAAAATAATAATTATAAATATATATTATAATAGAGTACATATACTCATATAAATTTTTGAAAAAATAATCCTTATGCAACTTGTCAGTTATTTCAATTTAAATAATTTAATCCACAATAGTCAATTCGGTTTTTCCAAAGGTCGTTCAACTACAGACGCAGGTGCAGAGTTGCTTAGACACGTATTTGCTGCATGGGAAACTAAAATGGATGTGATAGGTGTTTTTTGTGACCTTTCTAAGGCTTTTGATTGCGTTGATCATAATACATTGCTAAAAAAACTTGCTTTTTATGGCGTCAAAGACAATGCTTTAAATTTAATAAAATCTTATCTATCTGATAGAATACAGAAAGTGAAGATTAGCAACGCTACGTCTGACGGGTCACTTGTGCAAATGGGTGTACCTCAAGGATCTATTCTCGGTCCATTTTTATTCCTAGTTTACATTAATGATCTCCCATATGCCATGCAGGATAGATGCGGCATAGTATTGTTTGCAGACGATACTTCATTGATTTTTAAAGTTAATAGAATGACTAATAATTATGACGATGTAAATAGTGCTTTGCGGCGTCTCCTGCACTGGTTTACAACTAACAATCTTATGTTAAACGCTAAAAAAACAAAATGTGTTAATTTCTCTCTATCTAAAAGTTTTAATACTAATTGCAATATTAAATTAAATGACGAATCTCTCGAATTTATAGAATCTACTGTCTTTCTAGGAATCACACTAGATAATAAAACACAATGGGGTGCACAAATTCAAAGCCTTGCAGCGAAACTAAGTTCAGCAGCTTTTGCCGTGCGTAAAGTTAGACAGTACACTGATACTGATACTGCTAGATTAGTCTATTTTAGTTATTTTCATAGTTTACTCTCTTATAGAATATTACTATGGGGAAAAGCGGCAGATATTAAGAATATATTCATATTACAAAAACGTGCCGTTCGAGCGATCTACTGTATGAAGAGTCGTGACTCATTAAGAGAGAAATTCAAAGAGGCAAATATTCTCACCGTTGCTTCTCAATTTATATATTCAAATATCCTATATGTTCATAAAAATCTTGACTTATTTCCAAAAAACAGCAATATTCATAATATTAATACTAGATTTAAAGACAAACTTGCTGTCCCCAAGTATCGTTTAGAAAAAGTTAATAGGTCTTTTATGGGAATAGGTATAAAAATTTACAATAAGATACCAAAGGACATGTTGGAATTACCCTTAAATAAATTCAAAACATCTGTTAAATCATATTTACTGAGCAAAGCCTATTACTCACTAAACGATTACTTGAATGACGAGTGTGCATGGCAATAGTTGTTCATGCACTGAATTTTCATTTAATGTTAGACATAGACACCTATATAAATATACATTGTAAATAAACTGGCTTTAAAAAAAAGTAATTCAATTGAGTTTCTTGCCAGTTCTTCTCAGTTGGATCTATATACCGAACTGGACGGTAGGGAAAAAAATAAAATTATAATGTAAAAATTTGACGTTCATAAGCGGCTAAAATGTCCTACATGAATAAATGATTTTTGAATTTGAATTTGAATTTGAATTTGAACATATAAAAGTCGCCCCATCGACAAATACAATTAATCAAAATAATTATATTTAATTCTATTAATTAAATTTGTCGATGGAGCTGCCATTAATATTGTGATCGTAAGGTATTCGTGGCTTTCGAAGGAATCATTTTATAAAACTACATGTATTCATAGCCGACTCGTACATCGTCTGGGCTTAGTATGCTATCATTTAATACTATATTTACTTTATCACCACTAGCATTACAAACTACTGTATTTAAACGTACGACCCATCTGATGATAAACGGTTGCCATATCGTATGAACACTTTCAATACCAAAGATTCACACGCACATATTTTGTATCATCATTTCTCGTCATAATCGTAGAATAAAGTCGGTTTTAAAAAAAAAACCGAAGTTCACTTTTTACTATATTTGGATACTATATATATTACATAAAATATTTTTTTTTTTTAGATTTCAAATTAATCAGTCGGTAAATGACGGATTTGAATGGGGCTCATAGTAAAATGACGGTGGTGTCTGTACGACGCGCTGACCCACCGTCCCCTCCCGCTCCCGACGAATTTTGATAATCGCCACTATTCGTCGAACTCGACGACGCGTTGCAGTGGATTAGATTTTTGTGATGTATGTGGGTTAGATAGACCTAGATTTTTATAATAATTATATTTGGCGGGGTAACTGGTTTTGTCTACAAATAGAAGTGATCCGATCCAGGTGTGTTTTATTTCTCTCCGTCATATTAATACCTAGAGGCGATAAATAACTATCAAATAGCAAAATTTGTAACGACTAATGCCACCTACTTCGCTCCGCCCACTTATACCTGTGGCACATGTGTATATAAAGCAAACTTGGTTGCAACCACTCAGTCGTAAGCGATATCACAAGCAAAATAAAAATGTGTGCATTGTACATTTCAGATTTTAACTGTCTCTGTGACGAAGAAAATTGCGTGTGTCACTACAGCTGCTTCCTAACACCGTCGTCGGATGTGGAACTCAGTCGCAGACCTTCGCCAGAGCTGCCCTCAATCACCAACACGCCCGTTACCAGATCCACTGAGTGTGAAATGGTCGGAAGAAGAAGAAGAATCCACTTTCGCGGAGTTGGAAATGGATCATCAACGTCAGATATTTAGACACTGTTGTCTGAGAGTTTAGTGTCTGAGTGTCTAGTGTCTGAGTATCTAGTGTCTGAGTGTCTAGTGTCTGAGTGTCCAGTGTCTAGTGTGAGTGTCCAGTGTCTGAGTGTCTGAGTGTCTAGTGTCTGAGTGTCTGAGTGTCTAGTGTCTGAATGTCTAGTGTCTGAGTGTCTGAATGTCTAGTGTCTAGTGTCCGAGTGTCTAGTGTCCGAGTGTCTAGTGTCCGAGTGTCCGAGTGTCTAGTGTCTAGAGTCTGAGTGTCTGAGTGTCTAGTGTCTGAGTGTCTAGTGTCTGAGTGTCTAGTGTCCGGGTGTCTAGTGTCCGAGTGTCTAGTGTCCGGGTGTCTAGTGTCCGAGTGTCTAGTGTCCGAGTGTCTAGTGTCTAGTATCTGAGTGAGTGTCTAGTGTCTGAATGTCTAGTGTCTGAGTGTCTAGTGTCTAGTGTCTAGTGTCCGAGTGTCTAGTGTCCGAGTGTCTAGTGTCCGAGTGTCTAGTGTCTGAGTGTCTAGTGTCTGAGTGTCTAGTGAGTGTCTAGTGTCCGAGTGTCTAGTGTCCGAGTGTCTAGTGTCTGAGTGTCTAGTGTCTAGTGTCCGGTGTCCGGTGTCCGGTGTCCGGTGTCCGGGTCCGGTGTCCGGTGTCCGTTGTCCGGTGTCCGGTGTCCGGTGTCTGAGTGTCTGAGTTGTCCAGTGTCCAGTGTCTGAGTGTCTAGTGTCTAGTGTCTAGTGTCCGAGTGTCTAGTGTCCGAGTGTCTAGTGTCCGAGTGTCTAGTGTCTGAGTGTCTAGTGTCCGGTGTCCGGTGTCCGGTGTCCGGAGTCCGGTGTCCGGGGTCCGGTGTCCGGTGTCCGGTGTCCGGTGTCCGGTATCCGGTGTCTGAGTGTCCAGTGTCTGAGTGTCGTGTCTAGTGTCTGAGTGTCTAGTGTCTGAGTGTCCGAGTGTCTAGTGTCCGAGTGTCTAGTGTCTGAGTGTCTAGTGTCTAGTGTCCGGTGTCCGGTGTCCGGTGTCCGGTGTCCGGTGGCCGGTGTCCGGAGTCCGGAGTCCGGAGTCCGGTGTCCGGTGTCCGGTGTCCGGTCTCCGGTGTCCGGTGTCTGAGTGACCAGTGTCTGAGTGTCTAGTGTCTAGTGTCTGGTGTCTGAATGTCTAGTGTCTAGTGTCTGAGTGTCTAGTGTCTGAGTGTCTGAGTGTCTAGTGTCTAGTGTCTAGTGACTAGTGTCTGAGTGTCTAGTGTCTGAGTGTCTAGTGTCTGAGTGTCTGAGTGTCTAGTGTCTGAGTGTCTGAGTGTCTAGTGTCTGAATGTCTAGTGTCTGGTGTCTGAATGTCTAGTGTCTAGTGTCTGAGTGTCTAGTGTCTAAGTGTCTAGTGTCTAGTGTCTAGTGTCTGAGTGTCCAGTGTCCAGTGTCCAGTGTCTAGTGTCCAGTGTCCAGTGTCTAGTGTCTGGTGTCTGAGTGTCTATTGTCTAAGTGTCTAGTGTCTAGAGTCTAGTGTCTAGTGTCTAGTGTCTAGTGTCTAGTGTCTAGTGTCTGAGTGTCTAGTGTCTAGTGTCTAGTGTCTAGTGTCTAGTGTCTAGTGTCTAGTGTCTGAGTGCCTGAGTGTCTAGTGTCCGAGTGTCTAGTGTCCGAGTGTCTAGTGTCCGAGTGTCTAGTGTCCGAGTGTCTAGTGTCTAGAGTTGAGTGTCTGAGTGTCTAGTGTCTGAGTGTCTGAGTGTCTAGTGTCTGAATGTCTAGTGTCTAGTGTCTAGTGTCTGAGTGTCTAGTGTCCGAGTGTCTAGTGTCCGAGTGTCTAGTGTCTAGTGTCTGAGTGTCTAGTGACCGAGTGTCTAGTGTCCAGTGTCTAGTGTCTAGTGTCTGAGTGTCTAGTGTCTGAGTGTCTAGTGTCTAGTGTCTAGTGTCTAAGTGTCTGAGTGTCTAGTGTCCGAGTGTCTAGTGTCCGAGTGTCTAGTGTCTAAGTGTCTGAGTGTCTAGTGTCCGAGTGTCTAGTGTCCGAGTGTCTAGTGTCTGAGTGTCTGAGTGTCTAGTGTCTGAGTGTCTGAGTGTCTAGTGTCTGAGTGTCTAGTGTCTAGTGTCTAGTGTCTAGTGTCTAGTGTCCGAGTGTCTAGTGTCCGAGTGTCTAGTGTCTGAGTGTCTAGTGTCTAGTGTCTAGTGTCCGGTGTCTGGAGTCCGGTGTCCGGTGTCCGGTGACCGGTATCCGGTGTCTGGTGTCCGGTGTCCGGTGTCCGGTGTCCGGTGTCTGAGTGTCTGAGTGTCCAGTGTCTGAGTGTCTAGTGTCTAGTGTCTAGTGTCTAGTGTCTGAGTGTCTAGTGTCTTGTGTCTGAGTGTCTAATGCCCGAGTGTCTAGTGTCTAGTGACTAGTGTCTAGTATCTAGTGTCTAGTGTCTGTCTGTGTGTCTGAGTGTCTAGACAGCAGTGAGAGACACTAGACACTCAGACACTAGACACTCAGACACTGGACACTCAGACACTAGACACTAGACACTGGACACTGGACACTGGACACTGGACACTGGATACTGGACACTGGACACTGGACACTCGACACTAGACACTCAAACACTCAGACACTAGACACTCAGACACTAGAAATTCAGACACTAGACACTAGACACTAGACACTCAGATACTGAAACACTAGACACTCAGACACTAGACACTAGACACTAGACACCGGACACCGGACACCGGACACCGGACATTGGACACCGGAACCCGGACACCGGACACCGGACACCGGACACCGGACACTCAGACATTGGACGCTCAGACACTCAGACACCGGACACTGGACACCGGACACTAGACACTAGACATTTAGACACTAGACACTCGGACACTAGACACTCGGACACTAGACACTATACACTAGACACTAGACACTCAGACACTAGACACACAGACACTAGACACTCAGACACTAGACACTCAGACACTAGACACTAGACACTAGACACTAGACACTAGACACTAGACACTAGACACTAGACACTAGACACTAGACACTAGACACTAGACACTAGACACTAGACACTAGACACTAGACACTAGACACTAGACACTAGACACTAGACACTAGACACTGGACACTGGACACTGGACACTAGACACTAGACACTAGACACTCAGACACTAGACACTGGACACTCAGACACTAGACACTGGAAACTCAGACACTAGACACTAGACACTCAGATACTCAGATACTAGACACTGGACACTAGACACTCAGACACTGGACACTGGACACTCGACACTAGACACTCAAACACTCAGACACTAGACACTCAGACACTAGAAATTCAGATACTAGACACTAGACACTAGACACTCAGATACTGAAACACTAGACACTCAGACACTAGACACTAGACACCAGACACCGGACACCGGACACCGGACACCGGACATTGGACACCGGAACCCGGACACCGGACACCGGACGCTCAGACATTGGACACTCAGACACTCAGACACCGGACACCGGACACCGGACACTAGACACCGGACACTAGACACTAGACACTTAGACACTAGACACTCGGACACTAGACACTCGGACACTAGACACTATACACTAGACACTAGACACTCAGACACTCAGACACTAGACACTCAGACACTAGACACTCAGACACTAGTCACTAGACACTAGACACTCGGACACTAGACACTAGTCACTAGACACTAGACACTAGACACTGGACACTCAGACACCGGACACCGGACACCGGACACCGGACACCGGACACCGGACTCCGGACTCCGGACACCGGACACCGGACTCCGGACACCGGACACCGGACACCGGACACCGGACACCGGACACTAGACACTCAGACACTAGATACTCGGACACTAGACACTCGGACACTAGACACTCAGACACTAGACACTAGACACTAGACACTCAGACACTAGACATTCAGACACTAGACACTCAGACACTCAGACACTAGACACTCAGACACTCAGACACTCAGACTCTAGACACTAGACACTCGGACACTAGACACTCAGACACTAGACACTAGACACTCGGACACTAGACACTAGACACTCAGACACTAGACACTAGACACTAGACACTAGACACTAGACACTAGACACTAAACACTGGACACTGGACACTAGACACTCAGACACTAGACACTAGACACTGGACACTGGACACTGGACACTAGACACTCAGACACTAGACACTGGACACTAGACACTAGACACTCAGACACTAGACACTAGACACTGGACACTCAGACACTAGACACTAGACACTAGACACTAGACACTAGACACTAGACACTCAGACACTAGACACTGGACACTGGACACTAGACACTAGACACTAGACACTCAGACACTAGACATTCAGACACTAGACACTCAGACACTCAGACACTAGACACTCAGACACTCAGACACTCAGACTCTAGACACTAGACACTCGGACACTAGACACTCAGACACTAGACACTAGACACTCGGACACTAGACACTAGACACTCAGACACTAGACACTAGACACTAGACACTAGACACTAGACACTAGACACTGGACACTGGACACTAGACACTCAGACACTAGACACTAGACACTGGACACTGGACACTAGACACTCAGACACTAGACACTGGACACTAGACACTAGACACTCAGACACTAGACACTGGACACTCAGACACTAGACACTAGACACTAGACACTCAGACACTAGACACTGGACACTAGACACTAGACACTCAGTCACTAGACACTCAGACACTAGACACTCAGACACTAGACACTGGACACTCAGACACTAGACACTAGACACTCAGATACTCAGACACTCGGACACTAGACACTCAGACACTAGACACTGGACACTAGACACTAGACACTAGACACTCAGACACTAGACACTGGACACTCAGACACTAGACACTAGACACTCAGATACTCAGACACTAGACACTGGACACTAGACACTAGACACTAGACACTCAGACACTAGACACTCAGACACTCAGACACTAGACACTCAGACACTAGACACTCAGACACTAGACACTCAGACACTCGGACACAAGTTTATTCCACACCTACAGTTACTTGCTTAGAGTAAACTCAAGTTCTTACTGGATTCTTGGTGGCATATCATAATATACGTCTTCCAGCATCTCCTTCCAGTGTGGCAGCTTCTTTTTCTCGGCGTCTTGCATCGTCCTCACTACTGTATTTCGACATTCTTTAGCCCACGCTTTATCCGCTTCTTCGTTCCAAAGACCTTTATATATAATAAAAAAAAAATGTTTAATACTTGGACATCATGTAAATAAGAGAAAAAGAAGAAGGCAACTCGATGCATGAAACTTTACAATTCTTTGTTTATAACGTAGGTATGTGTCATTCTCTAATATGTGTTTTTTTTTATAACCCAGCGAGCAAACGAGCATGTGGCTCACCTAATGGTAAGTGACTACCGTCGCCCATGATCACTCACAAAACCAAAGACATTGCAGGTGTGCTGCCGGCCTTTTTAAAAGGAATATGCTCTTTTCTTAAAGGTTATAGTTTTATATCGGTTCGGAAATAAATATTTTCATAAATTTTCACGAAAACAGACTGCATGCTGCATTCTGTTTTCGTGAAAATGCTACCGCAATTATTAAATACCGCATTTATTAAATATACATTTTTTTTTTATACTACTTAGAATGGCAAACAAGCTAACGGCTCACCTGATGGAAAGTGTTAACCGTCGCCTATACACATGAGCAGTGCCGTGGACATGACAGACTATTTCGCCCCTGATACCCCCTATGCGTTGCCATTCCTGAGGACACTGGTGTTATTCCTCTGTACCCTGTAAATGCATGCCATATCCCACCCTTTAAACCGATTAATAGGTAATGCACGCTAATAAAAAAAAAAAAAGAATTGTATTGTATTTCATTACTGTTTAAAATAATTTAATAATATTTTTATAAAATATTTATTTATTGTTAAAATTGAATTTGAACATCTTGAAACTTGCATTTCTCATTTATACAAGCCGAGTTTTATCAGTTATAGATAGATAGATAGATACTCTTTATTGTTGCCCCAAAAAATTACAATAGGAATCTTATTATAGATATAAACAATTACAAGAAATAATCACAATGAGAGAACAATGGGTGACCTTATCGCTGAGAGCGATCTGTACTACTTATTTATTTATTTATTTTTTGGAAAACGTACAGCTGAATTACAGTCAATACATAATCAAATTTATATCTATGTTAAGCCACGAGTCGTTTTCACATTTGCGTAATGACACAATTGATCGGTTTATATATATATATATATATATATATACATATATATATATATATATATATATAAAATGAGAAGACGCTAAGAATTTTTAGTATTAAACGAGTGGCAAGCTCCCATTGCTTATAAAAACCCCTCAAATTGCCCTCAACACTGTCCTTCTGGTAAATTATTTTTAAATTTGTTACGATGTAATTCAACTAAATTATATAGGACATACCCGTCACTCCACACTGGTTTCCCGCCAGCATAAACCACCATTACCGACGGAATACCATTCCATTATTATCCATTGAAAGACATGTCTACAACAAAATAATTCTCGACCTTTTTTTAAGGATGTTTAACAATTACCTTTTTGTTCTAAGTACAAACGGAATTTCTGTATAGGACTCTCGTCTTTGGTCCACTTATCTATTTCTTCGAGTGGTCTGTAAGCACTGCTGTCATCCGACGTGGAATGGTGACCCACTCTGCAACAGAGATAAATGAGAATAACTATGAAAAAATACAATTATCATTATTAAAGTATAAAGACATATTATTTAATAGATACTAAAGGGGGGGGGGGGGGGGAAGGGATTGTTATGAATTCTAAGAGCCCCATTGCTAGCAATATACCCTATTAGGCCGATCACCGCGCAGTTCCCAATAGAAACCATCGTGGTTAATTCAAAATTCAAAATTCAAAAATTCAAAATTCAAAAATCATTTATTCATGTAGGACATTTTAGCCGCTTATGAACGTCAAATTTTTACATTATAATTTTATTTTTTTCCCTACCGTCCAGTTCGGTATATAGATCCAATTGAGAAGAACTGGCAAGAAACTCAATTGAATTACTTTTTTTTTTTAAAGCCAGTTTATTTACAATGTATATTTATATAGGTGTCTATGTCTAACATTAAATGAAAATTCAGTGCATGAACAACTATTGCCATGCACACTCGTCATTCAAGTAATCGTTTAGTGAGTAATAGGCTTTGCTCAGTAAATATGATTTAACAGATGTTTTGAATTTATTTAAGGGTAATTCCAACATATCCTTTGGTATCTTATTGTAGATTTTTATACCTATTCCCATAAAAGACCTATTAACTTTTTCTAAACGATACTTGGGGACAGCAAGTTTGTCTTTAAATCTAGTATTAATATTATGAATATTGCTGTTTTTTGGAAATAAGTCAAGATTTTTATGAACATATAGGATATTTGAATATATAAATTGAGAAGCAACGGTGAGAATATTTGCCTCTTTGAATTTCTCTCTTAATGAGTCACGACTCTTCATACAGTAGATCGCTCGAACGGCACGTTTTTGTAATATGAATATATTCTTAATATCTGCCGCTTTTCCCCATAGTAATATTCTATAAGAGAGTAAACTATGAAAATAACTAAAATAGACTAATCTAGCAGTATCAGTATCAGTGTACTGTCTAACTTTACGCACGGCAAAAGCTGCTGAACTTAGTTTCGCTGCAAGGCTTTGAATTTGTGCACCCCATTGTGTTTTATTATCTAGTGTGATTCCTAGAAAGACAGTAGATTCTATAAATTCGAGAGATTCGTCATTTAATTTAATATTGCAATTAGTATTAAAACTTTTAGACAGAGAGAAATTAACACATTTTGTTTTCAATTCTTGCGGAATACGTTACGATGGGCTAACTGATCTGCTTGGGGAAAAGGGATTGTTAGCAATGGAGTTTGACAGCCCCATTGCTAGCAATATGCCTTATTAGGTCGACCTCCACGCGGTTCCCCCTGGAAACCATCGTGAACAATTCTTGTTGAATTAGTCACGAATGGGCTAACTGACCTGCTTCATCCTCACTTATCATCCTTCTTTGGTGCCTCGCCGGTGTATACCGATAGCGCGGGCGGGGTTGCCATTCCATTATCACCCATAAAAAAAAATGTTTTATCAAAATAAATAATGTAACACTTGTTACTCTTATCAGTGTTTTGAAAACAAAACATCATAAACCTGAGAATGCTAATGGCAGACATATTTACATATTATTACATATATCTTATCATACTTTATCATCGTCGAGGCAAATTACTATTTTTTTTAAATCCCATTTAATTGCTAAAAACTCAGCCATGATTTGATAAGCTTTATACGGTGAATGCATTAATCTACGATGTGGTCTATGCAGGACTATAGCTAGACCCAAGTTTATGGGTAGGGCAAAAGAACTTTTTGGTAGAGCAAAATCCATAATTAAATGACTTCGAGAAAGCGGATCTGTCTAATTTTCTTGGGGCCGTTTAATTTTGAGGTAGGACATTGGGTCTTAAAAGGTAGGACATCGTCTCAATGATGGATAGATAATATATTTGCATTACTTACAGCACGCAAATTATAACAGACACAGATATACATAAAAAGCGAGATAAGAGAAATGATTAAAATAAAATACATAAAGCCAAGTACAATTTTTCCTTTTGTGCGTGTGCCATAGCAATACAAAATGGTCACAACTCAGTTTACTGCTTCGCTTTCAAAAGAGCAAAGCGCTGATATTCCGTTGCGGCCAAAGGGAATAGGGTAACAATAAATACAATGCCTCCCCTCTAGTTACGGCCATCTTTGTATCAAATTACATTTAAATTCGTTTAAAAAATGTAATCGAAACGTCCAAATATTTATACATATATTCTCTACAAAGTTTTACTGTTACAATTATAGTGGGTTCGCGATATGACATCGTAGATACACTGACCTATATGACATGGCTTCAATTAGTACAGGCTTGTTGGTACCCAACACCAACTCTCTAGCTCTTGTAACAGCGTTGTACACAGCGAGGGGATCAGTGCCATCCACCCTCACAGTGTTCAGACCTAGTGCTGGGCCACGTGACGCAATACCGTCCCCGCGGTACTGTTCACCTGTTGGGGTCGAGATGGCGTACCCATTGTTTCTACTAAAAATAATAAAATAACTTGAATAAGTTTATCTGTAATGTTACATAGTAGTAAATACCGATATTTAGGTTTCATACATTGTACTCGTATAACATAAATACCTATTACATAAAAGTCGTATCTTTTTTTTTATAATGAATGTAAATGATATGGTAACCCCGTATTCGTATCGGTAATGTTACTGAATAGGCATCGGTAATATGGACACTGATCCGGTATCTATGTACTGAGTTTATTTAGATATCGATTGCGGAAAAAAGGGTCTTTACTTCGATATCGCCCTATAGAGGTCGGATATTTATTTTCGAATATGTTAAAAGTCTGTTATTCAATATTTTTTGGATATTAGACCTTACGTCGTTGAACCAGGATACGGATATTGTAACTTTTTTTTTTACGCAACTTAGAACGGGAAACAAGCTGACGGTCCACCTAATGGAAAGTCAACGCAACGAATGGCAACGCATGGGGGGTATCATGGGCGAAACAGTATACTCTTTTATGTCCAAGGTACTGCTCATGTCTATAGGCGACGGTTACCATTTTCCATCAGGTGGGCCGTCAGCTTGTTTTCCATTCTAAGTTGTATAAAAAAAATCTATAGTATTCTATTATAGCATATAATTTATAACAAAGTATTGTTAGCTAAAAAATTGTAATATATACCAAAGCATTATAACTGGACAGTCAAGTGTGGCTGCAAAGTTGAAGGCAGCGTGTGCATCACCCTCAGAAGCGGCTCCTTCACCGAAGTAGCAGATGACGCAGCGATCGTTGTTCGGTATGCGTTTCAGAGCGTATGCGGCTCCAACGGCTTGCGGCATTTGGGTAGCTGGACCAGAAATTAATTACCCGTTTAGAGTACGTGCGATACCTTCTAAATAGATGAAGATTTAAGAAAATAATGTAAATAAGTCGACACTACCAATTTTATTAATATCGATGCTTTTAGAATTTCGATATCCTGGACACAACACAACACTATAGAATTTTTCTAAATTTGCTCATCAATTTAGAAAAAAATCGAATGTTTGTAATCATCACCGTCATATCAGCTCTTAACTGTCCACTGCTGGACAAAAAGACCCTCCCCACCCCAAGGGGGAGGCCCTTGGGAAGGCTTTGCCAATAGTCGCCACGCTTCGCAGGCGGATCGGTAACTGCAGTTAGACTTTGGAGATGTTTTAAGTGGGATACTGCTGCCCATCCCTCGCCCTCCTTTAGTCGCCTCTTACGACACCCACGGTAAAGGAAGTGGCTAGCCTATTCTATGCCGGGACCACACGACTATTGTAATCAAAATATTGGTTTTTTTTTTTTTATAATAACTCACCTAAAGGACTCGAAATAGTGACGATGTTGTGTTGCTTGCTACCGTAATGTACTGGCATTTGCTTGCCCTTGCCTGGGTCCTCGCAGTTACCGTAACACTGGTTAACCAGCTCCGTTACTGTGTACCCTCTAAACAGAAACACTCCGACCTCTCTGTATTGGGCAAACACCAGGTCTTTTGGTGATAAGGCCGCAGCGCTTCCGACGTGGATGCCCTCCTCGCCATAATTGGTCATATAAAATGATATGCGACCTTGTCTGAAAGAGATTTGTTAACAAATACAGGCCACAAATGTTATTATAAATAAATAAATTAAAAAAAGTAATGTTGATTTTATAGAAAAAAAAAACGGTGGCGTTTGAAATCATAAAATATAAAAGTTGTTGACACAATGTTCGTTCACCCTAATATTCGTAACCGGCGGGAAAGGGATTGTTAGGAATGGAGATTGACACCCCTATTGTGAGCAATATACCCTATTAGGTCGACCTCCACGTGGTTCCCCCTGGAAACCATCGTGAACAATTCTTATTGAATTCGTCACGATGGGCTAACTGAGTTCCTTCATTTTCATCTATCATCCGTCACTGGTGCCTCGCTGGTGTATAACGATAGCGCGGGTGGGGTTACCATTCCATTATCACACATTAAAAATATTCGTAACCGCTCCGCCCATTTAATTTTTTTTTTTTATTGTAAATATTTAAAAAATATATATATATAAAATACACATGTGTTTTAAACGTTATACCACGATACGTACCTTTGAGACTCATATAAAATTTTGTCCATCTGACTAAGCTGTATCATCGACTTGTACATATTAAGCAAGGTGTCTCTATCTATATTTGGCTCTTCATTGTTATCAATAACTTCTCCATTGTTGTCCAACACTCTATAAATAGGGATTGGGTCATAGCTGCTTTCGTTTAGGAATTTTATTTCCGTCACGTATGGGGCTTTGGCGCCAGGAAAGTCGGCATTCTTCTCATTCTGAACTATATTCGGTTTCCTATGCGTGGATAAGAGCTGAAAGATAACATAGTAGGTAATACTAATTTAGGGAGACATTGTACAAAAGTCGATTGCTTGGGTACCTCTGTCCCATTCGTGTTTTAACCGTGAAGCAGTCGTGTTTGTATGGCTGCGTTTCGGTTTGAAGGGTGGGATATGGCGTGAATTTACAGGGTACAGAGGAATAACACTTGAGCCCTCAGGAATGGCAACGCATGGGAGGTATCATGGGCGAAACAGTATACTCTGTTATGTTCATGGTACTGCTCATGTCTATAGGCGACGGTTACCACTTTCCATCAGGTGGGCTGTGAGCTAGTTTGCCATCCTAAGTTGTATAAAAAAAAATTGAAATACGTAATAAAACTAATATACTTAGTCTTACTACAGTAATCTTTTGGAGGAAACAATGAAGAGTATCTATCTAATAATAAATTTATATACATAGTAGGTACCTACAGTAATTCATGCAAAGTTCATTGAACGAAAGTCGATTAGGTTTAACGCGCGTAAGTAGAAAAACACAATTTACTTTTTTTTTTTTAAAAGAAAAAGAGATGTATTCTATGTCACGGAGTGAAATTGAAATTGAAAATAATTAATTAATTGTGTATCACAAAAAAAAAATCAATTTGAACTGTAACAAAACTAGTTATCTTTAACTAAAAACTAAACTAGTGAATCGATTTTGATAAAATTTCTATGGAAACAATCAGGTAAGTATATCCTTACAGATAAAAAAAGAATTTTCCAAATAGGCTTAGAACTGACGAAGTTATGAGGTAACAAACATAAAAAAAATACCAAATTGAGATTCAAGACTCAAGATTGTTTATTTGCAAAACGTTCGACATGTTTAGCCTGTACGCCATACAAACATATGTAGTTACACAGACAGTCCAAAATTATTCATACAATTAATCTTTAAAATTAGAGATCTCATTATAATTTTAAATACATTTAAATATATAATATTAATATAATAATTGTCGGGTAAGAACCTTCTTATTTTTTAAGTTGGTTGATTAAGAAATTTTATTTTTTAAACAACTAACAAACGACAAATTTTATCATCATATCAGAAGACGTTGTCTGTCCACTGTTGAACTGCTAAGCATCACCTATAGGCTCCTACAAGAAACGGTCCTGAACCACTTGTATCCACTAACTCCCTTCAGTGCATTTAAGGTCGTCACTCCATTCACATCTTCGTCGGAGATCGTCCTACACTGCGTTTGCCCTCAAGTAACTTTCTTCCTGATCAGTTGTCGATTCTTCGAGCTATATGACCAGGCCATTGCTACTTTAGCTTGTTTAACCTTTTAGCTATGTTAGCCAATTTTTTTTGCGGTTATACACATTTCGGATTCTGTAAACACGCATTGTGATCACGCAAAGAAACTCCGAGCATAGCCCTCTCCATAGGGGGGAAGGGATTGTTAGTAATGGGGATTAGCAACCCCATTGCTAGCAATAAACCCTATCAGGTCGACCTCCTCGCGGTTCCCCCTGGAAACCGTCGTGATTGGTTTACTGTTGAATTTGTTACGATGGGCTAACTGACCTGCTTCACCCTCATCTATCATCCCTCACTGGTGTCCCGCCAGCGTATACCAATAGCGCAGACGGGTCTACCATTTCATTATCATCCATTAAAAAAAAAGCCCTCTCCATAACACGCTAATTTGAAGCTTTATTTATGATTAAGAGTATAAACCTACCTTTATATAATATTAGAACAGAAATTGCGTTAATAATCAATTCAAAAATGATAATCAAAATTTTGAGTCTCCTGTACTAACTCAACAGTCGAACGCGCTAACTATGTGTTTGGTGGCATGGGGGATTTAAAATTTTAGTTATTCGACTCATGTCGAAACCAATGCCAAATTGAGTATGTTTAATATTATATTATCTGTGTCTATATTGGATATGGGGCCAATTGGGACCAATGTCCATTACCATTGTAGGTAGGTACATACAAAAATTATCATAAATGTATAAGGAAGCGCTAAATACCTACAACGAAATATATTTCGTTTATTTAACAAAACAGTAAAAAAAAATAAACGAAACTACGTGGTATTATGCTTTCTGTTATAGAAGAAATTATTTTATACGTATTTAATTAATTTAATAATGATTAATTCACAAAATTAACATACCCTAGCAAGGTGACGGAAACCGTTCAATCTCACAAAACTGACACCGCTGTGGAGCGCCATGTTCTTTTATACTGACGCAATACAGCACAGTTTGTGGCGTGCGGTAGTATTTTACTGAGCCACATTAGCAAGTATGATAAGTGCACGGCCTTTTGCTACGGCTGAGTTGTGTTATCAACTAAAGTTATCGATTAAATGTGACGTACATACATACATGTTACAATTTAACTAAGTATTCAGTTAATACCAGATTTATTTACTTAACTAACTTTGTTGAAAACTTTTGTCATAATGTAATTGGCCATTTTAAAATAACTCATCCATTCCATACATTCACAAATTCACAGTCAAGATTTCATTTACAAAATATTACTTGGGCAAATTAAATTATTACTGTATTAGTGCCTTAACTAGTATTGTTTCTTTTTTTTATATAATTTTGTGTCATTATGCTGTATAGGGAAGAGCACTGCTTATCCTAAAGTACAGGATTTACCTATTTAGGGAGCAGGGTTTTACCTATATTTAAAATGTAACATTTATTTTGAAATATATCATTATTATTTAAAAAAAATTTGACATTTAGTCACAAAACAACACCTACTTCGATCGTGGTAAAAGTATTTGAATTTAAAAACTAAACTAAAAAAGATAATTAACATAAAAAAAACTTAATTGTAAACCTACTCCTTTTTGGAAGTCGGTTGAAAATAAATGTTAAAATTTACTTTTAAATAATATTTAGACTTAAGGTACATATATAAGAGATGCTATATGTATACTCTGTTATGTCCATGGTACTGCTCATGTCTATAGGCGACGGTTACCACTTTCCATCAGGTGGACCGTCAGCTTGTTTGCCATTCTAAGTTGTATAAAAAAAAAATACTAAAAAATTTAATGTAATTAAATTTCCAACTATTTATAAGATGCCATAATATTTTACAAGAAGATTTTATGTAAAAGTCGTCTGCTAAGATAGCTATGTCCCATTCGTATGTTTACCATGAAACATGTATGCATAGTTTTGTTTCCGTTTGAAGAGTAAGACGTGGGAGTAAATTAAAGAGGCATAAAACTATAATCCTCAGATATGACAGAATGTAAAGTATCGTGAACGTTACAATAGGTACATGGTGTTGTTTCCGTGTGTAAGTGTACACACACACGCACGCACACACACATACACACATTATGTGTACTCTTAGACATTCTCACATGCGCATTATCATATCAGCTTTTAACTGTCCACTGCCGAATATAAGCATCTCCCTTGGGGGGGTTTTGCCAGTAGTTGTCACACTTGGCAGGCGGATTGGCAACCGCAGTTAGACCTTAGAAATGCTTTAAGAGTGACACTGCTGTTCATCCCTCGCCCTCCCTTAGTCGCCTCTTACGACACCCACTGGAAAGGACGGGGTGGCATATTCTATGCCGGGACCAAACGGCTATACTCATCATATGCACATACGCATTTTTATTTAAAATCATAGATTTTGTTATATTTATTTATACTCAAGATAAGCCATCAGATAGAGAGAAGATAATCTTTCACTTGTCGATTGAAAGCAACAATGGATTTTTCACTTGTAATGACTTCCGATTGATTTATGATAAATAGAAGTTGTTACGGATTGTTGTTAAAAAAAAAAAGAATTGTACCACCATTTCGAAGTTTTTGGTACTACTTAATAAGCATCAAAATGGGCAACACTAGCCTTTTGCCAAAATAATAAAAAAAAAAAACAGATTTCGTAGCTGCGTAACTTTTTCACATTGATGAATAATAAAATACCGAGTCCGGTCTCTGGGCGAATGTAAAAATCAATAATCCGAAGAGATCTTACTAACATTTTATCATTATTTTGAACAATATATTAAATTTATTGTTTATTATTTGATAGAAATTGTTTATTATTGAATCAATACATGACCTGACAACTTAATTCATATTGGCCGACAGAGGACGAATCTGACCTTAGATAAAGCTCTACAAGTAAATAATTCATACTACGTTCATATTACGTCGCGGCCTAGTGATATACATATGGATTGAGAGAAAAAATGCATTGATTACAATATGGAGCGCTACGGATCGCCTAAATACGACGTAACAAATTGTTACTAAACTGTATGACGAAGATTTATTTATATAAGTGATCTCTCGGCTCGGATTACATGAAGTACTTCGCGTTAAAGAATGGACAAATTATATGAAATGTTATTAGCCATTTAGGTATTTATAGCATACACATATTTAAGTAAAAAAGAACAAAACAAATTTTATCTCATCACAAGTGATAACAGGGTACCTCTGTTTATCTCGATGAGGGGAGGATACTTATAAGTTGTTTTTTATAGATAAATTCATGTGTGTGGCAACCGGAGCCAGCAAAACTTAATTTACAGACAGATAAAATTATATATATTAAATTTAAATTTTATTAAATATATAATTTATATTATATTGTGCTTAGAAGTAAACACAAATATCGTTATATAAATGTTCCTTTCTATATAAATATAAGTTCTGTCTCGTTGAATTCAAATATACCCGGCGAAATTGGAATGTAGCATAAATATTTTGTATCATGTCATATAAAAAATATCTTCGCACTCAGAATTTCTTTATATTTTAAATTATACTTTTATTTTGACTGTAGGTAATAGATATATTTAATAATTATAAATTCTTGTGAAATTATGACAACAATCTACAATAATTATTATGTGTCTGTTTTGAATCACTTGTTGAATTAAAACTTTTTTTTATTATATGGCAATTATCTTCTAATGTTAATATAATATTACCAAATAATATAGTATATTCATTATGTTACTTTGTTTCAAGCTTGAGTATATTTTCATACAAGGTGAATTATATTTAGTGACAACTGTTTTTCTCAATTTATGAGTATATAGATTAAAACAAGCCCACCTCACTTAAAACAATTTTTTTCGATATCTGTGTTACCTTCCTCAGCCAATAGTAAGAAACTGTTTTTCAACTGAATCATGACCATCTTGAAAATGTGTAATGTCAGACAGAATCAGAGAAATGTTACTTTCTCATAGTGCCCTTTTAAAAATAGCGCATTACTTATAAATAAATTTAATAAAATATATATAATTAAGTTATATTTTATTAATTAAGTTGTATCTAATAAATCAAAATATAAATAAATTTATGTTAAATGTAATATAACAGAAAGAAAAAGTGGGGTTCTTAGCACATTTTTTTAAAGACTTGAACTAATGGATAAGCAATAAAATTAGTATTGTTAAATATAAAAGTATGCCTAATATTTAATGTTATTCTGTTCTTATTTTTTAACTGTATACGTTTTTTTAGGTGCTGTTTATCTCGGCATTTCGGCACTCGGCACATTCGGCACAAAACTTTCAAGTATAGTTTAATGTTTCAAAGATAATTTGCATTAAATCACATCTAGTAAGAAATCAATAAAAAATAAAATAGCTAGATCTTGTACGATAACATTCGATATTGATATTTTGCATAAAGGCATATGTAGATAGTGGAGCAACACTATAAAATAAATATTCATTTATTTCATTGTCTTGTTGGTACAAAAAGGTAAAATGCATTCATTATTTAGGTTTTGTGGGTGTAAAGCCACTGCCAATGTCAACTCTATAACGTAGGTGATTTAGAGATGCGCGAATCTGATGATTTTATTATTCGAGTAATTAGTAATTACTAGTATTATATTTCGATTACTAAATTCCCTATGGTTGCCTGAGAGAGAATGCTTTTAGTTTTAAGTCCGCCATGTACACATATTTGTACTAATGAATAAATAAATAAATTAGTAATATACTATATTATCTGTATTCAGATTATTTTACTAATTAGTAACTACGTACAAAAAAGTCCTTTCTTTAAATATGTTTACTAATAAGTTCAGTGCACAATCTGTATCCATTACTACTACTTAACCACCTAAGTAAAAACGACGACGAAAAAAGCTACCAAGTACTGAAATATCAATTTTATAATACGTGTTGTAATACTTTCATTTAATAACAATTTCCTATAAAAACTGTACTCACTTTTATTGAAACTTGGTAATTTTACTTAATTTAAAGTGGCAACACTCTTATTCGTTAAAAATGAAGACATTTCAACGATCGGGACGACTCAGCCATGTTCGTGTTGACTCATATATCAACGACTATTAATACACGATACTAGTAGTGGGTTGACATTAATAGTCGTATACCCATATAAAATTCATATCATATATTTTGAAAATCAATCGAATAATAGTAGTCGGATTAGTAACGTCGCGCATCACTAGCGTGTGATTACTTCTGAGTGCAGTCTCTTTAATCTGTGTGTTCAAGTTAGTGGTGAATGTCATTCAATGTATAGTGATCATTTTATTATATTTAAGTTTTGATAATGCCTTATTGGTATTACGATAAAAAGGATCTACAAAACACACCGTCATTTCGCGATGGCATCAGCACCGAGACAGAGAATCGTTACAGGAAGGAAGGCGCCAGATTTATTATTGACACAGGATCGAAAATGGACTTAGGTTATAACACAGTTGCGACTGGTGTTGTTTATTTTCACCGTTTCTACATGTTTCACTCGTTCAGAACGTTTCCGAGATACATAACGGCGTGCTGCTGCCTATTTTTAGCGGGTAAAGTGGAGGAGACACCGAAGAAGTGTAAAGATATAATAAAAGTGGCAAAATCACTGTTAACTGAACAAAAGTTTGCCACTTTCGGCGAAGACCCAAAGGAGGAAGTGATGACACTCGAGAGGATCCTGCTGCAGACGATAAAATTCGACTTGCAGGTGGAACATCCTTACGGTTACCTGTTAAAGTATGCCAAATGTTTGAAGGGTGATAAGACCAAATTACAAAAGATGGTGCAGATGGCATGGACTTTCGTTAATGACAGGTGAGTAATTTTGATTTAACATTTAACTTTTATCTTATAACCTTTTGGATATAAGTCATATAACAGATCCTATTTCCGAGATTTTTGAATATTTGTTACTTACTTTATGCTTAAACAGCTGAATGGATTTGTATGAAATTTAGTACACAGATTGATCATTACCTGTATATATATATATATATATATATATATATATATATATATATATATATATATATATATATTAATGTGAGATTAATTTTTGAGTAATATGCTTCGTCAAGCACAAAACCATACATTGACCTCTGTGATCTTTTATGCTCTCCTTTTTTAAAGTTTGCTGCTGTTTCCTGCCAGTGATAGGAATATTCAGATGTTCTCAGTAATGATGTTTTTATATCTTTAACATACAAAGTTTATTTACCAAAGCATGTTAAAGCCCTGATTAAGGTCTGCCTATCCCTCACCCTCCCTTAGTTGCCTCTTACGACAACCATGTGAAACGAAGCAATGCACGACCCACACAGACCAAGCTGATATAAATAATTATATACTAGTAAATGACATAATATAAATTCCATTGAACCAGTTTATGTACAACGCTGTGCTTGCAATGGGAGCCGGAGGTGATAGCAGTAGCATTGATGTTCCTGGCAGGCAAGCTCAGCAAGTTTGAGGTGGTAGACTGGAATGGACGATTGCCCAAACACAGTGCCTGGTGGGACATGTTCGTAGAGGACATTACCATGGAGCTCCTCGAGGATATTTGTCATCAGGTCAGTAGACTGGAGATACTTTATGTTTTTTTTTTAATGGGTGAAAATGGTATGATAACCCCGCCTGCGCTAACAGGATACGCTGGCCGAGCACCAGTGAAGGGTGATAGATGAGAATGAAAACAGGCCAGTTAGCCCATCATGATGAATTCATCAGGAATTAACCATGATAGTTTCCAGGGAGAACCGCGAGGAGGTCGACCTGGTTGGGTATATTGCTAGTAATGGGATTCTGTCTCCATTACTAACAATCCCTTTCCCCCCTACTTTATGTTTTAGGTAGGCATAGATAAAGATCTTTGCCTGGGCTCATAAATGCTCACATTACATTAAACAAAAAAAAAATACATGAAATCTGTGTAACCAGATAATACTTTTGTAAATTTTACACAATAAAATATATATTTTCAATAGATGTATATTATAATATACTCTTCATATTTGTTTTATAATATTTTTAACTATACAGTTACATGGAATCAGTTTCCAATTTTGTCAATCTTTCATAGTTTATATTTTTGCTTTCATATTCATTTTTGGCAGAGAAAATTTTTTTTTATTCAACTTAGAATGGCAAACAAGCTGACGGCCCACCTGATGGAAAGTGGTAACCGTCGCCTATAGACATGAGCAGTACCATGGACATAACAGAGTATACTGTTTTGCCCATGATACCTCCCATGCGTTGCAATTTCTGAGGACTCTGGTGTTATTCCTCTGTACCTAGTAAATTCACGCCATATACTACCCTTCAAACCGAAACACAGCCATGCAAACACAACTGCTTCACGGTAGAAACACGAATGGGACAGAGGTACACAAGCAATCGACTTTTGTACAAAGTCTCCCTCTGGTATTTGATTACCTACACTGATATTTATGATTATAATACAACGACAGCAACTGATGTAATTTATTATTGTCCTATTTTTACAGGTACTAGACTTGTACTCGCCGCAAACGCAGCCGTCGGGCGGCGACTCGCCCCCGCTGTCGGCGCCGCCAAAGACTCCAAAAAACGACAAGAAGCCCCACTCCGCTACACCGCCCGCTTCAGTATCGCCTGTCGCGCCTGTCGCCACTAAGCCGGCCGTGACGCCCATCAAGAACGGGGAACCGCCGCCTAAGCTGGAGCCTCCTAAGGCGGCCCTGGGGCCGGCGCCGGGCGCGGAGCCGCCGCGCTACGGGTACCCGCCGTACACGAGCATCCCGCCGCCGTACGTGTACGGCGCGCCGCCGCCGGCGCTGCCGCCGCGGCTGCCGCTGCTGTACACGGAGCCGCCGCCGGCGGTGGCCGCGGGCCCGCGGCCGCGCTACCCGCCGCCGCCGCCGGCGCCGCCCGCCGTCGTGTCGGTGCCGCCGCCCTACTTCCCGCCGCTGCCGGCGCCGCCGCCCCGTCCCTACTACCCGCCGCCGTAGCGTATACCTAACTTATAATTATAGTATAATTTTTTTACTGAAATATATTATTATTGGCCTGCCATTCTGTAGTTTCCTTTAAATCACACGCTCTCGTTTACCATGAGTTGACGAGGGATAGTTTCTATTGTCTATAAATAGACTGCTAAACACGAGTCTGTGACAAATTTGAACAAGCATATTGTTGTTGCAGTCAAGTTTCTCAACTGTGCAGGTCTTATCTTTTTTTTTATTCAACTTAGAATGGCAAACAAGCTGATGGTAAGTGGTAACCGTCGCCCATAGACATGAGCAGTACCATGCACATAACAGAGTATTATTCTGTTTCTGTATCTCTGGGCTAAGATAAATTTTCATTGAATTATTCAAAAGGGTTAAAAACTAAGAAATGTTTAGTTACACGGTGTGAAGTCAATTGTGACTTCAAAAATTATAAAAAGAAAAACGGACAAAGAAGTATTTCAATAAATTTTATTGTCAGTAAATACATAAATCAAAAATTTTGAGAAAAGTAATGTACAATTTTTTTAAAATTATTGCTTATTTATAATATAATATATTACAAACGTTAATATATTTAATACTATAGTTATATCAAACAAAACTATCTATGCTACATTATAATGAGCTTTGCATATAATAATAAAAATTAAATAACTTTATAAAAAAAAAAAAAAACCATATAACTGACAACGCTGGTTGTCACAAACTTTGTGCGTACAAACAAGACAAAAGTGAGTTCGCTTATATTAATTGTAGCTGCCATTCGACTAGAAATACAATGTTAACGATATGAACACATGCACTGCACCCACATTATTATATACAATTCACAATTGTTACATAACACGACACTAAGAGACAAACATATTTGATATATGTTTGTCCCTTAGCGTACTAAAGGGCTAGTGTACTAAGGCGCAGCAGACGGTGGATACCCTTCTCCAACCCATAAAGTACGGCGGGAGAGGTATTGTTAGCAATGGAGTTTGACAGCCCCGTTGCTAGCAATTTGCCCTATCAGGTCGACCTCCTCGCGGTTCCCCCTGGAAACTATCATGGTTAATCTCTGATGAATTCATCATGATGGGCTAACTGGCCTGTTTTCATTCTCATCGTTAGCGCAGGCGGGGTTACCATACCATTTTCACCCATCAAAAAAAAAAAAACTAGTAACAATTCTCGCTTGAATCCAGCCGCTATAAATCTTTATTCACGCGAGTAACGTCACGCGGTACAGTTAGTGTTTTAGTAACTACTGTTCTGGGAAATGTAACGTGTTCTAGCTACCATATTTGGGAAGTTATTCGATAATTATACTATTACACTCTACAGGGCCGTAGCTAGACCATAGTTTGAGGTAGGGCACAAAAACTTTATGGTAGGGCAGAAGCCATAATGAAGTGACTTCGAAAACGCGAATTTTAGACCCTTTAATTTTAAGGTAGGGTATTGTCCCTCATTGTCCCCCTGTTCCCAGCCACGGCCATGACACTACAAATTCGCATTACGTTAACAGGATAACATGGGGGGAAGGGATTATTAGTAATGCGGGCCTCTTTGCTAGCAAGCCCTGTCAGGTCGACCTCCACTCGGCTCTCCCTGGAAACCATTGTGATTAATACTTCTTGCATTCGCTACGATGGGCTAACTGACCCGCTTTCATCCTCACCTATCATTCCTCACTGGTGCACCGCCAGCGTATACCGATAGCGCAGGCGGGTTCACCATTTCATTATCATCCATTAAAAAAAAAACAGGATAACTACATAAAAAAAACCAAACTAACGATAAATATAATGACTTGATTCTTAAATACCTCTCAATCGATCATGATTTATTATTAAAAAATAAAAATGTAAAATAATACTAAAATTGTAGGCACACAGCGACCGCAGCGTCAGATCGTATATAATCTCGTATGTAAGGCACGTGGTTCACTTAAATTCTAACCTATTTATTACACTATTACATATATAAGGTTACATATATATATGACGACCGGTTCGTCCGTCATACTCGTGAACGGATACTGCTTGAAGGGAGCGGTCTGTTTAAGAATAACGGGTGAAGATTGATTGTAAAAGCATTAATGTGGTATTTTGATAGCCGAAATACAATTAATATTTTTTTATGCAACTTAGAATGGCGAACAAGCTGACGGCCCACCTGATGGAAAGTGGTAACCGTCGCCTATAGACATGAGCAGTGCCATGGACATACCAGAGTACCACTGTTTCGCCCATGATACCCCCCATGCGTTGCCATTCCTGAGGACTCGGATGTTATTTCTCTGTACCCTGTAAATTCACGCCGTGTTCCACCCTTAAAACCGAAACACAGCCATGCAAATACAACTGCTTCACGTTAGAAACACGAATGGTACAGAGTTATATATATGTAATAGTGTAATAAGGTTTTATGTAACAACCATACTATAGACAAAATAATTCTGTACACACACACACACAAACACACACACACATACACGTAACACACACTTAGATATTATACAATATAGGCACAAAAGTCTATAATTTCATATAATACTTTTAGCATGCACGTTACAAGAAACTGATGACATTTCCATTTCGCTTATACCACATACGTGGGGAACAAGCATACGGCCCGCCTGATGGTGAACGGTCACCGCCGACGGAACGTTAGGGGGTGTCAGTTGCTCGTCATTATTTTTAACCGACTTAAGAAAAAAGTAGTTTTGAATACTGAGAGCTTCGAGTCTATTTGACAATATAAATAATGAAGTAAACAGACCATATGCTTATTATGTATTCAATACATTGTTTCTTGTATAAAAAAAGAGACAAGCTTCACTCGTGTCGGAGACTTTTTACAACTATTAAATTAGAAATGTGGTTCAGATTTTTTTTTTTTTTTAAATAAATTAATTACTTTTTTACATTACACATAGCTATGTTTACATTGACATTATATTTTTATTGTCTTAGTAAGATAATTTCATAATACTTATAATTGTTTTAAATTACTGCATGCAACTTGAACGAAAAAAGGCGTATAAATAGTGTAACTGCATCATGAAATTTCAATTCAACAGCAATTGTTTAAGATCGTAAAATATTAAATAAAAAAAATAAGTAGATAAATTTAATAAACAGTGAAAATTTGTTAGAAATACTGAAAATTCATATATATATATATATATTTAATTAATTTATGTAAGTAGTAATGATATTATACTAAGGCTCTAGGGATACCATTGCTCGATACGATTTGATTTTAAGAGATTTAATTTGTTATTTAAATAAATTATAATATATAATAAATGTATTATGGAAAAAAGAAACTACGAATAGGCACATAAAAATCTAAAAAAGGTTATATATATATATATATATATATATATATATATATATATATATATATATATATATATATATATATATATATATATATATATATATATATATATATATATATATATATATATATATATATAAAGAAAATAATGACACTGAATTCATTGTGAAAATTCAAACATGAAAATTGGATGCATGCAGCATTAGATATGCTTTGCGAAGGACACAGTTTATAGCTGAGTGCCAACATTTTGGTTTTACAGAGTTAAGCATACAATATTTTTTTTTTTCGTTTGCACAGTTGCTATGGTCGTCATTGGGTTACGAATATATTAAAAAAAAAATAATATAGTTAAATAATTAAAGGTAAAAATATATATATATATATAAGCCAGTATATATATATATATATATATATATATATATATATATATATATATATATATATATATATATTTACTGGCTATACAATAGGTGGCTAGGGACCATTTCTACTCCCTTCCTTCCTTCCTATTCCTACATGGCAGTCTATGGGGTAGGGCTATGCTCAGCATGACGAGTTATAATGACAAATATACAAACGAATTAGTGATAATTATTAGGTGATAAGGGACTAAGGGAGGACGAGAGTTGGGTAACAGTGTCCCTCTTAAAACATCTCCAAAGCCTAACTGCGGTTGCCAATCCGCCTGCCAAGCGTGGCAACTACTGGTAAAGAACCCTCAAAGAGGAGGCTTAAGTTCAGCAGTGGACAGTTAAAGGTATGATGATAGTGGTTAGGTGATGAATTGTGTTATTATTCTAAATTATATAAAAAAAATAAATGTTAGAAAAAATAGATATGAATAATTTTGGATTCTATTTATTAATTAGAAATATTCAGATATTAATAATATAAAAAATGAAAAATAGAATAAAAATGTATATTTTATATTATAATAATATAATAATAAAAATAAATAAATAATAATCATGTATAGACCATAGTGTGCTATCTGAAAGGGTCAAGTCTCTAAAACCGGTATGTATGTATGTATGACGAAAGGGGAGTTATGGAAGAATTGAAATTTGAATGAACACAAGAGATGTAAGGAAGTAAAAGCCTTTGGCACTACGTTCTGCTTATCCATCGAAGGATTTGGCGTGAAGATGCATTATTCTTTACAACAATGCCAAATAACCACCCTAATCATAAGTGTCATAGTCAGCAAATAAAGTTGATGAGCACGTCCAGATTCTCAAACTTGAGCACCAACAGTTAATTTTGACTTTTCCACACTAATCAGATTATTTTCGAAAATCTAGACATATTAATTTTTTTTGCTGACTCTACTATGCGATTTTGAGAAATTTCTCGAGTGCTACACTATAGGCATGTTGTCTATGGTATTATTTAAGTAGTCAATGAGATGGATTTCCTCAGCAAATTATTCAATAAGGAAAGATTCTCGTCTTTGATTATGTATAAAACAATATCTCTGTCTATATATATATAATACGTACTGACGGCAGCGCGGACTATATGAGCCGCGACTGCTTGAGGTACTGGAGCAACACCTGGTGGATGAACTTGTATTGCTGGACGTTCTCGATGAGGTTGGCCCGCTGCTGATGCAGGAGACCGATCGTTCGGGGGATGTCCAACTCCTGTGAACGTCGAAATGGCCAATTAATTTAAAGTTGGGGCCTAGGAACAAGGAATTACATAGCAGGAATGATAAAATAAAAATTGTAAATCATATGGTTGTCTCCTTTCTTCTTATGCAAATATAATTAGTAAAAAGAGGACGTAAGATACACAATCAGTTGCTATTTTTCTCAGTTCATAGCAGGCTTAGTGTAAAGAAAATTTGTATGTAACATTTTTGTTTATATTGATATGTTAATTATTTGTCAATGACAAATTTTACATTACTAGATTATATATTCGACACAGTTTATGTAGAAAGTTTGCAAGCAAGTTGTATCTGAATTTGGTAGGGTTATACGGCCAATAAAAACCAAGTGGCATATGTCGATGAATTTGACTTCTGCGGACTAGTCAAAAGGCAGATGCGTTTTTATACGTATATCCCTCTCTAACGCATTGGCAACGTCATAAATACAACAAGCAAATATTTTGTTGGGGCTAGTACGAAAAATATTTTAGTTCGCTTTTTTTTTATAGACGACGAAAGCCGCGCGGTTTACGGCACGACGGATTAATAGAATAGAACAGAAAACAATATAATCATGATTGTGTTATTGACTTTTGAAATAGTGTTTAAAAACAGTAATGAATGCGGTGCCACGAACATCACAGAGTATTCTGTGCTGGTCATGTCTATAGGTGACAATTACTATTTTCTATCGAGCGTTCTCTAAATATTGTTTGTCTGTTTATATGTATCCGCGCATCTCTCTCTCTCTCTCTCTGTGCGTGCGTGTGTGTGTGCGTGCGAGCGTGTGCGTGTGTGCGTGCGTGCGTTCGTGCGTGCGTGTGTGTGTGTGCGTGCGATTGCGTGCGCACGTGCGTGCGTGCGCTTGCGTACGAGCGTGTGCACGTGCGTGCGTGCGAGCGTGTGCGTGTGTGCGTGCGTGCGCGCGTGGTTGCGTGTACGCGCCTGGTTGTTGTCGAGCACGTGCAGCAGCAGGTGCGCGGCGAGCGCGGTGCCGCTGCGGCCGGCGCCGCGCGCGCACACGAACGCGAGCGGCGCGTTGCGCGACGCCACCGGCGACCGCTCCGCCTGCGCCTCCTCCTCGCTCGCCAGCCGCAGGCTGTTCAGCTCAGATATGAACTCTGCAATATATTACAACCATTTTATAGACCATCACATTATCATTTAAAACTGTAATTAGATGCAATTAATATTAATTGTTATATTATAGACGTGTAGTTCCGGCATACAATAGGCCACTCGCTCCTATCCTGCGAATGTCGTAAGAGGTAGCATTTCTCTAAAAACACCATCGAAGCCTTACTGCGACTGCCAATTTGTCCGCCAAGCATGGCAACTACCGTCAAATCCTTCCAATAAGCCTCTCTGGCTTATGTTCAGCAGTGAACAGTCAGCCGCTAATATGGTATAATAATATGAATTGTAATTAATGAGTTGCAACAAGTAAATCTATATGCTCTCATTTACAAATAAGTATAATTGAATTATTGAAACTACTGACTCAGAGAGACTAAAAAATAGACTACAAGTACATAGGTACTAATGTTGATGACAAGAGGACGTGCAAAGGCCGTATGCCGCTCTACGTCTCAATTTTAAATATCAATAATCATTAAGTGTTCTTTTTATGTAGTATTTTACAGATTTTATGTCAGCTTCCCATATACGCCTAAAGTAAGGACAATGTAATTTTTTTTTTACAACACAGGGGGCAAACGTGCATGCGGCTCACCTGATGGTAAGTGACTACCGCCGACCATGATCACCCACAACACCAGCGGCATTGCAGGTGTGCTGCCGGCCTTTTAAAAAGGAATATACTCTTTTCTTGAAGGTTATGTTGTCGTATCGGTTCGGAAATACTACTGCTGGAAGTTGATTCCAAAGAATGGTTGTGCGTGGAAGAAAGTGCCTTGAAAAACGCACGGTGGAAGACCGCCACTCGTCCAGATGATTGGAATGAAACTTTAGTTTGTGGCGGGTTGTACGGTGGTGAAGATCAGCAGCAGGTATCAATCCGAACATTTTCTCAGAATACTCCCCATGATAAATTCGGTAGAAGATGCACAGAGATGCAACATCTCTGCGCAATTTCAGTAGGTCAAGTCGGACAGTAAGGCGTTGACTATCGATAATTTGAATGCGGTCTAACGGAAGGAGTTGGTACTGTGGCGCTCCTGCCCACAGGTGAGAACAGTATTCCATATGCGGCCTGACTTGGGCTTTATATAATTTCAGGCGGTGTTCTGGCATGAAATATCGTCTCACCCTATTGAGTACTCCTAACTTTTTGGAAGCTATCTTAGCCTTCTCCTCCAGATGACCGCAAAACTGGACGTCGCAAGATATATCAACGCCCAGAATTCCTAGACTCGACTTTTTATCAAGGGAAGTGCCCTGAAAGTGAGGAGATACGACAAACGGCGTCTTTTTTGCGGTAAACGCGCAGACTTGTGTCTTTTTGGGGTTAAATTGGACAAGATTTTGTTTACCCCAGATCGAAACTTGATGGAGTGAAGTTTCGATTTCAGACACAAGTCTATTCCGGCACTCATCGGTATGTGCCCGCGAGATCTTTGCATGACCGGTATATAATGTATCTCCTGTACTGTCGTCTGCATAGCAATGAATATTACTTATCTGTAACATATCATTGATATGCAGAAGAAACAGAGTCGGAGATAGTACACAGCCTTGCGGGACACCAGCATTCAAAGGTTTTAAATCAGAGCATGCTCCGTCGACTACGACCTTAATGCTACGTTCCTTGAGAAAACTGGCGACCCAAATGCACAGTCTCGCAGGCAACCCAAATGAAGGTAGCTTTGAAAGCGGCGCTCTATGCCACACACGATCAAAGGCCTTCGCAATATCCAGACTAACTGCTAAGGCCTCTCCCTTACTCTCGATTGCCACTGCCCATCGGTGTGTTAAGTAAGCTAAAAGATCACCGGCCGAACGTCCCTGTCGAAAGCCGTACTGGCGATCACAGATCAGCTGGTGCTCTTCTAGGTACCGGAGCAGTTGACGGTTAATGATGGATTCCATAACCTTCGAGAGTAAAGAAGTGATAGCTATGGGCCTATAGTTAGCTGGATCTGAGCGATCTCCCTTTTTAGGGATCGGATGCACCAGAGCAGTCTTCTAAAACTTTGGGACTATGCCCGATGAGTAGCTAAGCCGAAAAAGACGCGTAAGAACCGGAGCCAACTCTGGTGCGCACGTCCTAAGCACAATTGGAGGAATACCATCGGGCCCACTCGACTTATGGATTTCGAGGGAGAAAAGTGCTCTACGCACTGAGCTATGCGTGAATTTAATGTCAGGCATAGAGCTCCTACAACACGTGATGGTCGGTGGTGATTTCTCCCCGTCATCCAATGTCGAGTTTGACGCAAAGATGGATCCAAGAAGATCGGCCTTTTCCTTAGCGTTCTGGGCCAACGAGTCATCCTCCCTGCGCAATGGTGGAAAAGATGACTTACAGAAATTCCCTTGTGCAGCTTTGGCAAGAGACCAGAAAGCTCGAGTTTTAGAGGGCAAACTAGCCAATCTCTTGCCAATTCTACTAATATGCTCTGACTTCGCTGTGGCTATAACTCTTTTGAAAGACCTAGAGGCAGAGTTATACTTCTTTTTAAGAGCACTGGTGTTAGAATCTCGCGACGCCACACCTTTAGCCCAGGTTAGGAAGCACTCCTGTTTCAGACGAGATGCTGTTCTACAAGAGGCTCCATACCAGGGCTGGGATTTCCCGCCGACGGGCACCACAGAGTTAGGAATAAATAATTCCATTCCCTGAAGCACCACATCAGCAATGGAATCGGCAATGGCGTCGGGATCATCCAGTGTGAAGCAAACCTGCCTCCATGGGTAAGATGCGAAAAAAATCGGCATCTCATCCCAATCTGCCGACCTGTAGTGCCAAATGCGACGTCTACCCGTAGAGCGAGGAGGAGTCGGACTCGTAAGAGGCACTTCGCTCCGCACCAAACAGTAATTCGACGATAAAAGCGGGGCTTCGACGGAGATCACATAGTTGTCTGGGCGGGTGGTCAGCAGAAGGTCCAGCAGTGAAGGTGAATGGTCAAACACATCAGGGATTCGCGTAGGCGAGGAAACAAGCTGTGTCAGACCATAAGCCAAAGCAAAGTCATGAACAGATCTTCCCGCATAGTCGGTTGTACGCGAACCAAGCCATTCGGCATGGTGGGCATTAAAGTCGCCAACAATCACGACTTCAGCGGAAGGAATCTGCTCAAGCAGAGAATCTGTAGCCATTTGGACGTGCTCAATGAGTTGGTCGGTTTCAGTGTTACCGCTGTGGGACCTGTATAGGCACGCATAGATGCGGGGTTGGTCATTGCAATCTATAAATGTGGAATTAAAGCGTTATTATGCGTGGCTGCGTGCATTAATGACGCCATAATGGCGTCATTGTGCGTGTTTTTATACCAAATTAAAAAATTTGTAATAATACATAGAATTCTGAAAGAAAAGCTCAGCTTGTGAGCAAGAACAGGCATGGATATACTGACCGAGAAAGTGGTCGACGTCAGGCGCGTGGTGCGGCGAGTGCCAGGCGCGGAAGTGCACGTGCCACAGGTGGCGCGTGCGGCCCGCCGCGCCCGCGCCGCCGCGCCGCACGCGCACGCGCACCGAGCTGCCCCACGCCGCCAGCGACTCGCGGCCCGTGCACACGTGGAACTGCAACCGACGTCACCGCACTATGACGATACACTTACAAATATTTTATCAAACATCATACAATATTTAATTTTCAGTAAAATTTTATAATGATTTCTTTTATTCAATGCGCGCGAGTAAGTAGGCCTCACGAGCGCCTGCCACGCGCACTCCCACACCAGCGTGCGAGTGGTGGTCTGTGCTGCGTGCTGCGTGCTGCGTGCTGCGTGCTGCGTGCTGTACCTGTCCGTAGAGGGCGGGCGCGGCGGCGGGCGGCAGGTAGCGGGGCGCGGCGGGCCCCACGAGCGCCAGCAGCCGCGCGCCCACCTGCCACGCGCACTCCCACACCAGCGTGCGAGTGGTGGTCTGTGCTGCGTGCTGCGTGCTGCGTGCTGCGTGCTGCGTGCTGTACCTGTCCGTAGAGGGCGGGCGCGGCGGCGGGCGGCAGGTAGCGGGGCGCGGCGGGCCCCACGAGCGCCAGCAGCCGCGCGCCCACCTGCCACGCGCACTCCCACACCAGCGTGCGAGTGGTGGTCTGTGCTGCGTGCTGCGTGCTGCGTGCTGTACCTGTCCGTAGAGGGCGGGCGCGGCGGCGGGCGGCAGGTAGCGGGGCGCGGCGGGCCCCACGAGCGCCAGCAGCCGCGCGCCCACCTGCCACGCGCACTCCCACACCAGCGTGCGAGTGGTGGTCTGTGCTGCGTGCTGCGTGCTGCGTGCTGCGTGCTGCGTGCTGTACCTGTCCGTAGAGGGCGGGCGCGGCGGCGGGCGGCAGGTAGCGGGGCGCGGCGGGCCCCACGAGCGCCAGCAGCCGCGCGCCCACCTGCCACGCGCACTCCCACACCAGCGTGCGAGTGGTGGTCTGTGCTGCGTGCTGCGTGCTGCGTGCTGCGTGCTGCGTGCTGTACCTGTCCGTAGAGGGCGGGCGCGGCGGCGGGCGGCAGGTAGCGGGGCGCGGCGGGCCCCACGAGCGCCAGCAGCCGCGCGCCCACCTGCCACGCGCACTCCCACACCAGCGTGCGAGTGGTGGTCTGTGCTGCGTGCTGCGTGCTGCGTGCTGCGTGCTGCGTGCTGTACCTGTCCGTAGAGGGCGGGCGCGGCGGCGGGCGGCAGGTAGCGGGGCGCGGCGGGCCCCACGAGCGCCAGCAGCCGCGCGCCCACCTGCCACGCGCACTCCCACACCAGCGTGCGAGTGGTGGTCTGTGCTGCGTGCTGCGTGCTGCGTGCTGCGTGCTGCGTGCTGTACCTGTCCGTAGAGGGCGGGCGCGGCGGCGGGCGGCAGGTAGCGGGGCGCGGCGGGCCCCACGAGCGCCAGCAGCCGCGCGCCCACCTGCCACGCGCACTCCCACACCAGCGTGCGAGTGGTGGTCTGTGCTGCGTGCTGCGTGCTGCGTGCTGCGTGCTGCGTGCTGTACCTGTCCGTAGAGGGCGGGCGCGGCGGCGGGCGGCAGGTAGCGGGGCGCGGCGGGCCCCACGAGCGCCAGCAGCCGCGCGCCCACCTGCCACGCGCACTCCCACACCAGCGTGCGAGTGGTGGTCTGTGCTGCGTGCTGCGTGCTGCGTGCTGCGTGCTGCGTGCTGTACCTGTCCGTAGAGGGCGGGCGCGGCGGCGGGCGGCAGGTAGCGGGGCGCGGCGGGCCCCACGAGCGCCAGCAGCCGCGCGCCCACCTGCCACGCGCACTCCCACACCAGCGTGCGAGTGGTGGTCTGTGCTGCGTGCTGCGTGCTGCGTGCTGCGTGCTGCGTGCTGTACCTGTCCGTAGAGGGCGGGCGCGGCGGCGGGCGGCAGGTAGCGGGGCGCGGCGGGCCCCACGAGCGCCAGCAGCCGCGCGCCCACCTGCCACGCGCACTCCCACACCAGCGTGCGAGTGGTGGTCTGTGCTGCGTGCTGCGTGCTGCGTGCTGCGTGCTGCGTGCTGTACCTGTCCGTAGAGGGCGGGCGCGGCGGCGGGCGGCAGGTAGCGGGGCGCGGCGGGCCCCACGAGCGCCAGCAGCCGCGCGCCCACCTGCCACGCGCACTCCCACACCAGCGTGCGAGTGGTGGTCTGTGCTGCGTGCTGCGTGCTGCGTGCTGCGTGCTGCGTGCTGTACCTGTCCGTAGAGGGCGGGCGCGGCGGCGGGCGGCAGGTAGCGGGGCGCGGCGGGCCCCACGAGCGCCAGCAGCCGCGCGCCCACCTGCCACGCGCACTCCCACACCAGCGTGCGAGTGGTGGTCTGTGCTGCGTGCTGCGTGCTGCGTGCTGCGTGCTGCGTGCTGTACCTGTCCGTAGAGGGCGGGCGCGGCGGCGGGCGGCAGGTAGCGGGGCGCGGCGGGCCCCACGAGCGCCAGCAGCCGCGCGCCCACCTGCCACGCGCACTCCCACACCAGCGTGCGAGTGGTGGTCTGTGCTGCGTGCTGCGTGCTGCGTGCTGCGTGCTGCGTGCTGTACCTGTCCGTAGAGGGCGGGCGCGGCGGCGGGCGGCAGGTAGCGGGGCGCGGCGGGCCCCACGAGCGCCAGCAGCCGCGCGCCCACCTGCCACGCGCACTCCCACACCAGCGTGCGAGTGGTGGTCTGTGCTGCGTGCTGCGTGCTGCGTGCTGCGTGCTGCGTGCTGTACCTGTCCGTAGAGGGCGGGCGCGGCGGCGGGCGGCAGGTAGCGGGGCGCGGCGGGCCCCACGAGCGCCAGCAGCCGCGCGCCCACCTGCCACGCGCACTCCCACACCAGCGTGCGAGTGGTGGTCTGTGCTGCGTGCTGCGTGCTGCGTGCTGTACCTGTCCGTAGAGGGCGGGCGCGGCGGCGGGCGGCAGGTAGCGGGGCGCGGCGGGCCCCACGAGCGCCAGCAGCCGCGCGCCCACCTGCCACGCGCACTCCCACACCAGCGTGCGAGTGGTGGTCTGTGCTGCGTGCTGCGTGCTGCGTGCTGCGTGCTGCGTGCTGTACCTGTCCGTAGAGGGCGGGCGCGGCGGCGGGCGGCAGGTAGCGGGGCGCGGCGGGCCCCACGAGCGCCAGCAGCCGCGCGCCCACCTGCCACGCGCACTCCCACACCAGCGCACTCTCCGCAAGCCCCTCCGTGCCGCCGCTCGGTCCTTCCGCGCCCACTTTAGCCACTACGTAGAACTGCTGCGTGCTGCCGACGGTCATCTGTACACCGTGGTATTACATTCTATGATAAGTTTGCACTGTAACTGTTGGAGGAGTAATGGTCATTCGGTCATTTGAGTTGGTCGAGTAACGAACATGTGTGATAAGGTATCAGTAGTGTGTACGCACGGTAATGTGCGAAGCGTTGATGTAGCCATGCGGGTTGGCGGCGGTGGGGTGCAGCCGGACGCGGTTGTCGTCGTACGGCAACCGCTCGCCGCGGCCGCCGCTCTCCAGCGCCGCGCGGCACTCGCCGCCATTCTCCCGTCCCTTGGGGATCTGCTCGAATGCGAACGACAGCTGCTCGTCTGACATTTTGCGCTCTAACAGCTGGCACTAGGAAGAGGGGAATAAAACAAGATATTAAGAACTAGCTTTTTACACGTTATCTCGTACGCGTGGGTTTCAGAAATAGGAAAATCAATGAAACAGATCACTTCAGTAAAACAACTATGAAAATAGCATCCGATTTCATGCTATAGTTTTTGCGTAATACTGACTTTCTTAATTCTAAAATCCACGCGTACGAAGTAATAGGCGAAAAGCTAATAATACTCATATATACAGACGAAGTGTAAACATACTCCTTAGCTTTGTAGATAGACTATATAATTATTTTCAACAAAACTTATATCTTTCCTTTTAAGGAGAGATGGTAAACTAACCTCCAGCAAAAGCACAGTCGACCGAGGTTCAGGGCCCCAAGGAGAGAAACCGGCGTACAACGCGGACAGTATTTACGAGCGCCGCTTTCTGCATATTTTCCCGGAGTGAGTCGCCTCGGATTCCCAAGCGTCTGAGGTGTATTCTAAACTGGTTGGGATAAGACAGTTCACCGATAGAATGCTTGAGATGATTTCGGTGGATGCAACCCCTTACATTTCGGTCACCTCGTGAGCCGAGATATTCTCTGTTCTGAGTTTCGACTTTCACGAGGATTTTGTCATGCGGTATGTTTACATTCACCAAAAGGACCCTCAAGAATGCCCGAGTCATCACCATGTTATCCAGTTTCTTTGCAAGAACTGTCCTGTACGTGATGATGGATCGGTCCTAGTAGAGTCTGACGCTGTCGCTCTCGAGGAGCGGTTGAGGCTCGCACTTATAGAATGGCAACGTCTTATTCGAGAGGCCGTACTTGATTCTTGAAAGTTAACTCTTGATAGAGTATTTTGGCTATCTGGTTTTGTCTGCGCAAGTACTCAGTATTGGCAAGAGCTGAATGATCCGAAACCACATATCTGAGTGACTCTCAGGGATGAGGAACTCTGAGGGATGGCGACATGCTCGACATATGTCCTTAGTACCATCCTTCAGAATGTGCTTTCCCTCCCTCTATACTTTACAAAAAAACTCTCGGTCTTTTTGTAAATTGTAGTCAGTGCACGGAGATCTTCGTGTGGACGTATGGCCCGTGAAGGGCTTTGAAGAACCTTCCGTGCAACTCCTTTTCTTTCCATACGGCCTCTCGTTGAGATGTACCCTGGACTTCGGGTTTTTGTCAGTCCTCTTTAGCCAGAGAACGAGGGGTAAATCCTTTGTCACATTCTATGACCTCTCTATACTCTATGTCATATTTTATAATCTAGTCTTTTTTTTTCAGAAAATATGTTCTGAGGCTGTTAATTTCGCGGTTGTACATAGTCAACGCTTAGTAAATCTCGACCACTAGCCTTCCGTGGGATATACAGCCTCATGGCTGACGACTTCGGGTGATTCTATGGAGATTCTGATTGTATATTCTATTTTATGGGGGTTCATAGTTGTACGGACTTTCCGATCCAGAGCTTTAAGATCGGTTTGAAATCATATGAGCGCGCCAAAAGAGTAAAGAAGTACGAGTATGACCTAGCCGTTATAAGCTCGGATTTTATTCGCGCCCGACAAGGAACTTTTCAGCAGACAGATGTACATCCGCCTCCTCACACCGATATTTCGTGAATGCCCAGATACCGGTATGTTTCAGCTTCGGAAAGGGTTTTTTTTTATATTGGAGGGATTTGTAACGATCCCTTCAGATTGAGTGACCCGTCCCCTCTGCACATGGAGGGCCGCACACTTGTCTATTCCGAGTTCCATCCTAACAGAATTGCTATAATCGTTTACGATATTAAACAGTTCTGTCAGGCGTTTGACGCTCGGAGCTAGCTGTTTCAAGTCATGCATGTATAGAAGGTGAGACACTCGTGTACCTCCAATACTTTTTATTATTATTATCAGTCATTAACTGTCCACTGCTGAACATAGGTGTCACCATAAAGGGTGTTTTGCCAGTAGTTGCCGCGGTTTGGAGGTTGCAGTTGGTCTTTGCCAATATTTTAAGAGGGATGCTGCTGCCCATCGCTCGAACGTTAAGTTCCCTTAGTTGCCTCTTAAGGGAAAAGAAGGGGTATTTTATGCTGAAACTACAAAGTATATATGATAGATATATTTTCGTTTTTATATCTCTGAGAATGACCGCCATTTCATTTAATACATGTTTATTAATTTATAAACATACATGTGTACATTTATATCAGGAAATAAGTTCCAAATTCAAATAAAAAAAAAAGAAATGATCTGGGAAATTTTTAATTCAATTACTTGCAACACTGAAAAAAGGCGGGAGTTGACATAAAAAAAACTTAAATGTCAAATTAGCTGACTAAATTTTGACACTTTATACACGATGCTCTATCTACTTAATCTAAGACCTACTCATATGGAAGTTACATAAAAACCAGACAGTGATCCATAAACACGACAAGGCATGGATATTCGATTACATTTCAATTGTGTCTGTTGTGATAAACAGTGATTAATGCAACGGTCAACATATTACGAGTATTATAGTGGAGGGAACATATTGCAGTTGACTCATTATCAATGAAAACATGTGAAACATTATAACTCGTTATTGTTTAGAGCTACAATTAATATATTATTAAATAGTGCAGGTAACAAGCCAGTAAAATCATAGAAAATATGGCCAGCCAGTATAACCATAAATAATATAATAAATCTATTACTAAAAGATGACTAGGGGAATAACGTTACATTCGATTACAAGAAAGTATCAAAAACAAATATTAAATTAAATTTCACTCTATACAGTGTTTTTACAATAAATATTGATAAAATTTGTATTAGTTGTTAATTAATTTGATTGTATGAACTCATTTGTTAATTTACTTGTGCCATAAATGGCTCAAATATAGTGTTTATCTATCTATCAGTTTTGAGCTGTCACCCATATCACTTTACAAATGCACACAGAGTACAGTTTTGCATTTAAAGTAACAATAATATTTAATTTTATTTGAAAAAAAAAATACGAGGTTTTTGTCTGTTTTCATGTACATAACTTCATTGCCAAAGTTATAAATACGATTTTAAAATATGCACTTTCGTTTAAATCACCTCATAAAATTTAACACAAAATTAATAAATATTCTGTATAGATAATGCATTTATTTGACATAATTGTCACAAATATATTTTCTTTAAATAATTACTGTGCATTTTAAATTGAAATAAACTTTTTTTTATGCAACTTAGAATGGCAAACAAGCTGACAGCCCACCTGATGGAAAGTGGTAACCGTCGCCTATAGACATGAGCAGTACCATGGACATAACAGAGTATACTGTTTCGCCCATGATACCCTCCATGTGTTGCCATTCCTGAGGACTCAGGTGTTATTCGTTAATTCATTTATTTATTATTATACCGAGAGAATATGAAATGTTGGCTTGATGATTCAATATAGATAAATTACAGTTTTTTAAAGGGTTTAATCATGGGCGACACAGAGGATTAAATACGATATAATTTCTTCATTATTAGTTTATTTAAAATCAGTAGTACATAACAGTATACTCTGTTATGTCAATGGTACTGTTCATGTCTATAGGCGACGGTTACCACTTTCCATCAGGTGGGCCGTCAGCTTGTTTGCCATTCTAAGTTGCATAAAAAAAATAACTATGAAATAGTAAATAATATTAATGGAAACTCACCAATGTTTCTTTGGTAATACTGGGGGGTAGCGGCTGGAACTTGGGCAGGCCGGTGGACCAGCGGTGCTTGTTGTGCGGCTGCCCAGCGCTGGGCTTGGCACGGTCGCGGCCAAGCGTCGCGCTCTTCACCTCCGTCGTCTTGGCGGCCCGCCCCATGAACACGCCCCACCGCCGCCGCTTCTTCTCCTTGCTGCTGACGCTCGCGTTCTTCGTGTTGCTACTGTCCAGCTCGATGCTCGTGCTGTAGGTCGAGTTCATGATGGAACTCGATAGAGCACTGTCGGCGCCGCTCGCCCGCGACAAGTTCGCGTTGTGGTCCGCCACGCTCACAGACGTCACGTTGTCTGCCGTGCGGCTTATCGTGTTATTATTCGACACCTTGTGGGTGGAGAGGCTCGTGTATGGCGTCTCGTCGTACTCCTTCTCGTCGTGCCGCAGCGACAACCGTTCCGCTGATAACGCAATGTTCTCCAATTCAGAGTCGGGCTTGTTGATCGATCGACTAGATGCGTTCAAGTCTTTGGGCAAGCTCGATTCCCTTACGCCCTTTATGACCTGCGCGTTAACGTAGTGACTGTCAGGGTTCTCGATTTTTATTGGCACATGCGGGTAGTTTGACACGGTCAGGTTCGGCTGCGGCACGCCGTAGCTGTTTATGGTGGGGTGACTGCTGTTCCGCTCGTTGAGGCGCGCGATCTCGTCCGTCGTGGTGAGGCTCTGCGCCCGGTCTCGGAAAGTTATCTTGCCGTGCTCGTTCCGCCACGGCAGTGGCACGTTCTCGTATATCGGCTCCTGGGTATCGCTCACTTTGCCGACCTGCTGGGGCATCACTAGATGCCTCTGGTAGGGTAGCCGGTGTAGCGGCATCGAGTACATAATATTACCTCTCTCATCGTACACCTTCTGTATGTTATCGGATATGTGGTGAGGATCTATGATTATGTGGGGGTTGGGCTCTAGCACGGACGCGAGGTTGTTGTACGTGCCGTGCGTGGGTGGAATTAAGTTCGGTCGGCCGTAGTTGACCACGTTGTGACTGCCGGTGTTGAGGTATCCCAAGTACTGGCGGTTTAAAGCTGTTCTGGTCGAAACTAGGTCCGGACTGGAGCCAGATACATGGGAATTAATGTATCCTCTATGATAATTGAGAGCTTGGCTCGCGACCGCCAGGTCCGGGGTGGAGTTCGAGGCTAGACCGTTCGAGGGGTACGGTGGAGGTGGTTTGTAGACGTTGACGTAGTGGAGTTGCGGGTTTCTCTCGGTCTGGACATTGGGGTTAATGGCGAAGGGGTAGTTGCCCATCAACTTGATGCCGTAGGGATACTCCTCGGAGGGCGACACCCCCTGGTTCACCGAGACCGTGTGCCTGGTGACGTCGGGGTAGTGTATGCGGTGTATGTCGGGGTGCGAGCCGTACACCAATGGCTTAGCGTTGATGTTGACCTGCGAGTGTGGGTGATTCTGGTACCTCAGCTGGGCATCAGTTCTCTGTTGCTGATACTTTTGCTGGATGGCAGTCTCGTAATCCGGCGCCGGGCGGTACGAAGGTAGCAGCGCTCTGCAAATAATATTAAGCGAATGCAATTCTTGCTATTGTCTTTTTTATGCTATGGAATATATTTTTGGGCGTGGCATCTCCTAAACTATAAGACAAAAATGAGTAAATCCATGTAAGTTATTTTTAAATATTAATAGATTATCTACGTTATAAAATAAGTAATTAAGAAACGAATTCCTCAAAACCAAAAATATATAATAAATAATAGTTTATGCATCATTTTTTCAATAAAAAAAAAACCACATTGTTTAAAAATTTTACCAAGTATAAAATACATTAGTGTCGTAGGAGTCAGTGCTCTCTCTCAACGGCATCATATTGAAAAAAGTACGGGACAGAAATAGTTTTATGTTTTTATTACAAAAGGAAAAGTGACTTAGAATGGCAAACAAGCTGACGGCCCATCTGATGGAAAATAGTAACCATCGCCTATAGATATGAGCAGTGCCATGGACATAACAGAATGTACTGTTTCACCCATGATACTCTCCATGCGTTGCCATTCCTAAGGACTCAGGTGTTATGCTTCTGTTCATTATAATTTCACTGCTACACCCCACCATTTAAACCGAAACAAATCCATGCAAACACAACTGCTTCACGGTTGAAACACGAATGGGACAGAGCTGCCCAAGCTAATGACTTTTGTACAAAGCCTCCCTCTGGTACCTTTTACTACCGTATATCGAAACAGACACTAGTTTTCAATCATTACAAAAAGAACTATCAAAATCGGTTTAAAATGGCAACGTCATTGTATAAAATAGCTACGAAAAAAATGCTAATGAATGATGTAAATCCCTATATTTTTTAAAGTCGTATAAAACTATGGCACGTTTAATTTTCACATAGATAAGCGACATTCGTAATTTTGTGTTACTAGCGAGCCGGTTACTCTATCACTAATTCAAATATGGCGCTGTGTGTATGACTAATAGCCAGTTTTACTTTATACGTCGACCAATAAAATTATTTTCGTAAATTGCCTTAACTCAGTATGGCCGCCATATGTCTATAACCGGTCGGCGTTTAATTTTCTAATCTGATGCATTCTTTAATACTTGAACACTTTCCAAATTTAAATAAGAATTTGAGAAAGTTGACATGTAATATATATATATATATATATATATATATATATATATATATATATATATATATATATATATATATATATATATACGTAATACATACATATGTATAAAAGGCAATCAGCTGTGATTTTGATGACATCATTATGGTAATTAGAATTTCAACTTTTTAACCGACTTGAAAAAGGTTTTTTTTGGAGTCACGAAAAACATTAAAAAATACAAAGGAATTGAAAAATTCTGTTGTATTCGTTATCTCACAACTCCGTCAGTTGTAAACCGATTTAGAAAATTATTTTTTTACTTGAAAGGACATATTGGCGTGAATTCACAGGGTACAGAGGAATAACACCTGAGTCCTCAGGAATGGCAACGCATGGGGGGTATCATGGGCGAAACAGTATGCTCTGTTATGTCCACGGCACTGCTCGTGTCTATAGGCGACGGTTACCACTTTCCATTAGGTGGGCCGTCAGCTTGTTTGCCATTCTAAGTTGTATAAAAAAAAAAAAGAAAAAATTAAAGGTTTGGTTCCATGGAAATTTTATCAGTATCGGTCTAGTAGTTTAGCTTTTAAATGAATATAACAGGTTTTGTTATAATTGAATTTGGATTTTTATGTATTGGAAAACAATTGAATTATTTTAAATTTGTGATGACTTATCACAATCATTATCATCATCCTCCTACCCTTATCCCAATTATCATTTGAAATCGGCGTAAAAAATTAAATTAAACAAACTAAGTTTTAAATAAAAATATGTTATTTTTTAAAGGTGACAAACAAACACAATGAAACTATTATATAACTACCATATTTTTTTAACAATTTCTTTCATCCTATAAACAATGGTGACCGTCCTTCTATCAGGTGGGCCTTCAGCTTGTTTGCCACACCATGTGATGAAAACCGCAACAGCTGCGGTATATGAGACGTGCCACCTGTGTCGTGGGACTATCAGCTCGGTACCTGTTCCTGTGCAGCAGCTGCGGCCGCTGCTGGTCGGCGAGCTCGAGGCACGAGGTGGAGTGGGCGCGGTGCGCGGCGGTCAGCGGCTCGAGCCGCGACACGCTGCCGCCGTCGCGCACGTCCAGCTCTTCGCGGCTGTCCGACAGCCCATGATCCTGACCGACCGGTATATTACACATGTAGAGGTTTGTGAAATAATAATTTGATGAATGATTGGCAGTTCACCTTGTTACCAGAGGGAGACTTCGTAAAAAACTCGTTTGCTTGGGCACCTCTATCCCATTTGTGTTTTTACCATAAAGCAGTTGTGTTTGCATGGCTGTGTTTCGGTTTGAAGGGTGGGATATGGCGTGAATTTACAGGGTACAGAGGAATAACACCTGAGTCCTCAGGAATGGCAACACATGGGGGGGTATTATGGGCAAAACAGTATAATCTGTTATGTCCATGGTACTGCTCACGTCTATAGGCGACGGTTACCACTTTCCATCAGGTGGGCCGTCAGCTTGTTTGCCTTTCTAAGTTGTATAAAAAAAAAGATAGAAGCTGTAAGCCCATGGTTTTCTCTACTGTCACGTTATATTACATATTTATGTAGCATTAATTTTGATGGAAATCAATTCATAAATAGTTTCCGTTTTAGTCACAAATCAAAACACCACAAGCAACAACACTTACGAGCACAAACGATGATTTACAACACAACTATGAGAACTGAACTGAATAGATAGATAAAGGAAATCGGATGTAATTACACAAACAAACAAAAAAAAAAACCGGCAACGCAACGCTTTCCCACTTGATCATCCGATAAAATAATATTCGATTAAAAAAAGTGTGCAGCAGCGGTGCGCACGCGCAGATACCCGATCGCGATCTATAAATCGATAAAGGTGACCGTTCACTGCGGACGTAAAATTCGTAGCACGCGCGAGCGACCGAGAGGGGATAGTCAGCGAGTTCAAATTATATTTTTTTTTTGTGGATTGGTGAAAATGATTTTTTTGTTTTTTATACAACATAGAATGGCAAACAAGCTGACGGCCCACCTGGTGGAAAGTGTAACCGTCGCCCTATAGACATGAGCAGTACCATGGACATAACAGAGTATACTGTTTCGCCCATGATACCCTCCATGCGTTGCCATTCCTGAGTACTCAGGTGTTATTCCTTTGTACCTTGTAACTTCACTACCATATCCCACCCTTCAAACCGAAACACAGCCATGCAAACACAACTGCTTCACGGTTGAAACACGAATGGGACAGAGGTACCCAAGCAATCGACTTTTGTACAAAGTCTCCCTCTGGTAAATGGTAACCCCGCCTGCGCTAACGGGATACGCTGGCAGAACACCAGTGAAGGGTGATAGATGAGAATGAAAACAGGCCAGTTAGCCCCTCATGATGAATTCATCGGGAATTAACCATGATAGTTTCCAGGGGGAACCCCGAGGAGGTCGACCTGGTTGGGTATATTGCTAGCAATGGGATCCTCAGTTTCCATTACTAACAATCCCTTTTCCCCCTAGTTCAAATTGTATTGAATACGCATAATCAAACTGGTATCTAAGGATTTCAGACACAAATAATGAAAGTCAGAGATATTATTGTTATATTTCTATACTTAAACATAATTCGGGGGAAGTACATAAATAATACGTATTTGTTTAACTAGCTTTCATAATTTATTTTTATTGTTGTTTAATGCAATTTCATAAATTAATAAATAAATAAAAATAAATAATAAAATTTTAAAAATGACTTAGTTATTAATTAATAATTAAAGCTTATTACCAATGAAATCAAATATCGGTATACGCTGGCGGGGCATCAGTGAGGGATGATAGGCGAAAATAAAAAGACAGGTCAGTTAGCCCACCGTGATAAATACGCCTTAAATTTAGCACGATGGTTACCAGGTGGGACCACGTGGAGGTCGACCTGACAGGGTAGTTCGCATTGTTAACTATCCCTTCCCCCTAACGAGGCACCAGTGAGTAATAATACGTGAGAATGAAAGCAGTTTTTTTTACAACACAAGGGGGCAAACGAGCATGCGGCTCACTTGATGGTAAGTGACTACCGCCGCCCATGATCACCCACAACACCAGCGGCATTGCAGGTGTGCTGCCGGCTTTTTAAAAAGGAATATGCTTTTTTCTTGAAGGTTATGTTGTCGTTATGAGGTCCTTTGGCCCATCGTGATAAATTCAACAAGAAATAATTTCGATGGTTTTCAAGGGAGAATCGCATGGAGATCAACTTGATGGGATAAAGTGTTAGGAATGAGGCTGTTAGAATCCATTACTAACAATCCCTTTCCCCCCACTTGTAGGTATTAGCGCAACATTGTACGATGTGAAATCGGCTGTATCAATTATGGAATTTAGTTTATAAACGGCGAGTGTTTATTTCATGCATCGACGACGAAACGTTACACGTAATGTATAGTATATGTTGGTGCATTTTTAGTAAATATATATAATAAAAGAGTTTGTTTTATAAAACATCGATTTCAATAGAAGCAAAGCCAGTTATTTTGATTAATAAAAAAAACCTCCTTTTTTTAAGTCGGTTGAAAAATGACAGACTTTCATACAAAACGAATTTTTAGAGAAGTCCATTGCAAAATAAAATGTTAATTTTTACCTTTGATGATTGTAACTTAAAAATGGTAAACAAATTGACGGTCCACCTAGTGGAACGTAGTAACCATCGCCTGAAGACATGAACAGCACCATGGAAAACCAGGAATACACTGTCACGCCCATGGCACTCCTCATGCATTGCCATTCGTGGGAACTATAGTGTTATAACCCTTTCAATTCCTTTTTAGGGGGGAAAGGGATTGTTAGCGATGGAGTTTAACAGCCCCATTGCTAGCAATATAGGGTATATCAGGTCGACCGCCACGTGGTTCCCCCTGGAAACTATCATGGTTAATTCTTGTTGAATTCTTAATTTTACCAGAGGGAGACTTTGTACAAAAGTCGATTGCTTGGGTACCTCTGTCCCATTCATGTTTCAACTGTAAAGCAGTTGTGTTTGCATGGCTATGTTTCAGTTTGAAGGGTGGGATATGGCGTGAATTTACTGGGTACAGAGGAATAACACCTGAATCCTCAGGAATGGCAACGCATGGGGGGCATCATGGGCGAAACAGTATACTCTGTTATATCCATGGTACTGCTCATGTCTATAGGCGACGGTTACCACTTTCCATCAGGTGGACCGTCAGCTTGTTCGCCATTCTAAGTTGTATAAAAAAAATTCGTCACGATAGGCTAACTGACCTACTTCATCCTCACATATCATCTCTTACTGGTGCCCCGCCGGTGTATACCGATAAAGCAGGTGGGGTTACCATTCCATTATCATCCATTAAAAAAACCCCTTTCATTTTACTGTCATATCCAATATTACGAGCAAAACTGCTACACGGCAGAAACACCCAAGTACTGAAGTACCCAAGCAGACAAAAAAGTACAAAGCGACTGTACAAACACCAACTGACCTGGAACTTGGGCCTGTGCTCCTCGTGCGTGACCTGCTGATGCTCGCCGAGCGCGCCCTGGTGCTGCATGTAGAAGGTGTGTTGCTGGATGCACATCCGCCACACGTACTTGCCGTCCTCGGGGCTCCACAGCGTGAACGACGCCGACTCCGCCTTCTGGCACTCGATGCTGAAGGTACGCTTGTGGTTTATCACGTTCGTGATATCCATCCATCTGTACTGACAAACAGCAATACGTTTCTTTAAGGTTCCGTACCTCTAAAGGGAAAAACGGAACCCTTACAGGATCACTTCGTTGTCCGTGTGTTCTTTTTCTTTAGAAAGCGAAGAGGTATCAAGTTGAAATTGATATCATATACTCAGGTATGCAGTCTTTTAAAGCAAATCAAGTTTCTAAATTGACGCAATCAAAAGATATGGCCGTTTATGTTATATTTTGACATTCGCAAAGGGAATCAAAACCTATAGGGCATTGACGTTTTTATGAACAAGGGAGCTAGCAAACAATTAGTAACACATAGTATTTGGGCATGTGTGTGTTGGTTTGCCCTTGCCTTGGGTAGTTCCAATTTAATTTTACTGGATTTGCAGTAATAACAAATTGTTGTTGAAATTATGATTATATATATATATATATATATATATATATATATATATATATATATATATATATATATATATATATGAAAACGAAGAGGTGACGGTATATAAAAAGCAATTCAATTGTAACGAACGACGTGAATGTGGCTGCTGATTAGTAGGTCGTCGCAATTTGCTTCACACTTCACGCTCCTTTCAGCAACCATAGATTGTGCAGTAACATATAGAAATCACATTGAAGTATTAAAATACTTTGTATTAAATATAATTTACCAGTTTTTCCTACCATAGATGTAGGAAAAACAACTGGTCAACAAGCAAGGCTTGTCTGATGATACGTGATTATTATGAACGTCGAACGTTCGCAAAGAGCCCGACCGTAAGCTCAAACAAATCTATCGATAGATACTGTTTCTTCTTCATATGCAAAAGATAAAGCGAGACAGTTATATCCGGAGTCTTTCTCGTTCACATGTATGCGGTAACAAAAACGAGACACCGGCCGCTGTGCGAGCGAAACCCTGGTATTATATTGTCGAGTGGATGATTAAACCATGTGTCATCAGTACTTACAATCAATAATATGGTTGTATTTGATGACATTACAAGTGGCAATATGGAACATTATCAACAGAACAAGATAACAATCAAGACTTGAGGCGAGCGACATTGATTTGTTTAAATTCTTATACTTTATTGCAGAATAAAGCAGCCGTGTGGTCCCGGCATTGAATGGGCGACCCGTTTCTTTCCCGTGAGTGTCGTAACAGGCGATTAAGGAAACTTAACGAGGGATCCTGAGATCGGACTAAGGTATTATAACACCTTAGGAATGGGAACACATGAAGGTATCATGGGCGAAACAGTACACTGTTATGCCTAAGGTCTATAGGCGACGGTTACCACTTTCCATCAGGTGGGCCGTCAGCGTGTTTGTCATTCTAAGTTGCATAAAAAAATGCAATTAGGGGTACCATGAACGTAACAGAGATGATACTCTGTTATGTCCACGGTTCCTGAGAAAAAAGGTCTTGGCAGATGGACAACGAAATGATCCTACAAGGGTACCGCTATTCCTTTTGGGGTATGGAACCCTAAAAATACTTTATAAACACCAAAATACCCGTAGTTTCTTTTATAGGTATCATCATTATCTTCATATCAGCCTTTATCTGTCTACTGCTGAACATAAGCCTCTCCCATTTGGCAATAGATGCCAAACTTGGCAGGCGGATTAGCAATCACAGTCAGGTTTTAGAGATGGTATGCTGGATGGTACGCTGCTGCCTATCCCTCACCCTTCCTTAGTCACCTCTTACGACACCCATGGAAAAGGAAGGGGTGGCCTACTCTATGCCGGGACCACATGGCCATTTCGTAGGTATGTATTGCGATAAATAACATGTTTATGTATTCTACTCGACGTTAGGCAACTATATTAGGGCGGCCCCAAAAACATAAATACTCCATCTTAGAACAATCGCCATGTTGAATCAGTAATGAATCAATGATGTCACATACAAACATACACTATGGATCCATTACAATATATAACGCAGATATAATAAACCCAATTTTTTTTATACAACTTAGAATGGCAAACAAGCTGACGGCCCACCTGATGGAAAGTGGTAACCGTCGCCTTCCGAGTCCTCAGGAATGGCAACGCATGGGGGGTATCGGGCGAAATATACTCTGTTATGTCCATGGTACCGCTCCTGTCTATAGGCATATAGCATAACAAAATAACCCAGTCTCTAGGGAGAACTTGATATCTGATGGCCAGATCAAGTATTCACTTCTCCACATTTTCATTAAGTCCTATTGAAACTAAACAACCTACGGACGTACCTGTAATACTTCGTGGTGTCACTGCTGTCCGTGATCACCCGGATGCCAGTTATCGATATGGCGAGGGTCACTTCCTTCTGGTTGCGCTCGTCTCGTGCGCTGAACGTCTCCTGGCCGTACCCCGGCAGCTGCTGGCAGGTCGTGATGAAGCCTTCTTCCGCTTGCGCCTAAAACAATCGCAAACTCATTATTATCTCTATAATTGTTCATCAGAAAGTCTCCGGCATTGGCAAGTATATGTTTTTTTTTAAATAGGTCATAATGGAACAGCATCCTCGCCTGTGGTATCAGTATACACTGGTGGGGCACCAGTGAGGGAAGATAGGTCAGAATGACTACAGATCAGTTACCCTATCGTGATTAATTCAAGAATTAACTACTATGGTTTCCAGGAGGGACTGCGTGGAGGTCAAGCTGACTAGCAGCCTCCATTACTAAAAGTCCTTTTCCCCTCATCTTCTTTTCCCAATATATGATATGAGTTACGAAAATGGATCAATCAAGATGTGTGTGTATGTGTAAAGACTATATTGTACTCATCTATCCTGCAAAGGATGTGACGTGGAAATGGATATATGAGGATCTACTAGGTTATTCACGCATATGAATGAACATATTCAGATTATGTTTTCATATCAGGTATGTAAATTTCCATCCAGAAAGTATAAGACCAGAGGTTGACTTTGTACAAAAGTCGATTGCTTGAGTACCTCTGTCCCATTCGTGTTTCAACCGTAAAGCAGTTGTGTTCGCATGGCTGTTTCGGTTTGAAGGGTGGGATATGGTGTAAATTTACTAAGTACGGAGGAATAGCATTTGAATCCTCAGAAATGGCAACGCATGGGGGGTATCATGGACGAAACAGTATACTCTGTTATGTCCATGGTACAGCTCATGTCTATAGGCGACGGATACCACTTACCATCAGGTGGGCTATCAGTCTATTTGCCATTCTAAGTTGTACAAAAAAAAGGTTTTAGAAAGTATGAGGCCACCTGTGTAGTACATGTACCTATCTGTAACTGCATTTCTATGTAATCTTTTTGTACAATAAAGTTTAAAAAAATTGTACATTTCTTGTATATCGCAGACATTGCTTAACTACCAGGCTCACTGCAGAGTGAGACCAAATCCTCTATCCACTTTTTTTTATGTGTTCTTATGGTTTAGTTGCCCATTACTTATTATATACTCATATATTGGGTGTTTAGGCTAAAATTAACATAGTTTTATATAATTTTGTATAATAACTACATATAATAATAGCATAATATATCAATTTGATAATAAATGCCGTATTGATCATTTTTAAATTTAGAAATTATTCATTATTAATATTATAATTATGTAGAAGTGGGAAGTAAATTGTCCAGCCTTATCTAAGATTTAATCATTACATTAATATTAGAGAGATAATATGTGATGCTTTGTTGTAAATACTTGTTGTGATAATGATAAAATTATGTGTTAATACATGTTTTACAGAAGTTTGTTTTACAAACTTGCATAATATTATGGGTCATGAGTCATCTATAACTAAACAGTAGTTTCTTTAATACTGCATCATTACTTTAATACTGGAGTACTATTTTTATATTAGGTTCGTGCCTCTTTTTGACCTAGGCACCCTCAGGGATTGCACGTCTGATCTCCTCCCCTAAGACTGGGTTTTAGTTACAATTTTCATTAATAGAAAATTATCTTAACAATATTATAAAATCCATTCACTAGAACTTATATTTTATAAATGTGAAAATGAATAGATGTTTGTATGTTTTCTTTTCTATTTTTTGTTCTTATAACATTTGCATTAAAAAATTCACCTCTCCACCCCAGTAAAACTAGAAATATTGTACAGCAAAAATATGTAGTCCATTTAATTCACTTCAACTTATGCAAGGTGGCTAATATGAATACTAACTCATGCAAATGTATGTGAGAATTAACAAATAGAATGCATAATGCGTTTGGTCTATGAAATAACCTATATTTTAATGCCTAGCCTTTGAAAAACCTTCAATGTTGAAACAGAAGTTTTTTTTTTTTATTTGGAGTAGGTAAAGATGATAATCAGGCAATGTTTACACATATCACATAACTTTTAAAGTTTCTTTGTTCAAAGACTGTGATTTATTTTTTTAATTTTGACTGCAAGACTGATAAGATAAAGCCAAGGTTTAATTGGAACCTTCTTGAATGCAAATGTTTATAATAATATTAAAAAATTAACATCAGGGTTTTTAAAACAAAAGTAAGTACCTGTGACATGTTATGTAAAGTCATATGATGTTGTATGACAGCACTGGTCAGTCTCTCCAACACTCCAGGCTCAGGCCGGTTACTCAGGTCTATTATTTGATTGCCATCGTGGATCTGCTTCGGAAATGTCAACAAATTCTTCAAGTATTCCACAGTGTGTCGTTCCCGGTCATGGTTACCATACTCAGCTTGCCTGCTATATGAAGCCAGCACCACTGCTTGCTGGCAATCACAGGATATACGCCCTTCAACCAAGTCATTCTTCAGTTGCAAGAAATAATGGTATCTGGTCACCTCATCGTTGATCAAGCTTGTACCTGATATGATATAGTACATCACTCGTAGGTACAGCTGGTGAGTGGAGGCGTACTTGTCCAACTGTCGCTTCAGGGGCCTTTCTAACTGGACCCAGCGCGGTTGGCAGTTCCGATTCAGGTACCGCAGCCCGAAGAACTGCGACTGCTGTATGGACTGTCGCTGGCACACATTGTCGAGGCATTCTGACCCTGAACTGTCCACTGACAGCGTACAGTCAGCTACACCGCCGTCCAGCAGTTCCACACTTATCACGAACAAACTCTTTGATGCTACATTGTACTGTCGCGTCTTTTTCAACTTTAGCTTGAAAGGCATCTTCCTACGTTAACCAGCACTTATTTGCAATAGCATCACATAGGGAACGAACGTTACCTCACATTTATGGTAAAGGGATGTGAGACACAATACATCCGTTACGCGCGCCACATACCCATATCATTTCCAATAGGAATGTGGGTTTATGAATTGATTATCCAAGAACACGCCGAAGAAGCGTTGACGTATATAATAAAAGCGTAAAGTAATAAAAATGCCTAGTAAACAATAAAATACAAAAATCACATCCACAACACGGACATAGCGATGACAACTGATTGACAGTTGGCGCCAATGGTGTTGCTAGTGCCTAAAAATTAAGGTGCGTTTCAGATAATGAAATTTATAGATAGGTATTTATAGGATTCTCTAATAGTTTCAAGAAGTCATATTTTAGTATTAAAACCAGACGTAGTATAACGTACTACGTACATATTAATCATGGGAACCCCGATCACTTAAAAAGTAAGAAACAAAGTATTATGAACAAAAAGTAGAATTGTATATTGTATCTAAATGTAAATATAAAGCTACTGGTAGTAGGTACTTATATCCTATTTTCGTTTATCCTTTACATATTTCTATTATAACCTCTGTTTCAACTATTATTTCGTTAGAAATATTAATGACAGTTTTAAATGAATTGGAATCGCTGGCGTGACTGTATACATAAGGGGAAATGAGTATACATGACGGGAACTATGTATATCAGTGTATTTCAAGTTGTTGGTACTTTCATGTTTAGAGACGGCGGTTATTACTTTACAAGCTTATTTCTTCAGGCTTCAGCCATTTGAATGACTGAACATTCATTATAAATGACTCCGTGACTGTGTGGTTTGGATAACCAAACTAATAGACTGAGCAGTAGGAATGTTTAGAGAATAAGGAAGATAAAAAAAAGACATAATAATAAATTAACAAAAATATATTCTAAAGATGATTATTTATACAATTTTTATATTTCATCAGTCGAGCTATAAATAATATTGAATGGTGCGACGTAATCATCACGCGGTGGAACGTTGCGCCTGCGATTGTCCTTTCTCGATATTGAGCCAATCGCGAGGTTGTTTTAATACTTTCATCAGTTCTGCCTCGGGAGAGTTTGGTTTTATTTCGTGCATATACTCCCATTTCTGTAAAAAAGATATATAAAAATATTGTAGTTTATTTTTACTTCCCGTGTCCATCATATCAACCTTTAATTGTCCACTGCTTAACATAAGCTTCTTGCCTTTTTTACAACCGCAGTTAGGATTTGGAGATAGGTTTTTAAGGGGGATGTTGCTGCCCCTCTCTTGTCCTTCCTTAGTCGCCTCTTACGACACCCACGGGAAAGGAAGACTATTATTCTAGACTCGCAATTCTGAGTTCCTAATTAAGATTGTAGTTTATATAGTTTGTACGAAACAAATACTCTGCCAAAAACAGGTAGACTTTTTTATTCGTGGTACGTGAATAGTGTTACCATAATGTACATTTATTACTCAGTACACGGGAGAAATTATATTTTAAAGTTCAATATAAAAACAATACATAATTGTCATAGATATTATCTATAATAACATGGTAAACAATACATACTGATTTATAATGATGATTAAAATATGTTTTCATTATAAAATTTTTCATTAAAATTCTTAAAATTAAAGCATATTTAATAACTGCCATTTTAATTAATACATGAATTAATTTGCAATACGTATAAATTAAAAAAAAATCGACCTCGTTTGTTCCTAATATAATTACTTGCAACACTGACAAAATGGCGCGCTTTTTTAATCGACTTTAAAAAGAAGGGTCTCAATACGGTTTTTTTTTATACAACTTACAATGGCAAACAAGTTGATGGCCCACCTGATAGAAAGTGGTATCCGTCGCCTATAGACATGAGTAGTACCATGGACATAACAGAGTATACTTTTATGTTTTTTTTTTTAATGAGTTGATAATGGAATGGTAACCTCGCCTGCGCTATCAGGATACGCTGGCGAGGCACTAGTGAGGAATGACAGGTGAGAATGAAAAGGCAGGCCAGTTAGCCTATCGTGACGAATTCAACTAGAATTAACCACGACGGTTTCCAAGGGGAACCGCGTGGAGGTCTACCTGATAGGGTGTATAGGCTAACAATGGGTCAATTAGATCCCATTACTAATAATCCCTTTCTCCCCTATACTTTTATGTTTGTCACCTCATAACTCCGCCAGTTCTAAACCGATTTCGAAAATTCTTTCTTTTATCTGAAAGGATATACTTACAGATTGGGTCTATAGAAATATAATCAATATTAATTCAGTTGTTTAATTTTTAGATTAAAATAACAAGTTACGGTTAATTTTTGTGGGACACCAATTTTTAATTATTTCCATTTAAAAAATATATGTGTCGAAATTCAATCTGCTAAAGTGACGTTTAGCTTACTCAATTTTGATCTATTTTTTAACGTTCGATCTATCTATGCTCTATCTATTAAATCTAATATTTTCAATAGAAAGCCTTTAATAATGTATTTGTTAACTTTTTTTATATACAACTTAGCGGTAACCGTCGCCTATAGACATGAGCAGTACCATGGACATAACAGAGTATACTGTTTCGCCCATGATACCCCCCATGCGTTGCCATTCCTGAGAACTCGGGTGTTATTCCTCTGTACCCAGTAAATTCACGCCATATCCCACCCTTCAAACCGAAAGACAGCTATGCAAACACAACTCCCTCACGGTTGAAACACGAATGGGACCCAAGCAATCGACTTTTGTACAAAGTCTCCCTCGTTCTTTATAGCAGTCTATGGCGTCTGAGCAGTTACATATACAGCAGTGGACTTATAACGGCTGAGATGTTGATGACGTACATGTCATTTATAATGTTTGCATACTGACCGCGTTGAGTGGCAGCGACATGAGGATGGACTCGTAGCGCGCGTCCGGCGTGTGCAGGCCGAACTTGGTGCCGCGGTCGTAGATCAGGTTGAACTCGACGTAGCGGCCGCGCCGCACCAGCTGCCACTGCCGCTCGTAGTAACCGTACGCGGCGTCCTTGTGCTTCTTGACTGTACGCATATTAAAAAAAAAGTTGTCAGCATTTTTTATTATTTTTTTTTCTCTAAGTATTTATTTATTTATTTAACTCTTTATTGCACCATAAATAAAAATATACAATGACAAGTGAATAATTCAAATGAAATACAGTAACATAAATACAGATTGAAATATACACATAAAGGTACAAAAGGCGGTCTTATCGCTAGGGCAATCTCTTACAGACAACCTTTAGTTAAGGGAGAACAGATAGAAAAGGGCAGGTGGCGCAAGAGTGAATCAACAATTTTCGTGCACAAAATACAAAAACATGTAATGCACAAAAATATCAAAGTATAAGTAATAATATAAAGAGAGATTTTTTGTTTGTAAAGGATAAGCATAAAAAATAACTTTCATCCATACAAAGCTATATTATGAGCGAGTAAAATGGGCTGTATTTTTTTAATGGGTGATAATAGAATGGTATCCCAGCCCGCGCTATCGGTATACACCGGCGGGGCACCAGTGGAAGATGATTGGTGAGAATGAATGCAGGTCAGTTGGCTCACCATGATGAATTTGATAAAAATTAACCATGACCGTTTCTAGGGGGAACCGCGTGGAGGTCGACCTGAGAGGGTATATTGCTAGCAATGGGGCTATTAGACCTTATCAATAACAATCCCTTTCCCCCTTATGGACTGTATTTTATTTATCTCTATCCAAAGGTTGCCTGGAAGAGATCGCTCTTAGCGATAAGGTCGCCCATTGTTTTCTCACTGTGATTATTTCTTGTAATTGTTTATATTTATAATAAGTTTACTATTGTAGTCTTTTGGAGGAAACGATAAAGAGTATCTATCTATCTATCTATCAATAGTTAAAGATCCTCTACTAACCTATCTGTGCTAAACGAGGATAAATGGCAAGATAACAAATATATATTGGTTAAGTATTTATTTATTTTTATATGCATATATATATAATACACAAATTTAATAGGTACGTACATCAGTATTTAAGAGGTAATGATTCTTTAAACGCGATTTAAAAATCCCAATGTTCGTTTAGAGGTAAATTCATATTGCACTTGGACGTGTTAGATGTCAGTGAGTACTGACCTATGGGTATGTAGCTGGGCACCACAGCCTCAGCGCACGAGGTGACGAACTTGAAGGCCTCCTGCTGGCTCGGGTAGTCCACGTCGTCGAAGAATATGCCACCGACGCCGCGCCGCTCGCCGCGGTGCGGTATCGAGAAGTAGTCGTCGCACCATTTCTTGAATCTATGGTCAATATTGATGGTTTAGGGCGGTGTTTCCCAACGTGGGGCACACCCCCCACGTGGGGGGTAATTTGATAGTTAAGGGGAGGGGAGGGCAATTAAAAAATGGACTCGAAGCGATTTCAACCCTCTCACTCCGGGCCATTTAAATGCAATGCTATGAGTGTATATCGGTGCTAAATTTAACAAAAAAAAAGTAAAATAAAAAAATGCTGTAAATATGTATTAGGTATAATTTCGTTTGACGTCACCAAAACATCAACTGGGCGATTAGAGTCGTCAAGTAAACTTTGTCGGGAAAAATTATGTATGGGGGCATAAAAATTTTAGAAATGTCCAAGTGGGTCATGGCGCAAAAAAGGTCGGGAAACACTGCTCTAAACAAGTCTGCACTTAAAAGGGAAACTTCCTTCTCGCAATGGGAACTTTAGAGCCCTTCTCTAGCAATCCCCGTTCCCCTGGCTAGTTTCACTGGTACAATATTCGTTTAAGCGTATGTTAATGTAATACATTTTACCCTGTATATACTGGGCGTCCCTGTACCACTCACTTGGGGTAGTAGGCGGTGTCGTGCTCGTCGCAGGCGTGCTTCAGCGTCAAGTGGAAGTGCTGCGCGTCCTGCTCGTCAAGGTAGTACGGCGTGAGGTCGGTGCCGCCGCCGAACCACCACTGGACACCTGCGCGCGGGTAATAATAAAGTTATTATAATTAACTATAGTTATTATAACTAATATTATAATTGAGATTGTGTTTTTTTTTTTAATATATGATAATAGAATGGTAATCCCGCCTGCGGTGTAAAATTTGCACTCCAATCACTGCTCTGCATAACACTCGATATTAGAAACATTAAAAGAATAACGGCTATAAATTTAAAGTAACAAACTGGCAGCCTTAATGCATGCATGGGATTGCATGGGATTGTTGGAAAATACCATCAATTATCATACATTCAAAAAAATTGTCATTACTTAATTTCAAGCTACCATATCACTCACCATCCTTATCCTGCACCTCGAAGTAGCGATAGTTGAAGTGTATGGTGGGCACCATGGGGTTCCGCGGGTGTATGACAGCGCTCACGCCCGCCGCGAAGAATGGTAGTTCAGAGTTCTCCAGTTTCTTACCTCTGTACACAAAAACACACATTCTTAATGATATTGTATGATTTTGACAAGTTTTAACGTCTTAACGGCTTCACCAATTGTCATGACATTTGGAATACAGTGTTTGTAGTAAAATGCCAGAGGAAAATGGAAAAGGGTGAGGTTTCCATCAGGTGTGTCGCATGCTTGATTTCCACCTTAGTGGTATAAAAAAAAGATAAGTATATTTTTTTTTAATGGATGATAATGGAATGGTAACCCCACCCGTGCTATCGGTATACACATGCGGGGCACCAGTGAAGGATGATAGATGAGGATGAAGTAGGTCAGTTAGCCCCTCATGACGAATTCAACGAGAATTGTTCACGATGGTTTTCAGGGGGAACCACGTGGCGGTTGACCTAATAAGGCGTATTGCTAGCAATGGGGCTGTCAAACTCCATTACTAACAATCCCTTTCCCCCCAGAGAAGTATATTAGGTATAAAGCTTTCAGATATCATCATATTAGCCCTTAACCGTCCACTCCTGAACATAGCTCTCCCTCTATTGGAGGGTTGGTCAGTAGTTGTTACGTTTGGCAAGCGGGTGGCGACTGCAGTTAGGTTTTGGCGATATTTTATTAATAGAAAATCGCGGAAAAGGAGGAAAGTAACTATTAAAAATTCTGTTAAAATTATTAATTTAGACAACTATTATACAGGATTTTATTTTCTGTTTGTTATATTGAGATATAATGTAGAATCTACATACATTTCTCATACTGTTAAAAATTTGTATGTCGACGTAGAGGCAAATTTAATACTCTATCATTTTTATTAATACCATTGAGGTGGAAATCAAGCATCCATAATAATATTTAAAATTAGCTACTTTCTTGCAAAATAAATTTATTTCAATTTAATTAAATTTAAGATTATTTGAGTACGGCTTTAGTTCATACACCTATAATACCAGAGGGAGACTTTGTACATAAGTCGATTGCTTGGGCAACTCTGTCCTATTCGTGTTTCTACCGTGAAGCAGTTGTGTTTGCATGGCTGTGTTTCGGTTTGAAGGGTGGGATATGGAGTGATTTTACTGGGTACAGAGGAATAACATTTGAGTCCTCAGGAATGGCAACGCATGGGGGGTATTATGGGCGAAACAGTATACTCTGTTATGTCCACGGTACTGCTCATGTCTATAGGTGACGGTTACCACTTACCATCAGGTGGGCCGTCAGCTTGTTTGCCATTCTAAGTTGTATAAAAAAAACGTAAACAAAAAAAAAATCACCTGCTTCTCATTTGCTGTACAGCGGCCGGCGGCAGTTTACCCGACACCACGGATATGTTGACGCCTGCCTTTTCGAACACGCGTCCGTCTTGCAGCACGCACGTGATGCCGCCGCCGCCCTCTTTCCGCATCCATCGGTCCACTTTGAATTTAGCATCCTGGAAAACTTGGCTAATAAACTTTCTAATTATAGATGTATGAGGTCAGTTAGCTTATAGTGACGAAGATTTTTTTGCTGGGTGAAAATGGTATGGTAACCCCGCCTGCGCTAACGGGATACGCTGGCGGAGCACCAGTGAAGGGTGATAGGTGAGAATTAAAACAGGCCAGTTAGCCCATCATGATGAATTCATCAGGAATTAACCATGATAGTTTCCAGGGGGAACCGTGAGGAGGTCGACCTGGTTGGGTATATTGCTAGCAATGGGATTTTCAGTCTTCATTACTAACAATTCCTTTCCCCCGTGACCAAGAATTAACCAAAATGGTTTCTAGAGGGAATCACATGGAGGTCGACTTGATTCAGCCTGTATTGCTAATATATAGCTTGTAATGGGGCTGTTAGATCCCATTAGTAACAATCCTTTTTCTTTTGATAGATCAGTTTGGGATTATGTTAACGAGTGATCTATTGTGTACAGGCATATCACTCAGGAATATTTTTTAACACTGTTGAATACAGATCTTCCCCATAAGGGGTGTTTTGTCAGTAGTTGGTATGCTTGGCACCCAGGAGTATAGTAATATATATGTAAGGCAAGTTTTTTTTAATGGAAGATAATGGAATGGTAACCCCGCCCGCGCTATCGGGATGCGCTGGCAGGGCACCAGTGATAGTTGACTGATGAGGATGAAAACAGGTCAGTTAGCCCATCCTGACGAATATAACTAAAACTAACCACGATGATTTCCCCCTGGATTCGACTAATTTAATAATCGACCTGACAGGGTACATTGCTAATAATGGTGCTTATTTCCCCCCATTATTAACAATCCCCCTTCGCCCTGTAAGGCAAGTTAATAAGCATTATGCGTACCGGATGAGGTAAATAAATATCGTTGTCAAAATCATATTCATCGACAGTTTTCTCGTCCTTCCATGCCTACAAACAAATGGTATAATAAACATTAGGTATATATATATACATGAATATATTACAGTTAATAATTGTGCTTCTTATTAAAACTCACTACTTACAATACGAACAATGGCCAGGGGGAGTTTTTTAAGTATATTTTCAGGGCAGTAAGCCACTAGATACACATACACACAATACTCTCAAAATAAATACTAATCTAGTGGACACTGTTATGTACTTTTTAAATAGTTTTTCTTATACAATGACAGTGATGATTAAATATATAAATTTTCTAACAATAAACAGTTACCCTAGGAATACTTGTTAGACCAGAAGCATCATGTAATTGTTGACCCTTGCCGTGAAGATTTTAAGTCACAGAATCCAATAATATTACTGCCATATTTTATTTTCACAGCCCTTCAAACATAACGTAGCATGCATAATTTTTAGTAAACTGAATTTGGTGATAAGAGTTATCTATGCTTGCAATTTAGTATGTGTCAACTTGTGTTTGAAATTAATCACAGATCACCATTTTTTAGAAAAAAAAAAATAGATTATAAGAATCCAACTTTAATTTTTTACAACTTAGAATGACAAACACGCTGACGGCCCACCTGCTCGAAAATGGTAACAGTCGCCTATAGATATGAGCAATATCGTGGACATAACAGAGTATACTGTTTCGCCCATGACACCCCCTATGCATTGCCATTCCTGAGGACTAAGGTGTTATTCCTCTGTACCCTGTAAATTCACTGTCATATCTCACCCTTCAAACCGAAACACAACTATGCAAACACAACTGCTTCACGGTTGAAACACCAATGGGACAGAGATACCCAAGCAATCGACTTTTGTACAAAGTCCCCTTCTGATGTATATGTTAATTTCTCATCAAACACTTCTTAATATATGTTTTTTTTTATGCAACTTAGAATGGCAAACAAGCTGACGGCCCACCTGATGGAAAGTGGTAACCGTCGCCTATAGACATGAGCAGTACCATGGACATAACAGAGTATACCGTTTCGCCCATGATACTCCCCAGGTGAAACTTGTTAACTTTTTTCTGCAATATCTCACTACCTTTGTAAAATGTAGGGACTTTTTTATGTATGTGTGTAAAATAAGCTGATGGATCAATCGATGGTGAAAAGGACTCCATTTTCCGCGCTTAGCCTCTCATTTGGGCCATTGTGCGTATGATCAATCGATGGTATGTGGATTGAATCAACATACCTCATCCTCCTCCTTCTCGAGCGCACGACAGAACTCTGCCTGTATCCTCATGATGAGCAACTCCATTTGTGTTTTCATGTCGTCTCTATTTTTCTCCAGTTGATCGACAGGTGTGATGGGCTCTGCCATGTAATTGCTCAATTGTATGATCTCCTTCATCTCTGCTGTGTTCTTCTTGTGCTGGTTGTATGCCATGTATCCTGCGCCTACTAATGCCGCACAGTATAGTCTGGAAATGTATTTTGTTTTCATGTAGACGTGTTTTGGGGAGATTTCAGTTATACTGTTGTTTATAAGTATAGTTTAGTTTAGTTTTTTTTTTACAACACAGGGGGCAAACGAGCATGCGGCTCACCTAATGGTAAGTGACTACCGCCGCCCATGGTCACCCACAACACCTACGGCATTGCAGGTGTGCTGCCGGCCTTTTAAAAAGGAATATGCTCTTTTCTTGAAGGTTATGTTGTCGTATCGGTTCGGAAATACTGCTTCTGAAAATTGCTGGGCGTACTGTGACTTCCCCAGTATAGTATGTATTACTTTCTTTTTCATCAAGTAGGTTAATTAAATTGTTCATTGATATTTCACCTCTTCCTTTCAAACTGGTCGTACACACATGACAGCAACATTTACTTCTTACATACATTTTAGCTGTCATTCTCTCTATATTGATCACTCTCCTCTGGTACTTCTACATTCCATTTTTATATATTATTTTCTACCTATTCCTTTGTTAATACCTTCTGTATATATGTGAATAAATAAAGTTAGTTGTAATACTTATTTCCTCCAAACAACTACACTGGTATTAATACAGTATCTACTGGGGGGAAAGAAATTGTTAGTAATGGAGACTGAGAATCCCATTGCTAGCAATATACTCAACCAGGTCGACCTCCTTGCGGTTCTCCCTGGAAACTATCACGGTTAATTCCTGATGAATTTATCATGAGGGGCTAACTGGCCTGTTTTCATTCTCATCTATCACCCTTCACTGGTGCTCCGCCAGCATATCCCGTTAGCGCAGGCGGGGTTACCATACCATTTTCATCCTTAAAAAAAATACAGTATCTACTTTGTGAATATGAGTTAGGAGTAATGGAAATTTTTAAAGCAGAATAGTTAATAAGACCATAATGTGCTAATTAATTTCAGTTTCAATTTGCTGACATTTAACACTTAGTCATCTATATCTGAAAAAATATCTACAGAAAAAATACTATTTTTAAAGTGAAATCATAGATTTTTTTTTATCTAGTTATAAGTTTTTATACATGAAATAAATATGTAACAAATTATAAATTGGAACAACAAACAGTATACTGTGATTATTACGACATCAGATAAATTAAGTGTTTATATAATTATGTATAAATAATCTAAGTGTGGGTATATGTAATAATCTAACAGTGACGATCGCCTAGTATTACTAGTAATCTTAGTACGCCATAGGTGTACTAACACATATGATCAATATAAGATAAAATATTTGATAAAACTGATCGACTTGTAGTGCATCCAAGGTGAAATATTCTATGTACCTAATCTAACGTGAGTGATGTAATGATTCCTATGATGGTTCAATAATATTTAAATATCATGATCAACTTTATAAAATCATAAATGCGATTCATTGCATTCTAATAAGATGTTTATAGGTTAAAATGGAAAGTAATACGGGTTTATGTTTACGAAATAAAGGTACTTACTTAATGGGACGATCCTTAATTTTTTTATAGCCGCCCACATAACTGAGAGTTCTAATGCTTCGCACGATTACCTTGAGTGTCATTTTTATTGTAAATAATAAACAAAAATATTTAAAAAACACTAAAATTATTCTCTAATGTTTTGACACTTCTTATCACCGGCCAACTGACACATATGCTTCGACACGTTGAAATGCTTGACACATTGAGATCTGTCATCGTGATGTTTTGATATGTAGAGCCGTCTGGTGGATAATATGCAAACTAGCTATCAGTCAGCTGTAATTTTTTCCTCTGCAAGACGCGCCTACATGCGCAATATGCGTTCATCTCTTTTCCGAGCAGGCACAACGACATCGATCGGTCGCGTCGCGCTCTTTCCGGCCAGTCCGCGGCGGCCTCGCTGACAACGTGTCGCCACTGCGCATGTGTAGTGCAGCGCTGTTCGCTATCCCAGCTATCGATCCGTCAGTGGAGCCGCATTGCCGTACATTCCGGAGGCGGTGCCTCGCCTAGTTTTCGTCGATCGTCGGCGTGGCGGGCGCGTGTCGGCGTCGGCGGCGGCCCCGGGCGGCCCTGCGCAGTAGCGGCGCGAGTAGCGCGGGAGCGACCGACCTTCCTTCCGCCAAAACCGGCTCGCTGTCCGCGGCGGACGGCTGTGATGTAGCCGGGGCCGGTGCGAGCGGCCTTCGGACAAAGGATCCGCGTCGAGTCGGTGATTCGCGATGAAGAAGTTCACGTTCAAGGGGGTGCTGGACGGGTTCCGCAGCTCGGTGCAGGCGGCGCCGCGCGGAATCGAGCAGGAGATACAAGAGACCCTGCGGCCGGACCACTTCCAAATTAAAAAGGTAAGTTGTTGTTTTATCGCGCGCCGCAAGCCAAGGTTCCGCAGATAATGGCGATGAGCAGCGGGCGGCAAGCAGCAGGCGGCCACCGCGGGGAGAGGGGCTTACTACGCTCCACTGAAGTGGCGTATTATTAAAAGCGGCCCACCTGAGCGTTGCTCGCATGCTGGCCGGCCCCGTGTTGTGTATGGTACGTCGGAGTGAGGCGGCGAGGCGACCGACAGCGGACGCGGGCCGCGCTCCACGCACCACGCACCAAAACAATGCCGTGCCGATTGCAAACAAGCTGTTGCTGCGTGCTACACCGTCCGTCCGTTCGTCCGTCGGCCGTCCTCGTTGTGTTGATGCTTAACGAAGGCCTACCCAACTAGTACTTGGAACTGATTCATATATTCCGAGCTGTTATTAGTGACTGCCGTTGCGTGTTTGCGTCAGTTTATAACCTTGACCATCTAATCTGTAAAGCACGGAACTTTGTGTAATTTCCGTACTAAATTGCACCCATTCTTTTTTACCATGCAAGCTTGTAAAAAGATGATTTTAGCGTTTACGTACCTATGTAAGATTGATATTGACTAGACAACAAATAACCCTGCACTTGTGGGCGGTAGAATGGCGATCATATTGGCCTGATAGCAGATAAGATAATAACGGCTAACCAAATGATTAACCAAACTCCAACTAGTTTATGTGTATAAATATAATTTATTAAAAAGGAAAAACGAAATTCCAAAGTTGAAAACTTTACTAAACTTATCTAAATAACAGGAAATTTATAAATATTTTTCAAAGTTGGCAAATTTTATTGTCTTTAGAAACAACTATTTAATAGTTTAAATTGACTAGTCACAGGTTTATGGGGATATAAAAAGTATTCCGTTCATAGTTTTCAAGTTGTTATTATGAAAGAAACCCCAAGCTCCAAACAGTATCACAAAGCACTTGTACGTATAATACGCATTTCTCAAAGCCTGTTATTTACCCTTTTTACATGTGGATAATCCGTCATGGAGATCCACACATCTCGAAACAGTCGTATGGATATAGTTGCACTTCTACTGGTTAAAAACTATACGGTATTCATCAATCGCTATGGCGATGGGATATTATTGCATACTTATTTAAAAGAACTGCTATACATGTTTAAATTGTCCCACAAAATCTAATTTACCTGAACATTTTCTTGGTAAAAAGTTTTTCGATGTAGCAAATCAAACGTCCACCTACATGTCAAGGTCTGTACGCCAACCAATGATGGATTGAATACTCTCGTACATGTACATACACAAGAAAGTTATAATGCAGGAAAGTTTTCCTATTAAGTCTCTACCTTTTCTATGAGAACTACGTATCAAGTGCCATTTATTTCACGTGGCAAGGATATTGAATCAGCGGCCAAACTTTCCCTTCGCTTATTTTTAGAATTTGCAGCAGGAAAATTAAGTTGTTGTCGGGTTATTAATTTATCATCACCACTTGCTGTGCTGGCTCATGTTCTAAGTTGAAAAATATCAGAAATTAAAAGCAAGCAAGGATATTTGTTTATTTATATAGGATATGCCGAGTTTCGTACATATTTAAAAGTTTGACAAGATATTCAGGTTCCTAAAATCCTGGCTTCTGAATGTCAATGGATATAGGTTGTTCTTTGTGTAAAATGTTGACAGACCTACATTTAGCAAACAATGAATGAGTTATAGGTATGTTTCTAGATTTGGATGATTTTATCACGTAGGTACTTGTAGTTTTAGATCTCTCTATTTGTTTTCTCTCTGAATTCAAGAACTAGTATTGCTATAAGCAAATAGCAATATCATAGAATTTACTTAATATCAAAATGCAAAATCTCATCCTTTTGTGAAATCCATTGGATTGGAGATTATAAAAAGGCACTGGTCGCTACACTTCGGCACGAACGCTCATCGAATGCTTGTTTCAAAGTTTGAATAAGAAAAATAAGGGGCTTAAAAGATATTATATTAATTCGTTTGGAAGATGTAATCCAATGTAATTTTCTTTAGCTAACCTTCGTTATACTATTTAAAGAAACACACAGATGCTACTTTATAGAATTAATAAAATTTCTGCACTGAAGGTACATCTTATTAATTTGTTTGCGGAAATAAGTAAACAAGACAAATGAGGCTTTGTCACTGAAAAATTTCATGAAAAAGTTGAGCCTTCGACGACAGGGGAAAGCTTTTAAAACTTCACCGTCTTAATCTTTATTTCGCAAAGTTTTTTTTTTGGTGAATTTTGTACTAAATTAGCAACTCAAAGCTAATTTGGGATAAAATATCGAAAATGTAAAAGTATATGGGACAGGTATTGGGAATTATTATGATCCAAAACATGATTGCATGAATTTCTTATCTGGTATTCCAGTGGGACCAAGAAAAACTTCTTATGTCTTACTTGTATAACGTATTCTCGTATAAACGTCATGCTTCTAAACCTCAGCGAACCACAATGGACTGACGTTAGCCTGTCAGTTTAGAGGAGTGTAGTGCTACTTCAATATGATTAGCAAGTTTTCGTTGCGTTACGACTATTTATTTATTTGCCTCAGAAAAGAAAGTATAAACAAGCTATTATTAAAATTCATTGAAGATTTGTATAGACCACTGTACATCGGGTACATGAAGGCTAAATGATATCCGATAACTTAATAGTATCAGAAAATTTCATACAAGCTATGTTCTCATAAATCCTATAATCGGGCGTTGCTTTGAATTTATAAGATCAAATCAGAAGGAGAAAATTGAATCGCTAATGCCAGAGACATGCCACAAAAAGGAAGATCTTTGAGCTTAATGTGCGAGTAGGATAAAGTATCGGATATTACTTGTACGATTACTACTTTGCCTATTTTTCGAAAACAATTCTTATAGAATCTGATGTAGGTATACCGTGTTTTTGGTAGTGGTGGGATCGGGTGTGATCTGCTTTTGCTATTGGGTACAGACGACGGCTCATCTCGAAGTGTGGGATATAGAATGCGGAATGAATTCAAGCTCAAAGTATACAGAAGTGTGTAACAATTGGATACGGTTGGAGTTATTTTTTATGGTTGAAAATGAAATGGTAATCCTGCCTGCGCTATCGGTATACGCTGGCAGGTCACCAGAGGGAGATGATAGGTAAAGATGAATGCAGGTTATTTGGCCTATCGTGATGAATTTCATAAGAATTAATCATAATGGTTTCCAGGGGGAACCAAGTTGAGGTCGATATGATAGGGTTTATCTAGCAATGGGGCTGTTAGAACTCATTACTGACAATCCCTTTCCCCCCTACGGTGGGAGTGGGTGGAGCGAAACTGAATATTATATTGATTGGCATATTGAGTATGGCTAAAATGGATAAGTAAAGGTGAGGTAAGTGAAGTTATTATTAATTTTATTGTGATTATTGTATATATAGGGTAGATAGATAGATACTCTTTATTGTTCCCTCCAGAAGATTACAGTAGTAAACCTATTATAGATACAAACAATTACAAGGAATGTTCACACAGAAAACAATGGACTTATAAAAAGCTAAAAGCGATTTTCTTCCTTCAAAGCGAACCTTTGGATGGAGAAGAATAATTATAAACAGTTTTATTGGAGGCACGATGAAAATCTTGTTATTTTAAATATAGATAATTTATATATATATATATATATATATATATATATATATATATATATATATATATATATATATAGATGAAAATTACGCAATAATATAAATGTATATCCCTACTTTCTATTATATATATAATAACTAATAAACAAGCTAATTGCGACGATGACAACTTGCTCAAATAAAAATCTTTAAGTTTTGTTTTAAGTTTTAAGGCAAACATTGTATATTTTTTCGTATTTTGAATTTTATTAGGGTAATCTGATGCATATTGACTGAATCGCTCGAATGTGATGCAGCACTGATGCAGTTGCCGAAACGCGGGATGCTAAAAGTAGCACGTGTGATCGGATCGTCAGCGACCCAATTCCATAAATGCTTTTTCGACTGCAAAGGTTACCCTTTGCTTAGCAAAACATAAAATTATTTTATTCATTTTTCCAGCATTTTTCATATACAAATTCAAAGGCGGACATAAACGTCGTTCGTATTCCATTTATTCGCATTTAAATGCTTCTCGTTTTTTTTTTTCTATCAGGTACGGCTAAGCAATGGGATTGGAATGAAGTTCTTTCCCTGGGTCCGTTTTTTTAGTCTTAATTTAGATTTTTCAAGGTTAGCAAAATTCATGGTTAAACGAGCATTATTTATTTTCAGCTGAGGTTGAGATAAGCCTTGAGACCTTCAAAGTTTGAACCCTCTCAGTATATAATGGTATGAGCTGACCAGGCAAACGTTTTGGCCACTACTGTTACTTACCTGTTTTCAATTTGGTTGTATTTCTTTTAAGTTTGTTACTTCATAACTCCGTTAGTTGTACATCGATTTGGAAATGTCTTTTTATTATCTGAAAAGATATACTTATAGACTGGTCCTATAATTTTTTTTATTAAAATCGGTTTAGTAGTTTAGTCTTTAAATCACATTACCTTTTTTTTATACGTAAGTGTAACCGTAAGTGTAAGTTTTGTAAGTGGTAACCGTCGCCTATAGACATGAGCCATGGACATAACAGAGTATACTGTTTCGCCTATGATACCCCCCATGCGTTGCCATTCCTGAGGACTCAGGTGTTATTCCTCTGTACCCTGTAAATTTACGCCATATCCCACCCTTCAAACCGAAACACAGCCATGCAAACACAACTGCTTCACGGTTGAAACACGAATGGGACAGTGGTATCTAAGCAATCGACTTTTGTACAAAGTCTCCCTCATTTCATTGCCACAAATGAAGGTGGTTGTTTTTTTTTCTGGAATATAATTTTAATTGTTTCTAATTAAAATTACCCCATCATTCAAGTTATAGCAAACAAAAAACATTTTTAAATGCATACGAGTACACATCTGTCACGCCTGTCTTCTATTGGGGTAGAC